TTGTTATCACAGATTGCTTCAACAGTGGAGGTAACCAGGCCCTATGTTATGGTGATATAACTCAACGTCTCCCTCTGTTCAAGCCTCTTTCCACCCATCTTGAATAAAAGTACACAGTACACGTACCTGTAATACAGTCCAGAAAAGAGAAGCACAGCTGAACATCATGCTGGAGATTCAATCAGACTGAATCCGTTGTTGTTGTTGTGGGACGGCAGCTGCCTTGTGGCTACAACAGAGAATCCACACAATTAGTTTTACAATTTTGGTAAAAATTCAGCAAAAATTTGTTTTTTGTTTTTAAATTTATTTACCAAAATTCCGTAAGGGCGGAATTCCGTAATCAGAGATTCCATTAAGGCAGGGCTGCCTGTACTGTTTAACTTGTAGTACAGTATGCAGAAGCATTTCATTGCAGAGAATGAACTCTCGGGCCATGCTGGATCTTGATTAGGTATAAAGGAATGAAACGAGAAAGTTAAATAATTTTTTCTTGTTATTTTCCCGGGTGTTTCACATGGGATTGGCTTAAATTGACCAAGTACTTGAGTTAAATAAGATACATATGGTGTACCTGTAACTGTATTAACCCCTTTTGTGTTATTTGTTACTGACAAACTCGGTGAAGGATGAAATTAATTAATGATCATTCTGTTTTATTTTCAGAATGCTTACGAGTTAATTATGGTGAAGGGATCAATTCTTCCCTGTCGCTTCTTGACAGCCATTGACCTCTTGTACCCAGACCATTTGGAAGGTGTTAGTCGAGCCTTGTGGATGGAGGTTTGGAATAAGGTGAAGAAAATAATAAGATAAGACATTGACAAGTTATTTGTAAACCGTAACATATCTTGAGGTGGTTGAAGTTTGGCTACTCAAGCATAATGATAAAGAAATAGATAAAACAACATGGGCTGAGTAATAATAGATATTAAACCATACATGTACGTGGCAGATTATATACTGCAGTGTAGCAAGATCACTGAAGCAATTATAGTATACATTGCAAATTGCAATTGGAGCTACAGTAGTGTAAATCTTTGTTTGTAGACTTGGTTGACCATGCATAGCCTTAAAATGGGTCTGTCCATCTGGGTGTCAGTAAACTTTTTCCTGTTTGGATCATAGCTCTTGTATCAATACAAATATTTACATGAAACTTAACCCCTTCACTACTGGGACCACTTTTAATATTTTATTTGGCTCTTGCCAGATGATTTTATTCATCACAGAGAGGACCCAGTACACACCAGGTTAACATATATCATCGTTACACAAAGAATAGAATACCATTTTGGAGACTACTGTAAGAACACAAATTTGGCTGATTGGCAGCAAAATTTGCTCTTCTTTCAGTGTTTGGTCCTTAATTATTGAACTGCAGTACTGATTTCAGTGGATGGGTGTATTATATATTAGAGTTTGTTATAATTGCCAAAGTTTGTGACTGCCACCTACAAGAATGAAAACATATAAAAAGAATCACAACTTAAAAAAATGACTTTCATAATACTGTATGTACAGTATTTTAATCCTTTTGCTGCAACCTTGTGAAGATTGCATTTTTGTGTAATTATTACCACTATATAGCAAGCATTGTGAAGATCTTGTTTTGGGAGTAATTATTATCAATAGACTGTATAATTAATACCGTAAAGGTCACAAAACTCCCTTTAACTATGAGTTGATTGCAAAAAAAATTTGTGTTGCCATCTGTGAGTAGCAGTCATTACATCCTCGCAGCTGAGTTTTACACACTTCACCTTTATTTGAACCTATAATAGGTAAATTATTTATAACTTGGCATGTTGGTACGTACAGTAAGTCCTCGTTTAACGTTGACCCCGACAACGCTGTTTCATTATAACGTCGCTTCTCTTTAGATACCCATGATTCCGACAACATCCCGACCGATTTGTTATAACGTCGTCACAGGCTACTTTGTATGGCGCATCACTCTTTCCCATCTTGGCGCGCTACACTCTCTCGCAGAGCATCACAGCGTCCCCAGTCTTTGTTAGGCTTCCACAGTCTACGTGCCTGCTTCAGTGTTTTTGCTCTAAATACTGTACTGTAACCATTCAAAATGGCTTCCAAGCGCCCATCAAGTGTTACTGATGCTAGTGATGTGAAGAAGCAACACAAGACCATTCATCTTGCTTCAAAAATAGAGGTTTTAAACCCACCACACACTCACTCCACCTCCGCCCATCAGTGAGCACAATACAAAATGATGTACCTGTAGTTTATTTATCTTTTTGGATGTATAATATATACAGGTACTATTTTCTATTGAAAATTCCATTGAATTTCTGTACATGTAATGTATTTTATGGGGCAAAGGAAGGCTGGGGAACATAGCGTATTTCATCTATTTCTTATAGGGAAAATTGATTGTGTTAACGTTGTGTTTTTCGAGAACGTAACCACGACGTTAAGTGAGGGCTTACTGTATATCATATTGTACAAGCAGGTAAATTTGGTAATAATGTACAGTAATGTATTTCATTATGTTTTTAAAGATAAAAGCTAATATGCTTGTACAATATTGTTTTTCAGTATCTGGTTTTTCTGAAATTAATTGTCTAGCTTCTTATAATTTACAGTATATGTATGAGTGTGTGTGACACACACAAACTACAGTATAGTATTATCTCCGTTAGCTGGAATTGCTCTTAACTGGAACTCTCCAATAGCCAGAATTTAAATTTTCTCATTAAATCATTCCCAAAACTGCATTTCTCCGGAAAATTTCAGGTTTGGGTTCAATTTTCCGAGAGGCACATTTTTTGGATAATTCCGAGAAAATTTTCCTGGTTCCCCGAAAATTCCGGGGATGGGGGATTTTTCCGGTTTTGAGAGATGAAGAAAACATTTTACTGTATATGTACCAGATTTTTTTCTTACTGCATGAATAATACTTTAGCTGTGCATACGAGATACTTTTAATGGACTTTTCATGCAGGATATTGAAATTTTCAATTTTTATCTCATTGAAAAGGAATTAGAAGATACCAAATAAACATTAGCAGGTTTTATGAAAACCAACACCAGTAAATAACAGAAGTCCAGCTTTCAGATAGTACAGTACAGTATTGCCTACTGCTAGGAGATGTTTCACAATCCCAAGACACAGAAGGTCCTCCTTTATACAGAAGATGTTCCTAATATGTGTAATATTTTCAAAAGATACGTTGATGATGATACAGTACTTACTTTGTTCCTACACCTAAATACCTCCAGACTCACATTTTTTTGGCTTGGGCCAGGTAGTTCAGAACTCTCTCTTATGTGGTGGGGGTCCAGCGGAAGCCATTGTGTAGAAAGAAAAAAATCACTGGTTCCTGGGCACGAGTGAATATATGCGGAGACGTGAGACTGACGCGGCGGCGGAGAGCGGGGGTGGCAAGGATGCCTAGACCAATCACAGCGTGTGGCGGAGGGGATGCGTGGGTGGTAAGGATATGTGGCCCAATCACAGTCTGCGACGTCACCAGCGCGAGTCTGACGTCAGTGCCGAGCACCTCACCCTGCTACTTGCCGCGTACATGATGGAATTTATAGTGTAAATAAAAATTATCTCTTCTGACAGGTGCTGCATAAAAAATATCCGCGTAAAACCAGGCTATACTGTACATAAATAGACTGTAGCTCACACACACACACACACTTCATCCTTGACCACCGAAGGGTCAAGACGTGCTTGGCTCTGCTCTGGCAGCAGCCAGGTCAACTGTTATGTTGACCCATACCAACTCCCTCCCCTGAACCCCTCCTCCCCACCAGAATATCAACAAGTTCTCGCCAGAAGTTACTATTTCATTTAGGAAAAGAATGGAACCAGTATTGAATAGTGGTGAACAGTGCTTAAGTCAGTGAAAAACAACTCGGCAGTAACAGCTGAGTCGTACCCATGCTAACCTTCACACAGTGAGGTCCCAGGTACCCAGTAATAACTGCCCCTGAGACTCAACAACACTAGCTATGTGTTAATCCGTCCACGATAGGGAGGCCTGGGACCACACCTCACTCACTTGAGTGAGTGAGGTCCTGTGACACCAGACCACGCGGTGTCCCCATGATGCTACGACACAACGTAGTGAATGAGTTGCTACAGCATCATGTGAGGTCTCTCATAACACCATCAGTGAGGGAATTACTACACCACATCAGGCCCCTCATAACACCATCTGTGAGGGAATTACTACACCACATCAGGCCCCTCATACACCATCTGTGAGGGAATTACTACACCACATAAGGCCCCTCATAACACCATCTGTGAGGGAATTACTACACCACGTGAGGTCCCTCATAACACCATCTGTGAGGGAATTACTACAACACATCAGGCCCCTCATAACACCATCTGTGAGGGAATTACTACACCACATCAGGCCCCTCATAACACCATCTGTGAGGGAATTACTACACCACATCAGGCCCTCATAACACCATCTGTGAGGGAATTACTACACCACATCAGGCCCCTCATAACACCATCTGTGAGGGAATTACTACACCACATCAGGCCCCTCATAACACCATCTGTGAGGGAATTACTACACCACATCAGGCCCCTCATACACCATCTGTGAGGGAATTACTACACCACGTGAGGTCCCTCATAACACCATCTGTGAGGGAATTACTACAACACGTGAGGCCCCTCATAACACCATCTGTGAGGGAATTACTACAACACGTGAGGTCCTCATAACACCATCTGTGAGGGAATTACTACACCACATCAGGCCCCTCATACCACCATCTGTGAGGGAATTGCTACACCACGTGAGGTCCCTCATAACACCATCAGTGAGGCAATTACTACACCGCATCAGGCCCCTCATAACACCATCTGTGAGGGAATTACTACACCACATCAGGCCCCTCATAACACCATCTGTGAGGGAATTACTACACCACATCAGGCCCCTCATAACACCATCTGTGAAGGAATTACTACACCACATCAGGCCCCCTCATAACACCATCTGTGAGGGAATTACTACAATCACATCAGGCCCCTCATAACACCATCTGTATGAATTACTACACACCACATCAGGCCCTCATACATCTGTGAGGGAATTATTACACCACATCAGGCCCTCGCTATAACAATTCATCTGTGAGGGAATTCATTACACCACATCAGGCCCTTTCTTGCACACACCATGGCATGACGCCATCTACTACTACTACTACTACTACTACTAATATTACTACTTAAGCGTCACTGGAATCGAAAAGGACTTGATCATCCAGCTTTGGTAAAATGATATGAGTTATTAGATGTCACCTAGGTTGGTGAGTTTTGAGGTGACTAAAGTGGCCACAGCAGGACCCAAGAGCGCCTTCAACATTCAAGCACATGTGGAGGCTGCACACACGTATCTGGCGGACAGCAAAGATCATGTTAGTGGTGCCACGTGATGGTCTAAAACCACTTTGAAATTCTGGGAGGAAGTTTTCCGCCTCAGGAAGACATCTGTTTAGAAGGACTCGGGCAATAATCTTGCCAGCTACAGAGAGATCCCGCGGTAGTTGCCACAGTCTGACCAGTCTCCCTTGTTCTTATAAATATTGACAATGGAGGCATCTTTAAAGCAGCACGTTTATTTTAGACGAGTACAGTACATTGATTGCCAGGTTATTTTTTATCAAATTAGTCCTGGTGTATTCTTTTGATCTGGCCGAGGGTCTCTGCAGTGTTTTCGTCATGACAGTGTCGAGAGTATCCCATTCGGCACTGGGAATTGGGTTGTTTGTTGTCAGGTTGCTTATCTGCCCGTGTTCGAGGTGCTCTCTGAAAGCAGGTGCTACCGCTGGATCCCTCTGACGCTTAGTGTTAAAACCTCTTCTGGAAGCTTGCTGCCTTCGCCGTTTTGGGGGCGACGTGAAGTGAGAGCTTGGCTCAGACAAGTCGATGATCAATGTCACAGTGGTCGGAGCCACGCATGGCACAGGTGATGAGGACATCTCGGCGATCTCTTTCTTTGACAATGATGTAGTCAATAAGATGCCAGTATTTGGATCATGGGTGTTGTCACGAACCCTTGAACTTGTCGGCCTGCCTAAACAAGGTATTGGTGATAGTGAGGTTGTGAGCAGCACACTTGCTGAGGAGGAGTAGGCCGTTGGGATTACACTTGCCTAGTCCATTTCTCCCTTTGGTTCCCTGCCAACTCTTGCATGGAAGTCACCAAGGAGCACTACCTCGTCTTCTCTAAGGATAGAGGTTAGCACTCTGTCGAGGTCGGCATAAAAGGCCTCCTTGATATCTTCCTCTGCAACCAGTGTTGGGGCGTATGCACTGATGAAAAAGGCATGGCATGAGTGATTCAGTGGGACTTGGAGCATCATGAGGTGCTCGTTTATCCCTATAGGCATTTCAGTTAGCCTGTGTAGGATGCATTGGTGGATGACAAATCCAACTACATAAATGCTGTTTCTCTCCACAGCCGGCTTATCCTTCCAGAAGAAGGTATAGCTGTTCTGTAGAGTTGGCCCTCGTCTGGGAGCCGCGACTCACTGATGGCTGCTATGTCGTTGTTATACCTAACCAGCTCTTTTGTCACAAGGGCAGTTCTTCTTTCAGGACTCTCATTTGTGCCAGTATCCAGAAGGGTCCTGACATTCCATGCAGCATCCATAAGAGGTTGTATAGTTTGTTTTTGTTTGGATCTGTGATATTGGTTGTGTTTTTAACTGCATAAGGATAACCTTATTGGGTGAGGTTGCCAAGTCTGCCATAGATTTTTTTTATTTATTGTAATGGGGTCTATTCTAGCATAAAATTGTGTGTAACCTTAAAAAATTAAAAAATATTGAAATTTAAGCCACTTTATTCGAGCACACATTGAAAAAGTAGGAAAATGTTTAGTAACATCTCGATTTCCATTCACATTTTCCTTGTACTATGGTGCTCACTAATATGTATTATATACCAAAATAAAGAACAAAGTTTGTAGAATATTGTGGTATAAGGAAAAATAATATAACTAACAAACTCATGGAATAATTAAAGGGCCTAGCAGGGCACCATCCTCTTGCTCTAATGGCCAGAGCCACACTGGCTTCATGCTGCACTGCCATGCACACAATGACCAAGACCGTCTTGGGAAAGGTGATAAGCCCCACACAAAGAAAACTACGTCTGTCAAATGGCATCTATAGTTCAGTCTGTTTCACAGAATAGTTTTGAGTTATTTAAAAGTATAGCTCATTCGGCTCGAGGCTGAGAGGGTTAATTATTGGATTCCAAATCCCAGCTCTACTTATGTTTTTTGTTGAGAAAATTTTTTTGTTTGTGTTGCCAACATCTGAAATTGAATAATTCTCTAACTAAAAGAAGATGTCATATCACATTATTTATGGATGATATATTACACAGGATGAAGATTTTACAGCACCAGAAGTATTAGCACGAGCTGGGCAGACTGCAGGTCTGACAGAGAAGCAATTGACAAATGTCCAACAACATATGACACAGCAGATTACAAAAGATCGCCTGAGAACATACACTGATGAAGCCATCCTACATGGGGTAAGCATTCATAGAGTTCTCTAACTGATCAGTCCTGTATGTGTATTAGGATTTGTAATTATTTTTATTTCTTTTAATTTATTTTTTTTTGTTTTTAAAGTTCACTGCTTGTTTGAGGGAAAGCATATTGTTTTGTCTGTCCAGGTCCTTATTCAGAATTCAATTTCATGTTGCATAAGGATTTCTCTTCATATAAATATCATCATCATCATTGTTTTGTTGTCATCTTCTTTCACACTTGCAAGCGATGGCTGGGATTACGTGATGGCAGCTCTACTGTACATGCTGCCATGGTCTCTTGTAGCCTCTCTCATCAGGTGCTTATCTCTTGGGTCATTTTCTACAACCTCTTCCTATGCCATTCTTGGACTGTCCCTAGTTCTCTCCCCCTCTACAGTCAAAACCATTCTTCTCTTGACCCAGTTGGTCTTCTCCAGTCTCTCCACAGCACTGAACCTTCTCTCTCTGCCTGTATGCAATATCTTGCCAATACACTACATTCAAACCTCAGCTGCCCTCTTAGTTCTGAACTGGTTTTCCGGTCTTTCAATGTCACTTTACACATCCATCTCACCATTCTCATTTCAGCTTGATCAAGCCTATGTCTGTATACTCTTTAACTGCCCTTGTTTCAATGCCATACAACATCACATTTCTCATGATGGTTTCATACATCTTTCACATGAATACAAGGTCCTCTCTATCAGTAAAGGTAACAGCCCCTTAAACTTCTTCCAGCCACTTATTATACTGCCCATTCTGGGGTCACTAATCCTAAGGGGATAACTTAAATTTACTCTTAATTTTAAGGTCACTGCCACCAGACCCCCTGGACAGAATGTAGCTTGTTTAGGTAGCTGGCAGAGCAAGCCAGGCACTGATGAATGTTTTTCATTTACCACATCAAAAGTGGAAGGAAGAATGAAACATCACTCAGGATCTACCCAATTTATTTCCTAATAAAAAAATATTGCATTCAGTCACAATACAAAAATAGTTGACCTTCATCAAAATAACCACTATTAGGGTCATTACACTTCACACCAATACACGACCTTCTCCAAATGAACTAATTAAAATCTTAATTTTTCACAACAAATCATTGACCTCCTTACCTCGGTCATCATTTCTTACCATATCACCCACAAACATCAAATAGCACCAACATTTACATAGCACCACATATCAGGTACACTCCACACCTACAAGTCTGGAACTCCTCAGTATTATCCAGGTACACATGATAGGTACCCTGCTCATGCTCTACTCTTGCTAGGTAGATGGGACACTTCCCAGGTACTCATACCAGGACTATTCCAGCGTCCGGTATCATGGGGTCGCTTAAGTGGTGACCGAGAAGCATCTCATAAAAGATAGTCATTGTCTTCTCTCCTGGATGTTGATATGTGGGATGTCCAGGGGCCTTAAAGGAGGTTGCAGGGTGACCAACAGCGTTCCCCACAGTAACACGTGGATGCCTCACAGTAGGGCGATGTTGGCTGGGCCGTGCATTCCACCGAATCACTGGGGACTTTACCTACACTCTCGGCGTACACCTGCGTGGGCGAGAAGAGACGCCCGACTGATAATAATGCCTGAGGGGCTTTTATATCACCACACACTATTACAACTGCTAGATAGGCCTCTACCAGTACGATGGGGTGCTACGAGCATTAGGGTACTGACCTGCATGGGTGAGAAGAGACGCCCGACTAATACTATGGCGTGGCGTCTCACCCTGAACTAGGCCTACAGTTTCCAAACTTTAATTTTCACATTGACATTATTCTGGTTCTCACATATACACTTTCTCATCTATTGTGACTTTATGCCTTATAATTACATATCTTAATTCTAAATTACATACTAAAGTAAGAGTCTGGATTGCTCATTTTTGGGGAAATTAATTGGGCTATATCATTAACTCATAACTGTAACCCGGGGCAGAATGGGCGTCAACAAACAAAGAAAAGCCTTGGTTTGTGGTTTCTTGACGTGGGTATCTCCACTTCAATCTGTATCTAGGGATCCTCCCCTCACACGTTGCAATCGTTGAACACATTCATAAGATTCTCTGATCATTGCATTGTCTGGTTATTCATCACATGAGATAACGAGGTGTACTAAGCTCACACTGAGGCATACAGTGAGTTCTGCTATAACGCGTGTTTTGATAACGCGAATTTGCTCTAACGCACGTTTAACGCAATCGATTTTTGCTTACTACACATCTCATGATAGAATTCCCTCTGCTATAACCCAGCTTGATGCACCCTTTTCCCCCATCAAGTTACATTCATATTTTTCAAGGTAAAGTGTTACATTTACTGTATGATTTCATTATTAGATATGAATGTAACATTTATTTAGACTGTGCTATCCTTTGTGTTAGGCTAACTACTAAATTTTTTCGATTTCGAGTAATCTGCACCTAACCCTATTTTCTCCATAAGCCCTGTTCTATTACGCGATTTTCTATAACACGATATTTTACAAGAACAAATTATCGCGTTATAGCAGAACTACCTGTACAAGATATTTTCTTTGAAGTATAGTTTCTGGATCACTTCCAACACTTCACATAGGTCTGATACATTTATCCTTTTTCCAGATCATTGTTCTCTTATATTTTCATCTGATACCTGCGGTAGCTATGTTCACTAATCGTTCACAGATGTAAATAGTATGACCTTCAAACACGATCTACACTTATCCCTTATAGTACACTAGTCTGTATCAATTGGACTTCCCAATCATCATACAGATACCTTGAGTTCTCCTTAATACTATCAGTACATACTCTTAATATTATATGGCCGTACATTGGTACAATTCGTATAAAACAACATACAGCCGGTGAGTTATCCCTTTCGAAAGTTTCCCGTTTTCTACCGTTTTCTGTGAGACTCCATAACCGCGTGGATTTTAATGTTATGCAGCGTAATATGAATTGAAGAGATACTAAGGATGACCATGATGTGCGCAGGTAGTGAATAAGGGTGCTGCTGTCGGGTCTTCTGCATAATGCACAAGAGCGTTGCTCAGGGGATGTGGGGGTACCAATCTCCCAAGCAAAGTCATACCCAATGATGATACGGGCAGCAATCACTTCCCCTTTCCGCGACCCTTTCCCGTTTACGTACAAGAGGTTTTAGTTTGTATTTGTTTAGTTTTGTACATAACTGATATATTTGTTTTATTGTTTGTTTGTTAATATAAATTCTGTAACTAAATCTACTTCACGAATTTAATATACCCCATAGTAATGAGGTGATGATTTTGGTGGGATCTATTCCTTGGACCTATAATACAAAGAGAAGTTGAATTTGTACATTGTTACATCCTAAGAGGCCAAGGGTCATAACAAAACATTCTGAAGTTATTTTGTGTAGTAGTGGTGATCCTTCATGCCCTGAGGAGCCTGGAGCAGTACAGGAATGTTCTGTTGCTGCCCGATCCTTTACCTACACAGCACCCAGATTGTATAATTGGTTCCCTGCATCCATGAAGCAGCTGACTTAGTTTAAGAAACAACTTAAGATCTTTTTTTTTTTTTTTTTTTAAGTTTATGATCCTTAACAGCTACAGTGATGGAGAATTACAGGGTTTAGGAAGAATCTTAACTTGAGGCTATATGTGTGATATGGTCAAACTGTCACTTTTTGTGATCTTTTATTGTAGGGGTCCTGGGGTCCAGACACCCCCTTTTTCATTAGAAAATTTGAATAATTGTTTTTCTTTAATGCAGTACAGTACAGTATTGTACTCAGGTATTTTTGTATAGTAAAATGTAATTACTATTGACCTCAGAATATCTCTTAATATCAAGTGCACATGGCTTCAAAATGGCCTGAAAATGCCCATGATATATTGGTCAGATTTAAAGAGAAAAAAAATTCTGGGGGGGGGGGGCTTACAGAGCTCTCCTGGCTGGGCTCACTGTGCTCACCATGTTACCCCACCCCCAACTTCTTGGACCTCCCTTCCTTTTGATGTTCGTGGATCTGCCCCTGTAGAACAGTAGTTTATTATATATTTTATTTTTTGTTATTATTCTCAAGTCTTTTGAGTTTGTAGTGTTTCAAGCCAAGTGAGCAGTGGAGCAAATCATTCTTGAATAAGTAATCTTGTTGCAAATTATTTACCCTTAAGCCCCGGGTTTGGGTGCTGCTAACAGTACCCCCCCCCCTCCCCGCGGGGATAAATTGAGAAAAAATCAACATTTCCAAAAATAATAAAAAATATAAATAAAATAGTAATAAAAATTTACAGGAAAATGGGCGGGGCGCGCTGGTCAGACGTTCTGGAACGTCACCCGGGGCCTAAAGGTTAAAGCTATGTTGTAACGATACTGTCCTTTGTGTTTAATATTTACCTTCTCATCCCGCAGTATATCCCAAGAGAGAGTATTTCGTATGAAGCCTTAAAGTGATATGAACAGAATCCAGCAATATTTCTTTGTCCCTGTGATCATGTTAATGTCTGTTTGGGGTGAATACAGTTACCCTTTATCATAGCACAAGATATTTTCTTCTCAGGCATTTGGATCACCAACTATAGTGGCCCACACTGGAGGAGAACCAATGCTTTTCTTTGGTTCTGATCGATTCCCTGTCCTGGCTCAAGAGATTGGAGAGAAATGGTTGGGACCACAACCTGATGCACCTCACCCAAAGTTATGAAAATCTGTTATTTTGAGGATTACCTGTACAGGTACATAATGATAACACCGCAAGAGTGATTAATATCAAATTGAAATTATAAAAATGTTTATTCATTTAAATGTATAATTCTAAAAATAATTACAAACATTTTTATAATCACTGCATGAATTTTGTTTTTTACATCCTGGTGAACAAATATTTTTCAGGCAAGGGAGAGGTGGGTGAGTGTACACACTTATTTGTGGTGGAATGCTCTGTTGTTAGAATCATTTTATAGTGTCAGAAGTCATTTGTATCATTGTAAGTACCTGGTGGGTGGTGTTTATAATGCAAACGAGCTGAGCGAGTGAACCACTGTATGGAGTAAATGAGCGTGTGCACGAGTGCTGTCTTCTACTGGCGTGAGTGACGTGTGCACTAGTGCTGTCACCTAGCGGTGTGAATGAAGTTGGATGTCTGAATAGTTGGATGACATAGCACGAGGTTTCGTGCTCATGTGTATTATCCTGTGAGACAGATTGTTTCCTGCTGCACCACTGTACAGACCTCTCCCAGTAAACTGCATCTGTGAAGACTGTTTCATTGAGTCGTCAGTAACCAAGTAGAACTTGAACATGGCGCAGTGAGTAGGATCCAGTGCTCGTCTATAAGTGGCTTGTTTCTACGTATTCAAGATGTAGAAGCAACTGGAACAGCTGACGGTACTCCTGTTGCAGCAGGCAGAGATGGCTAAGCAAGCCCAGGAAGAATACCAGCGTAGGGAAGAATGCATGAGCCACATCCTGGAGCATGTGGTCTCTCAACAGGAGCCAAGTCACCACAGCACAACGACTACAAATGGCGCCACCAGCAGCAGTGCTCCATGGCAGACCAAGTTTCCCTTCGGCGCTGCACCCGACCTGCACTTGTCTTCCTCAGCTTCACTACTGGAGTTTGATGCCTGTTCCACAAGTTTAAGGGGTACTTGACGTTGACGAAGATCTCCTCCACGCCCCTAGCCGAGCAGAACCTATGTCTGTGCTGGACGACGAGTGAATTCGAATCCTTTACTACGGAATTGATATAGCTGGCGACACAAGAGCTGGAGCCTGTCCTCAATGTGATGGAGGCGTATCTTCGGGGACAGCGTAACATCATCGTGGACCGGAGGGACTTCTACTTAAGAGTTCAAGAACCGGGTGAAACATTTGACGACTTCCTGTGTGCTGTGAAGGAAATAGCAAATTTCTGTGACTTTTGTGAGTCTTGTATAGACAATAGTCTTAGAGACCAGATTGTTGTCGGTACTCGTAATGAGGAAGCAATGAAACGTATGCTTGAGGAGAAAGACCTGAAATTGCAAAGTGCTATCAACGTATGCCGAGCTTCAAAAAATGCTAATGTGAGCAGTACAGTGATTCGAGGCTCGGCAATTCATACGTTGGCCAAGTGTCTCGGTACAAGCAAAACCGGAGTGCCAGTGTAGATTCCCCTCAGTCGTCCATTTATTCCATTGCTCCCTCATGTTATTCTTAAAGGGCTTATTAATGCTGACACCGGGAATTACTGCCAGCTGTGTGTTGAGCACCTTTGCTAGCCTTTTGGTGTTTTCAGTCCTGTGAGCACTAAACTGATCCCATACTAGCAGTGAATTCTTTGGTAGCAGGCCACCAGGACGCTTGGACCACACTATATCCAACCATACCTTGACACCTTCTCCATCCATCCATCCCTTGGGTTGTACAATGACATGAATTCCATTGGCAGTTATTCCTTCGGTAATGTTTTTCTCTTGAAAATTAACAGAGGCGTTAGTTTGGTCCCGTCGGCACGGCAAGCTAAAACTACCGTGTAGTGAGTCTTCGTGTCCAGTGGTTTTAACAATCACAGATTTCATCCCTTTTACATTTACACTTTTATTAGATGGCACATCAAAGGTTAAAGATACCTCATCCATATTCCCAATTTGACTGAGTTCGGGACAACTCTGTTTTCTAACATTAATAATAAATTTATGGAAACCTAATATTTTCTCTTCGTATTCTGCAGGCATTTTCTGAGCTAACTTTGTTGTTGTTCGCAAACTTAAGCCATTTCGTTTCATGAAGCGAAAACACCAACAAGCAGTTCCTTTGAAATCATCCACCCCAAGTCAAACCCAAGTTTCTTTGGTCTAATATCCATGTTTTCAAGTTTTCTTCTAAGTCTGGCCATTTTGGTGGCACTGTACGAAGATTATGCTTCTGTTTATTCGCTTTTTTTAATTCTTCCTCCTGCTTCCTCTACTGGCGAATCATCTTCTCAGTAGGTGGTGATCCGAAGTTTCTCTCTGTTGCCCTGTTTCCATGTTCTTTGGCATATTGCACTACTTCAAGTTTAAATGCAATATTATATTTATGTCCCCTTGATACACCTGCCATAGATGAGGGAGATAATTTGTAGAGTGACGACGATATGTTTTCACATGTGCACACTTACATAGACGCAGTCTCACTTTTTTTTTACCATTAATGGTGAGCTACTTAAAACAACCAAATTAATTTTACTACAGCTACAACTAAGGTCTTATTTTCTTCAGTTTTATATGTAGAACCACTCAGTCACTGGTTTTGTAAACATTAATGAAAGCAATGCCGTCTCGTCTCCTCGTGTGTTTTAATATTCTATGCCTTATTAATGAATTGTATTGTTCATTTGCGCACAAACATTAATTCAATCAAAAGAAATTAAGTAATAAACAATGATTGTGCACGTCTGACGTTGGTGGGTCGCTCAAACCTGTCGAAATTCGAGTTTCCGCCGTCGAAATTTGAAATTGTGTAGTTTTTTCTTCCAAATAAGAAACGTCAAATAAAAACTCGCAAAATTTGAGAACCTACTGTAGGGTAAATAAGGCAAAATTTAGCCAAACATCGAAAGTACCAGACTCAAATTAATTTTCTCCACAGGAAGTTGTATTTAAATTTGGACGATTTAAATTTTGCAAGGTTTTTACAGTCTAAATAGGTGTCCAAATATGAGAGCCTACATTTGAAGAAACAAACATTCCTGCACTTTGAGACCAGCAGACATTCTTTTGCAATTCCTAAATAGATGGCGCTGCTGCACCACTGCCATTAGTAAACAAACCGCACAGCAGCAAGGGTTGTGTAGCTGCAGCCGTTTATTTTTTACCTACTGAATAAGTAAATAATCATATTTTTGGCAGTATATCAACAATATTAGTTAAATCAATAGTTTTATAGTACAGTATTACCCCGCCTAATGCGGTTTCACTTAACGCGTTTTATCATATACGCGGTGCCTCGCCAGAGCTGAACTTTCACTTAACACGGATTTTTTCCACATATACCGGTGAGTGTCCGGCTCGAGACGCTATTTTTAGATTTGCCCCACCCGCCACCCTGCCTGACTGCCTGTTTTAGCTCATAAAATTCATACAAATTACCCGGCCAGAATATAATTTACATTGCTGGAATTCTTATAATTTGGTGATCATTTTGAATATAAACATCATATATTTTGCATTAGACATACAAATTTTAGATAAAAATTATTCTCAGAGTAACTATGTTATCTTTTGTGCAAAATATATGACATTTATATTCAAAATATTCCTGGTCTTACAAGGAATCCAGCAATGTCAATTATATTATCCTAACTTTAGTTTGAGGTATTATTTATTACAATTTAGTGGTTATCCCACACATCTCCTTGGGACGGTTGGTGGGGGGGTGGGGGGGAGGGAGGGACCGACCGACCATCTGTTACCCCGTGAAGAATTATTTTTTTTTTTTATTAACTGAAGATATTTGTTTTAGCTCATAAAATTCATACAAATTACCCAGTCTGAATATAATTTACATTGCTGGAATTCTTATAATTTGATGATCATTTTGAATATAAACATCATATATTTTGCATTAGACATACAAATTTTAGATAAAAATTTTTCTCAAATTAACTATGTTATCTTTTGTGCAAAATATATGACATTTATATTCAAAATATTCCTGGTCTTACAAGGAATCCAGCAATGTCAATTATATTATCCTAACTTTAATCTGAGGTATTATTTAATACTAAATGTTAAAAACTCTGGAAGGGAGGATTGGTGGGGGGTGGGGGGGAGGGTTGGGACTGACCGCGCGGTTGGAAGAGGGGGGGAGGCAAGGTGGGGTACTTTGATTGACAGATAGTGTCGTGAAGATTATTTTTTTTTTATTAACTGAAGATATTTGTTTTAGCTCATAAAATTCATACAAATTACCCGGTCAGAATATAATTTACATTGCTGGAATTCTTATAATTTGGTGATCATTTTGAATATAAACATCATATATTTTGCATTAAACATACAAATTTTAGATAAAAATTTTTCTCTAGGTAACTATGTTATCTTTTGTGCAAAATATATGACATTTATATTCAAAATATTCCTGGTCTTACAAGGAATCCAGCAATGTCAATTGTATTATCCTAACTTTAGTTTGAGGTATTATTTATTAAAATTTAGTGGTTTTCCCCCAAAAATTTCTCTGAGAGGGAAGAGCCGGCAGTGTGTGTGAGAGGGGGAGGGAGTTGAGTCCATTATTTGAATGGACATTAACTTGGCGACTGTATTTCTCTATTTCTCTTAAGTATTAATTGTGTGCATGTACCATCATAAAATTAAGATGTTATTTTTACTACAACATAGGTATGTGCCTTCAAAAAGTGGAGTTTGGGGGTCGGGCCGGTTTCTATTGGAATTAATCCCATATGTTCTGTTGTTCACTTAACGCGGATTTCACTTAACACGGGACCCTCTGGGTTCTATTGACCGCGTTAAGTGGGGTACAACTGTACTTTATAGAGAATACTTGTAATTGCTAGGTACTGTAATGAGGTAACAGTCTTTGTAAGGGGCTGATTTCAAAAACCTCCGCTACAACTCATCAACTAGCATCCTGGAAGACACATGGTAATTTTTCAATGTATATTTTTGTAATAAAAAGTGCATCTTTCAAGCCAAAAAATACGGTAGTACTTATGAGTACAGTATACTTAGGGTCCCATAGGTCTGATGGGGTGTTATGGGCAGTGCAGACAGTTCACAGTAGACCAAACCATTTTTAATAAGGAAGGAAGCAGCACGGCTGCCATTGCAATCAACTGCCTTCACTTCCCCAACTATATAGTTAAGTACACAATCACAGCTGGGTAGACTAAGGATGCCACTTGTGTAAACAGCACCCCATGACCAGGTTAGAGGGCAATGAAGAAAGAGTCATGTAGAAAAAAATCATATATTAAATTGTCACATATACATGTCAGCAGCCACACACTGTACTGTAGTGAGTAAGAATGTGACCAAATTTTCACTGTATAGTACTGTACTTATTTGTTACAATAATAGTAAAAATATCCATTAATATATGATGGACTGGCTGAAAACACTGAACTCTACTCTAGGTATAAAATATTCTCACTTGGGACAACACAGGGGTTGCAATCATGTCTGTAGCTTAAGTTCATCCAGCTTGTGTAGCAGTATGGCAAACTTTTCTTCTACTCTCCTCAGTGGTTCCTGCACTTCTTCCACAATTTCACCCGTGACTACATTAACTTGCCCTCGCTGAGTCCCAACAATGGCTCCACGTACTGACATTTTTACAGAATTAAGATCAGCTAAAGCTACCTTGAGAGCAACACCATCAGTGGCTGCTAAGGCTGCATCTACTAAATATCCACAACGATGTAATGCAGCCACAGTTGTGATAGTGTCCTTCTCCCAACCTGATTTCTGCGTAGATGCTGCCAGGGCCTTCTTGAATTGCTGCATAGCCATGTGACGTGTTTCAGGGTTGGGTTCTGTATTAGCTTGAGTCAGGATGCCATACAGGTACCACAATTCTGGGTGTGTTGGCACCTCACTGGTCAACCGCCCCAGTAGTTCTGAGCATCGTTTATACAGTCCTCGTATTTCACGTCCTTCTGGATCGGTCTTCCCTTCTATTATGGCCTTTACTAAGCGACCAAGAATCTGTGTGTCAACGTGACGTTCCTTCATTGTCAGGATGCGATTGTAAGAATTTAAAGCATGTGACATGTAGCCTAAGGATGTGCTTACAAGCATGAAGTTATCCCATAGTCGCCAAGAGTCTACTTTGCACCGCAATGCTTCCTGCAAAGCTTTCCAGGCACGGTGTTTCTGATCCAATTTCAAGTATGCTTGACTCATGTTATTCCAAACTTCAAAACTATCTGGCTCCAATACACTACATCTTCTATATGCCTGAGCACATTTTTCCCAATGTTCTACCTGCAAGGCACAATAGGCAAGTCTTTGCCAAACAGGGAATTGCAGTTTGTTGATTTCAATACTTTTCTCATAATGCAAAATAGCATTACTATAGTCCTTTCTTACATAGTAAAAATTCCCCAAACTTCTCTGGGCCCTTCCACTCTTGTGGCCAGACAACTCCCAAGCTTTTTTATAATGCTCAATATTATCTGTGGCATCACCTAACATACACCAAAGTTTGGGAGTTTCTCTTTTCTCCAGCTGACCTCTTACTATTTCTGCAGAGCGTTGACGCATTTGTAGCTCGTTATAACATGTGATGACGTCCTCCCAAAGCTGGAGGCGTTCAAATACCTCAAGAGCAGTCTTGACACAGCCTAATCGCATGAGCATTTTAGCTAACTCTTGTTGTAGTTCCCACTGAGGGAGAACTAATGAAGCAGAGAAGAGCTTCAGCCTCTCATACCTAGAGGGCTCTGTTCGATTCACAGCTGATACCAGTTCTTCCACCTGATTCAGTGAACGTTCCATTGCTCTTGACTCGGTGGCCTCTACGCGAGACCTTAGGAGTAAAGCCGACATCTGTAAGCACCAGTTCTTGGGATGCTGAAGGAGTGCCGCAAGATATGCTTTAGTCTCTTGATCAAGTTGCAAATCTGCCGCCGACGATCGTCTCTTATAAGTGATTGTGGACAGAATTACCGACTGTTCAATAGGCCTTAAATCTGGTATAACATCTTGATCCTGTTCTTTGAATTTGAATCGATTAAGTCGGGTATCATCATTGAGAACGACATCTTTGGGGAGGTCAGACGGAAGAAGGTTGTGTCCAGGGAGCTCACTGTTCATCAGTGGTTGTCCTTTATACTGTACCTTAGCCACCAACTGGGGTCGGTCCTCCTCCTGCCACTTTGTTCTTTTCCCTAGGGCGCCCGATAATTCAATTTCTATCTCCAAAGCTTGTGCTGCTTTCTGAAAATGGTCACCAGCTCGCCCAACATCATAATAATGCAAGTGAAGGTATCCAGCCTCAAGATGGTAGAGAGCCATCAGGTCTCTTGAAATACTGATATTAACCAGCTGTTGATTGTTTTCCACCTCGTTAAGAGCCTGTAAGAGTACTTCATACAGCTGAGGCGACCGTTCATCAGCAACTCTCTGGTGCAGGAGAGAACAGCGGAAACACCACCAGTCCACACTCAAGCACGTTGACAGGGATGATCGAAGGTCTATTAGAATAAGACGGGCCAGCACCAGATACTCAGGCCCGTACAGCAAACTGTAAACTCCTTCAGCATCCCCCACTAGTGACTGTAATGCCTCCTCTCTTACCTCCTCATCACTCCAGCCCTCAGGCTCTAAGCCTGGCAGTAAAGAATTTGGTGATGGACCAATAAGTGGTCCAGTGAAGTTATTCTGTGTGAAGAGCTGAAGAGATGATAAGCCAATGCAGAGGACAACATGTTGCTTATCAGGTGTTCCATCACTAAGATAGGCTGACAGAACCTGATGGTAGTGATCCGTGATGGAGATTCCAGCAGCCCTCCGTTTTTTACTCCCACTACCAAGTGCAGCCTGACACTCGGGCTCCTGTAATGCAGCTACGTAACTTCCAACAGCAACAAGTGCTGACACACTTCCCCAAACTTCTGCACCTGAAAAAATAAATAACATAAAATAAACAGAGAGAGAGAGAGAATTAAAATATCTTTAGTTTATAAAGATGAATCAATGTCTTCTGCCAACAAATACATTTTCATAAACTATCAATCTTGAACTCACAAAATGGTCTGAAATCCCATTATACAGTACAGTATAGCCAAAACTGGGCTGGGGAAAATCATGTTATACAACTGGCCAAGTTTAGGTCAACACCCAGGGTATGATAACTCAACAACGGCAGCTGCAAGTAACCAAGGCTAGATAACCTTCTCCACATTAATCAGATACCATCAAATGTGCACACCCTCAATCACTCAGTCAGCTACAAAAAGAAACTATCAACAACAATCCAGCTCCACTGTCAGCCAGATACTCTTGAGAGAAGGAACAATATGTGGGTTCCCAGTTAAGGCTTGGCTATAAAATTAGGTTTCAGGATTAATCCGCTAGCTGTACTGTACTAACAGCTCTCCTTGTAAACCCATGTCACAGTACACTATACCCTTGTTAACTCAACAAAAAGGGGCTCTCTGACTCACTCGAATTACCGAAAAATCTGAATTAACCGAGTTTGGAATATCTTGACACTATTCAACAATTTCCAAATTTTTGTGTTTGATTATGCCCAATTTAAACAAGTAATATTGTTGGCAATTTTATCTATTAAAATACTCGAAAAATATAAATTTCAGACAGAAACATTATAAAGGAAAAGTGTCCAAGAGTTGTCTAAACTACAAATTCCAAAATTTTAAATCCTAAGCTTATATGGAGGACTTCACAGCTGCTTCTCCCAGTCTCAGAAACAATAATTTTGCCCACAGCAAGTGTTAGGTTAGTTTAGTTTAAGGTAAGGTAAGGTTAACTTAACTGAACTCTTAAATACAAGGAGTCCCCGACTTACGAACGGGGTTAGATTTGAAATTTACAGTACAGTACTTTATTTACCTGATGACATATTTGTTACTTTCATTTATTGAATTTTGTCATTCTATTTCTTCTTTTGTCTTAAATTAAGTGATTTTAAATGTATATAAGGACTTCCACTATGATATAGTGGAATTTTAAACATTGTTCTGTAAGTACGGTATACATACAGCATGTGTTCCAATTTACGTACAAGTCCGACTTACAAACATCCTCAGGAATGGAACTCCTTCATAACCCGGGGACCACCTGTAAACACTTTTTAACACATTTGCCATTTTTAAATTAGTTTTCTATGAAAAATCAGCGGCTGTGAAGTCGTAAATAAGTTACTAAATCCTAAAATTCACTACATGACTGAAACGATAATAATACCTAATTCAGATTCATGGATGATAGAGAGTGGTAGTAATTCTCGACAGGAGCTGCCATGCACAGGCCAACCGGCCTATTGCAGACTCCTTATTTTCTTATGTTCTTATTTCTTGTGCAAATTAGCGGTTTTTGCAAAAATTAACATTTTCATTTTTAGGCAGTAGATATTTTGCCATGACCAGCCAAGTTCCAACTAATGCTATTGGTAAAATTGCAGATTACAGCAACCAAAGAATCTGAAGAAAAAAAAGTGTTACCTAACCTAATGTAATACAGTACAGGTATAAGAATATGACCATAGAAAAAAGTTCTATCAATTGAGTGTCGTGAATTTCTGGAATTTTGTGATTGCTGTTTACTGCACTGTGAGTGTGCTCTGATTAGCTAATCATCCATTGTCGGCAAACATCACAAGAACAATATGTGACCGTGACTGGCGGTAATTGGCATTTATTTTGCTGTAAGTCGATCATTATGTAGCCATAAACATACCTAACCAGAAGGAGTTGTTCGATTTTGGTCATTTTTTCCCACATATTATTATTATAAAAGAGGCAACATTTACTAGAGCCTAATAGAACCTGGCCTAACCAACCAAAGAAACCTACCTAACCTTGCGTAACTTCTTAGCCGGTCATATTAAACAGAAAGTGCTTAGCGAATCACAGTGCACTTACGATCACGGTAAAATATCCACTACATCATTTTTAACAGACATCGCTAATTTGCACAAAAATGAAGGTCAAATTTGAGTAAAACACAAAAAAAATGGTAATTATTCGTTTTAGCAAACTCTCACATTTTTTCACGGGGTATTTGATTTTGTATGTGTTTTGTTCAAATCTGACCTTCGTTTCCTTGGTAAATGCATTGTTTAAATAAAAGAAAAAATGCAAGTCATCCTTGATCAAAAACAGCTATTTCCATCAAAAACATCCAAATACATCAGAAACATCTAGTCCCTTAACTTTCACTAAATTAACCCATCTTATCCAAACCTAACCCCTGGCAGTGTGACACGCCTCATGGCTCCAGACAGCTCGTGGTGGGTGGAGATTTAATGATCTACTTTCATAGGCGTTCCTCACTTGTGTGATCTTGCTGAAAGAAACACGTTTCCAAGAGGCTTCAAGGATTGAGGAATGTATGAGGTAGAAATTGCCTAAAAGTAAGTACTTCTATGCGATTTGAAGATGTGGTAAACCGAATAATAACCCCCCAAAAATATTCTCACACCAAAGGAACCAACCTACCTAACTAAACCTAACCTAACCTACAAGGAGGAGACAAGTGACTGAGTAGAGTATAACCTCAGGAAAACATGGCGGGAACCTGCGGACAGGCAATGGACGAATATTAACCGAAATTTTTTTTTATCATGCGGTTAATATATTAACTCTCCACCAGGTATGTCCTACAGCACATTCCTAAAAGCAAGTACTGTTGCTACCATTTTTTTTTTACTGTCTCGCAGCTGGTCCGACTAATTACCCAAATGTAGCCAAATGTAACTGCAATGAAGTCAAATAATGGTCCTACATGAATAAATCACTGCCAATCACTTCTCGACTAGTATTTGGTGTCACAAAGTCACAAAAAATTGGTATACTTAATTTAATCTGAGTTAATAGATCAAGTGCCTGTACCTAACCTAACACAACACAACACAACACAACTCAGATTAAATTAAGTTTACCAATTTTTTGTGACTTTGTGACACCAAATACTAGTCGAGAAGTGATTGGCAGTGATTTATTCATGTAGGACCATTATTTGACTTCATTGTGGCTACATTAGTCGGACCCTCTCACAGCTTGACTTTGAAATACTAACATCAATCCACCAAACAATCCAATAATATTTCCATACCTTCAATGTTTGATTCATGATTTTGAATGGCATACTCAGAGGATAGATATTTTCGCTCTAATTCATGGAGTACTGCCATCACCAACCAGGCCAACTCGTTAACGTCAGACCACGTTAGTCAACAAGACGTGTGTGAGGTGCCAACACTGGTACTCCCCAGAACCATTTACTCCTGCGTATATACAGTAAACTATATGTAACTCCTTTATAACTGAAGAGCTTGTAATTACCATGTTTTATGTCGAACTTCATATGATAGCTTCTTGTTTAGGAAATTTGATATAAGGATGGTGAGAAGGTGAAGGGGGGGGGGGTGGGGACCTCGCTCATGGTGAGTGTTGGGAATGTTGCTTAAAATGATCATTAAAAACGCGTCATCACTAGTCACCGTTACCTGTATTTTTTTAAATGGCCTCCCCGCTCCCCTTATAGCCACACCATTACTCAAACTATCCAACCAGGAGCGAACTCGTAACAATGGTTTTAAATTAGACAAATTTAGATTTAGGCGTGAAATAGGTAAACATTGGTTTGGAAACAGAGTAGTGAATGAATGGAACAAGTTACCAAATATCATCATTAACTCGAATACGCTGGATAGCTTCAAACATAGGTTGGATGGATATATGAGCAATAGGGGTTGGGTGTAAACGGGACTGCCCAGTATGGGCCAATAGGCCCGCTGCAGTTTCCTCCATTCTTATGTTCTTATGAGCATATATATATATATATATATATATATATATATATATATATATATATATATATATATATATATATATATATGTGTGTGTGTGTGTGTGTACTACAATAATTATATCATAGGTGTGTGTGTATACTGGAAAAAAATATCTTATTAATTTTCGTTTTCATCGGGTAGAGGCTATTGTTTTTGTTTGAGATAATTGTGAAAAAGGAACATAAAACTGATTATTTTGCAAATTAAACACTAATTTTATTTTATATAACGTTTATTTTTAAATTTATGCTAATTTTGTCTTGAAGAACTGGAAAAAATGTCAGTGTAATACTTTTACTGTATGGTAAGGGAGGCCGAGCAGTCAGCTGGGAGAGTAAATATATTTGGGCGGGTAACTGTGAGGTGTTGGAGGGGAGGGTGAGTTACCGTGGAATAGAATATACAGTATATAGAGAGTGTTGAGGATTTCTGGCGGTGTCTGTTGATTGCTCCAGCTGTTAATAGGTGATGGTGGCCTTGGGGTGTTAACATAACATAAGAAGGAAGGAAACTGCAGCGGGCCTATTGACCCATACTGGGCAGTCCCGTTTACACCCAACCCCTATTGCTCATATAAGCATTCAACCTTTGTTTGAAGCTATTCAGCGTATTCGAGTTAATGATGATATTTGGTAACTTGTTCCATTCATTCACTACTCTGTTTCCAAACCAATGTTTACCTATTTCACGCCTAAATCTAAATTTGTCTAATTTAAAACCATTGTTACGAGTTCGCTCCTGGTTGGATAGTTTGAGTACCCTTGTAATGTCCCCTTTGTTTAGCCCTGACTTCCATTTAGACACCTCTATCAGGTCGCCCCTCACTCTACGTCTCTCGAGGGAGTGCAAATTAAGATGCTTTAACCTGTCTCTATACTCAAGGTTCCTAATGCCCGGGATTAGTCTTGTCATTCTTCTCTGAATTCTTTCCAATGATTCTATATCCATTCTGTAATACGGTGACCAGAACTGAACTGCGTAATCCAGGTGTGGTCTCACAAGAGCAAGATACAGTTTTAGGATGACCTCGCTAGTCTTGTAACTAACACTCCTTTGTATGAACCCAAGTACGTTATTAGCCTTGTTACGAGCAAAAACACATTGTTTACTTGGCTTAAGGTTCCTACTTATCATTACTCCTAAGCATTTGGTGGGCACAATCATGAGTCATTCTTAGCTTGGTTAAGTTAAAACTGTTGTATATATATATATTTTTTTTCTTTTCTATTCAGATGTGGTACTTTGTAACTGTTCTAGTCTTCATTTCCTGAGGAATAATGTCTGAAGGAACAATGTCGATGACTCCCCCTCTGACTCCCCCGGTGGAGAAGGGGGAGGTCATGATGGACAGTGACAGCCTTGACTACATGGATTTCTTCATCAGTGAGCTTAATACATCTCCAGCCAAGGAAGAAAGAGGTAATGTCTCTGTTGTGTAGGTTGTACAGTATATAATATGGTGTTGAGAAGAGGTTCCCCTTACAGTACATGGCTTTAAAGATAAGTGCCTTACAGTAGGTTATTACTGTACTGAATATATACAAGTTGGAGGAATGATTTATTGGTGAGATGATGGAAACGCAATAAAGATGGTATGATAATCTTGTTTAGTCACGCTTAACCCTTTTTGCCGGCCGATGACGCTATTTGCATCACTAAGCGGACCGTTAGAAGTGAGATGTATCGCCTGACCCTGAGCCCTCACACTGACACATAAGATATTATCTTTCCACACTCATTTCCAGCCATCCCATATACTACTACTTTGTTCTTTTATCACTTAATCAGATACAGTATCTTTATAACCCAATAAAATAAGAAGACAAAAATTGCATAATTTTATCCGTAAATGTTAAATACAAAATATACTCAAAGAAATATCTAGTACACGTAAGTATAAATAAAAAGTTTGTGATGATCGGACAACGTCCATTTCGGTTAACGTCACGTTTCCAAGAACGTATCTAGGACGTTAACCGGCGCATGACTGTATAATAACTAGGTGGGGAGAAGCTCAAACTACATGGCATTTCATCATAGTGCAAAAAGTAAGATTGACTGGGAGTGAATACACTGATTGATTACAAGTTATTGATAATTTTTTGCGCTGGTTGGGACTGGGCTGTTCTTATAGCGATCAGTTTGTGCTCGTATGGGCTGGATGCAGTTGTTGATACCGGAGTCAGTAAAATCAGTTATAATTTCGTTACACAATTTTTCTTTTTTTTTTATCAAAATAATCCTGAATATACCTCCTGCCCTCTCCTGCCATCCGCCATGTTGTGTAAGCGGCGCGAGCAGGGTGCGCACAAGGTCGCCCAGTCATCAAAACATTACCGAGTTCTTCACCCGCCACCCACCACAGCTGGCCCAAGTCAGTGATAGTGATAATTATAGTGAGGATATGGACTTATATGGACTTTGAGGGGTTTGACAAAGAGGCCCTGCAAGCCTCTGTGGTGGATAGTGATACAAGTGATACAGGTGATACAGGTGAGGGCCAATAATCTGCCCTCTGCCTCGGAACCAACCCCCCATCCCCGTGTGTCCAGCCATCTCTTCTACTAATGTAAGTGTTAAAAAACCTAATATTATTGATATTTCTCTTAATTATTAATTGTGTGTGCATACCATCATAAAATTAAGAAGTTATTTTTACTACAACGTAGGTATTGTGTCTGAAAAAGTGGAGTTTGGGGAACGGCCCGGTCTCTATTTCAATTAATCCCATATGTTATGTTGTTCACTTTACGTGTTTCTCACTTTACGCGGTACCCTGTGGGTTGAATTAACCGCGTAAAGTGAGGGTTCACTGTACAACAATTTTTGTTCATTAAATTTGAAACATCAATCTTTGGTAATTAAAATTGAAACAAAAGAAAACTACAAAAACAAAACACTTTACCTAACCTTCTGATGTTCAAGAGATGTTACTCATTTTTTTAATAATTTACGGTTAAAATACTGTTATATTACAATGATATTCTATTCATACTGTGCTTGATATAATACATTCACGGAAATGTAATATTTTTGCTGAAATGACGTACGTATTACAGTGGAAAGTGGGATAAAATCATGACGAAAACAATGACTTTCGCTTTCTTTCGTTGTTCAACTCCCCCCTCCCCCCCCTCCCCCCCTCCCCATAGATTTGCTTTTTGCAGACTGGAGTCTGCCCCAATTTATTTGAGGTCCTTCTGTAGTTTGTTGGCTTCTAGTGTTTGGTAAGGTTGAATTTTTCCTTCTTAAGTGGGTTGTTTGTTTCCATATTATATAGAAATTCTGTTATTGATCTCTAGTCTGCTCTGTAGACAAAACACTTAGTGATACTCCAATTCATCTGCTTTAGGCCTACAAGTGCTACAGAGGTGCAGCTTTGGGAGTCAGCAAGCCTCTTCTTAAGAGTCAGCTAGCCTCTTCTTAGTCAGCTAGCCTCTTCTCAGAGTCAGCTACCCTCTTCTTAGTGCTTAAAGGTCGTTATTTATGTCCTTGAATTGGATTGTCTTCTCTGACTCCCTTGTGTTATTGACAGAATCAGATGATAATTATTAGTTCATTGTTGCTAGGTGAGGTGAGGTGAGGTGAGGAAATGAAGAACCGAGTGTCCCATCCATAGTGGGAACTATGATAGACTGATCCTTTATTATTGTAACTACAGTATTATTATTATTATTGTTGTTTCTATTATTTTATTACAACTATTGTTATTATTATTTACTTATTATTTTATTATTGTTATTATTATTATTATTACAGACAAGTTCAGAGAATGAAGTAACCTATCCCAAGGCCTTGACTTGGTGATTTTGAAGGTTCATAAACTTTTAAAGCAATCACTTATGGTGATCCTTCCAGACTGTGTAACCTACCAGTACTTGAGGAGGATGCCAAGCACCTTGTCTAGTGCAGGCTGGTCAGGGGCAAGTTACTTGTCTCCTCTTTTTGGCTATAAAAGTAGTTTTCATACATGACTATTTTATATTTGTAATGAAGAATGTATGTTGTATAACTGTGTGTTCAGTTCTTTAAATTCACAGTCGTATGCTAATAGAAGTACATTATGTTAATCAGTATTGATGTTTAATGTATGTGTGTTTTCTTCACTTGTTTTCTCTGACAGTATGTTCCTTGGCTACAAATGATGGCCCACTGTTATTTTCCTGCATGGGAGAGGTTCGTTGGACCGAGAACATCAGCAACATGTCTTGTGTCGGTCAAGAAGTCTTGGCACAGCTCCTTCGGCATATAAATCCCTGTCCCACAGCTCTTCTCTCCTCTGAAGTTATATTCAACTTACCGTGCACACAAGACAACCTGCACCTCAATCTCGCCCACTTTTTTACTGCCGTCAGGTATGTATACATATCCTTCATTTAACGATCATTCACTTAGCAATATTTTGGTTTAATAATACAGTGGTGCCTCGACTAATGAGCGGTTCAATTTACGAGATTACAGTTTACGAGTTAGCTCCCTTAAGGATTTTCAGTTCGACTAACGAGTAAAACTTCTATTTACGACAGCCTTACGAGAAACAGCTTTGGTGCGCCCATCAGCTGATCGACTGAGCGACTAGTCCGCCAATACAGTAATCAGTTCTATGTTTACATTTGTTTCTAGTGGAGTAAATATCAAGAACGTTGTGCTCGTGAATATTTTTGCATTTTTTATATTAAGATTATTGGTCATTCTGAAATTTAGTTGACATATTGATAATATACAGTGCAGAAATTATTAAGAAATACAGAGAAGGCATTAGAACCAATGCACTCTGTAAAGAATATGGCATGTCATCATTGACTGCCTCTACAAAACAGCTGTTTGCGATGCCGCTGTGTAAACAAAGCCACCGGGAATTCTACATACACATATCAAATTTAGTGTTAAAATATTTTACTGTACAGTACAGTACTGTATTTTGTTTATATTCAGTGTTTTGTTAATTCCATTACCAGTATACAGTACTTTGTATGTACTTTTTCTGTGAGTTGGAACCAATTACCCAATATCCCATTGATTCTGTTAATGATATTTTCAGTTAACAACTGACTCTGTGGAACCAATTGTGTTTGGACCACTGTATAACATTTTTAAGAACCATTCTTGTTTAACAATGGTCATTTTTCAGTTTAGTGATGTTCGACTCACCGGGAAAAATCCGGGAGGGAAGTCTAAAAGTCAGAATTCTGTACTCCAAGTGCGCATAATTACAATAAACCCTCGATAACTCGGCATTTCATATAACTCAGCATGGATACGGTCTCAGAATGTATTAGTGTAACTCGGGAAATGCAGAGATATAAAATTATCTGGGAAATTTTTTTATATCTGGCTGCCTGCATCACTTACCATGCCTCTGTGTCACCTACCATACCTCTGTGTCACCTACCATACCTCTGTGTCACCTACCATACCTCTGTGTCACCTACCATGCCTCTGTGTCACCTACCATGCCTCTGTGTCACCTACCATGCCTCTGTGTCACCTACCATACCTCTGTGTCACCTACCATACCTCTGTGTCACCTACCATGCCTCTGTGTCATACCTCTGTGTCACCTACCATGCCTCTGTGTCACCTATCATGCCTCCACCTACCATGCCTCTGTGTCACCTATCATACCTCTGTGTCACTTATCATGCATCTGTGTCACCTACCATGCCTCTGTGTCACCTATCATACCTGTGTCTGCCTCTGTGTCACCTACCATGCCTCTGTGTCACCTACCATGCCTCTGTGTCACCTACCATGCCTCTGTGTCACCTACCATGCCTCTGTCACCTATCATGCATCTGTGTCACCTACCATGCCTCTGTGTCACCTATCATACCTGTGTCACCTACCATGCCTCTGTGTCACCTACCATGCCTCTGTCACCTATCATGCATCTGTCACCTACCATGCCTCTGTGTCACCTATCATACCTGTGTCACCTACCATGCCTCTGTGTCACCTACCATGCCTCTGTCACCTATCATACCTCTGTGTCACCTATCATGCATCTGTGTCACCCACTATAATGATCATTCTTCTGAGGCTGAAAATCAGGAACATTTTCTGAAAATAAAAACAAAATCTGGAAAATCTGTCCAAATTTTTATTTCTGGGTCTGAGAGCAAATGTCGATTATAAATTAATGCACAATTATCAGAAAATCCAAGAAAATGCCTAGAAAATTACTCCAAACCTTTCTGTTCAGGGCATGGGGACAAGAGGGTTCTGGTCATTATGAAAGATTGCATCATTTTTAGCCTCATCCTCACATGGTTGGTGCGTGGGTGGGAAGACCAACCGCTTGAGAAACGCTTGATTTATCTGCTGAGGTTCTATTTATAACTACTGTGCAAACATAATTTTTTTTAATGTACATCCAATACTAAAGAGTAAAGTAATACAGAAATATATTGATGTAATTCCGAGCCGAGCTAGTGAGTCAGGTGGTGAGGTGATGAGGAAGTAGGTTAGGTCACATGCCAAGACACTTACACAGCACTACTAAACCATTGTCTTATGACATTTTACATTATAATTTATATTTTAAAATTAATTGATACATCATGGCTTGATTTGGCTACTTTTGCACTTAGACAACTGATCAGTGAATAAACCAGGGCTTATGGAGACGCATTATACACTAGTGATGCCACGAAGCTTCGCAATTGCAACCACAAACGAGGGTTGAGAACTGAGAAATTCATTGGTCAGTGGGGCCCTCCAAACCACTGTGTTGTCTTAATGTACAATAGCTACAATAATAGATAAAGTGAACAATGTTTTTAGATCTTTACAGTGATAAACCTTGAGTAACTTGCTTAATTACAGGTGACCCTTTTCACACATGGAGTGTAAAAAAGTAGTACATCCTGTAGCATTGGACAATCTGATGAGCATAAACCTCTTGGTTTATCCCCATTAAAAAGTCATAATTTAGGGCAAAAAAAATTTAAAATAAAAAAATAAATGAAAATTCCTTGTGTTTAACCTGCTCTGAACTTATAATAATTATTGTATTTATTTATTTAATTTTTTTCATATTATGTATGAAATATTGTAAGTGCATGTAAGCGAGTAAAAACAATTTTTTTTGTCTACCTGAAACTATGAGTTGAAAAATAACTGCTCCGTGATAATTCTGGTTCTTCAAGGTCTTAGGAACGGAATCTGTTTTTCCCCATGAGTTATTAATATTGATAAATGATCAATCACTTTACAATGGCTTTTCGAAGTCTCTACTCTCAGTGTATAATGGTCAATACCTGCATACGGTAAGTATTTATTTAACTCAATGAAAACCTTTGTCATTTAATACAGTAGACCTCCAGTTTAACATGAAGTGATTCAACATTACAACTTGAATTAATCCCACTTTTTTCGGTTTAGTTCATCAAATTTGTTTTTACACGGTGTAAGCCCACAACTCCTTGACTAAACTAATAAAAATCTTTGGAAAAAATAGAAACATTTTAAGATTTTTTTTAATAAATTGAAAAACAAAAATATGAAAAATGTGAAACATAGTATAACTAACATGCAGAAGTGTCCGGTTTACTTGGCTGAGAGGTTCTTAAAACAGTGTGTGTGAAACAGAGAAATAAGGTGAACAAATATGAAAACATCAGAAATTATTTTAAACTTTAAGCCCAGTTCCCCCTTTTTCACAATGCCTTAACACATTGAGTTTCAAATATAAACTAACACTTCCTTGGTCTCCTGCACTGGACAATTTTCTGTGTTCATTTTTCACATTTTGTCATTAAGTTGATGTTAAATAAATTTAACTTGAGCTCATCATTTATAATAAAAGATACAGCACAGTACAGCACAGTACAGCTCAGTAAAGCACAGTACAGCACAGTACAGCACAGTACAATACAGTACAGTACAATACAGTACAGTACAATACAGTACAGCACAGCACAGTACAGGTCATAACACCATCTGTGAGGGAATTACTACACCACATCAGGTCCCTCATAACACCATCTGTGAAGGAATTACAACACCACGTCAGGTCCCTCATAACACCATCTATGAGGGAACTACTACACGTCAGGTCCCCCCTAACACCATCTGGGAGGGAGTTACTGCACTACGTGTTTGCTGTTCAACACCTACATTAATCTGTATGTTCACTGTATGTTCCTTTACCTTTCTCTAATGAAGGCTTTTGTTAAACCACCAATGTATGTAATAAGTCATTTATGTCCAATGTATATTTTCAGCCTTCGGGCTGCAGAACTTTTTCAATAAGCCGTCAATTATTATTATTATTATTATTATTTTTATTATTACACCATAGTACAGCACAGCACATTACAGCACAGCACCGTATAGTGTACTTTATATTTATTTTATACGTTTCTCTGCCACATCATTATTTTATATGCATTAGTTAAACCCTTTGTATTTTTTTTTCCATGTGATAATTGACAAAGTTTTCAAGAGTTTTATATCTTCTTGCAGGCAAGGTGTAACACAACTGGAGAGAGGAGCCCAGTCGGGCTTATGTATGACTCAGAGTTGTCACGATGTTCAGTACCCAAAGATCCGACAGGACATTGCGACCTTCTTGAACTGCCTTGTATCCTATGTTCATACCCTGGGGTGTGATGACAATGAAGAGTTTCTTCACTCGGTGGTTGCTGAGGTTTTGGACATGTTGCTCTACCTTGGTCCGTTGCATGAGTTACCAGAGCATGTGACATCTGCAAGTTCTTCTCAGGGGAATAAGGTTAGTTATTTCATTATTAACCCCTTCACTGTAAGGAGGCCAAACAATTTTATTCAGCTCAGAGGGGACCTCGTACACATGGCTCTCTTTTGGGAACAGATAAATTGCATTATTTATTAATTGATGCAGTAGTTCTCCTGTGATATTTGTCTTTAATGATCTATTTTTTCTAATGTGTGGAAAGTAATGATTAAACTAGATTAAAATATCTGAAAAAGATGAATTTTATCAACTTCAACAAATCGTAATATTAGGGTAGTGTAAATTAGTAGCTTCCTCACTATATACAGGCTGTCCCCAAGTTACGAAAGGGCTATGTTCCTGGACCCTGTTCATAAGTCAGAGCACTTTTATTTCCATAGGTTTGATTAAAACACAACCCTGCCAATACAAAACAACAACAATATCCCATATAAAACAAATAATGTAAGCACTGCAATGAAATGATGTTTAACATTATAAAATAAAGTAAAAAAATTAACATTTAATTACCTTGGCCATTTGTAAGTACCAGAAAATGCTATTAGGTCAGAACAGATGAATATATTAGGATCCCGTTCCTAATTACGGGCGTTCATAAGTCTGGGACTGCCTGTATGTGTATCCAATGTTATTTGTGGGTTTGATTTCACGAGTGGCATCTGGAACTGCATAAGTAGGTATTTTACTATAAAACTGTACACAACTGCATAATAAAATTTCTCATGGAACTTGTGCGTCTGATGTACGGTACATTGAACGGTATATCTCAAGCCTCACTCAGTCTTTGCTGTTTACTTGTACTCACAACACTCATGGTTTAATTTTCTCAAATAATATCATGTTATTCTCGCAGCTGTGCCTCCCAAAAGGAGATCTAGTGATGGCAGTAGTAGTTATAATGATGTTTAAATGCTAAGGAAGGATTTTTCTCACAAAAACACTTAAAATTGATGAACTACAATACAGTATTCAGTCGACCCTCGTTAATCCGGATTTCAGATAATTCAGACAAAATCTGAACAAACTTTTTTTTTTTTTTTTTTTTTTTAATGCGAACTTAGCCAAATGCTGGTCCACCCAATCGCTGGGATAAAACACTAGCCGTTAAATATTCCACCACCAGTGTATACATGAAAAATATTTACTATTTACTGCCAGTAAACAATGGAAACGTAAAATATGTACCAATTAGTAATGAAAAGTTGTGCAGTTCCTTCAGCAAATGAAGCTCACCAACTTACAATAGGCTAAATTACCTTACAACGTGTTTTCAGTAGTCTATGTTGAAGTTCTTAGCACAGGCTAACTTATCATATCATATATGGTATCACAGTTCTCATTGATCTACAAAAATACCGGTAATAAAAACCTTTTCGATATTTCACACTTAATATAATACCCGGTAGTCTACTTCAACCTCCTATTGTTTACAACGACGCATGACGCACCACCAGCTGTTGAGTATCAATCAGCTAGACGGTACACGTGTTTTTCGAATCGTTTTCAGTTAAAAAACTGTTTCATCACATGTATATTTTACCTTAGCTGTGCCTGAATGAATGTATTCTCGGAAATAAATAGTAGTTTTGCTGAAACGTGATGTATTTTAATGTAAAATAGGATAAAATACATGACGAAAACAAAAGATTTTACCTAGCCTTCCAATGTTCAAGAGAAGTTACTCAATTTTTTAATAGTTTTTGGTTAAAATACTGTTATATTACAATGGTATTCTATTCATACTGTGCTTGATATAATGCATTCACAGAAATGTAATATTTTTGCTGAAATGATGTACGTATTACAATGGAAAGTGGGATAAAATCGGGACGAAAACAATGACTTTCGCTTTCTTTCGTTCAAAAAATGTTACCGTAATCGTTTTTCAATTGGTTTTCAGTTAAAAAACTGCTGTATTACAATAATATTCTATCCTAATTGACTTGAATAAATACTACGATACCATATTTCTGAATATTTTCATTAAAATCCATCCAAATCATTTTCCTTGTCATCGTCTGCAGCACCAAACAGCTTCTCCCAGTCCTCTCCTTGAACAGGGCTAGAGGGTACGTGTTTTTCGAATAGTTTTCAGTTAAAAAACTGTTACATCACACGTATATTTTACCTAAACTGCGCCTGAATGAATATATTCTCGGAAATAAATAGTAGTTTTGCTGAAACGTGATGTATTTCAATGCAAAATAGGATAAAATACATGACGAAAACAAAAGACTTTACCCATGCTTCCGATGTTCTTGAGATGTTATTCGTTTTTTTACTAGTTTTTGGTTAAAATACTGTTATGCTACAATGATATTCTATTCATACTGTGCTTGATATAATACATTCACGGAAATGTAATATTTTTGCTGAAATTACATACGTAGTACAGTGGAAAGTGGGATAAAATCGTGACGAAAACACTGACTTTGAAATATAATGCAATATTAACCCCTAAATCGGTTAATTCGGACAATCGGCTAAAACGGACACCCTTCCCCCCCTATTAGTCCGAATTAACGAGGGTCGACTGTATAATACAATGAAAGTCATGTACATAATTGCATCATCTGTGCCATTCATCAGCTGACATTTCCTTCCATTTACACCCATATTTACCATTAAAACAACAAGCTTGTAATAAGTGTAAGGATACATAAAATAATTATATATGTTGTGCTAATGAGTGATTTACTTAAAGGTGTGTGTATGTTCTCACTGTTGCTTCTTTACTACACTCTTGTCCGATAAATTATGTCTAATCTTACCTTGCTGTTTATTGATAAAAGGTGTGCTAGGTAAAGCACTGGTTAAGTCTTCTTGCACTCCTTATGCACAATTTGGACAAATTTTGGAGAGAAAAGATTGTTTTCATATGTAAAGAACTCTCACTAGCTGGGTCTAGAAAGATCAGATTGAGCGCACTTTTTGAATGTTTTTATTATTATTATTATTACTGTATTATTATTATTTTTTTTTTTTGTGGGACTTTTATTATATCACTTTAGACAACCATGAAGTATAAAGACAATTTTAGAAAGTTCGCAGAACATATATCATCTTCCACTTCCCTTCATCATTATAATACACTGTTATTGTAGCTACAGTAAACCCTCGATAACTCGGCACATACGGGGCTCTGGCCTTGCCGAATTATCCCAAATTTCCACTTATCGAGGCACTTCTCCGTTCCTACAAAAATACAACAATAAAATTTTTTTTGACCCATATATGTGTACATGTAATTACTAAATGTAAAAAAGTAACACTTACCAACACTGCAGGTGAAGAATGAAGTATCATAGTAGGTGACACAGAGGGATGGTTGGTGATGCAGGCAGCCAGATATACTGAGATTTTCCCAGATAATTACTATACTGTATATCTCGGCATTTCCCGAGTTACACTAGTACATTCCGAAACAGTATCCATGCCAAGTTATATGAAATTCCGTGTTATCAAATGCCGAGTTATGGAGGACTTACTGTACTGTTTGGTTATATAATTCTTTTGTGTTGTTATGGTGATGGTCATTTATTATATTGCTAATTTATGCATTAATTGAAGGTAAGGCTTTCAGAGAGTTGGTTTATGGAGACCAAAGATGGTATTCATGAGGATTTGTGAAACAAGGGATAAGTGCATTTTTATATTACAGTGCCCGTCTGCTGCTTACCACTTACTCCATCTTCATTTAGATGTACGGTGGTGGAGCCTTGTTCTCCTGCACCTTGTAGAGTCAGCCTTTGGTTTTACCCCTCAAGCTGCTTCTCACTCCGTGGATTCTCTCATCTTGGTATCAGAGCCACAGGGACCCCAGGGTGGAGCTTCATCAGAATTAATTGAACACTCGCCCATAGAGGAGTGTATCTCCATGGTAGTGTGGGACCTGATCACCGTCATGCTTCGGAAAGGACTCAAGGTCAGTTCAGAAGGTTTGTGTTGAATCTCAGGTTATGATGATTGTAGTGAAGAACTTTTACAGACTTTCCCACTTTCTTTTTGTCATCTTTTATATTATATTCACATTCAGAACTGGGGCCTTTTCCATCTGATCTGCGAAATATTAAAATACAAAACTCCCGTGTAGGATACACATGCTGTTGTACAGTACGCCCGGATAATTCACAGATTTTTATTTTGTGGTCCTCTCTGATTCACGGATGACACCCTCGATGTATCCTAGTATGTCTGCGGGTATTTTAAAAGTTACCGGCATTTTTGCGGCCGGGACAGGAAGCCATTCGTTCTAGAGACGGTAATTTCCTTTACCTGTACAGTATTGTATATATGTGTGTGTGTGTAGACACCACACACAAAACACATACAGGTAAATAATAATGAGAAAATCCTCTCACAAATAATTAGAAACAAATGTACTGTACAGAATTAAAATTGTTGAGTCTACCCTCAAGTCCACTCCGTGCTTTATTAATGGCAAAGCACGGAGTGTTCCTGGTTTGAGGGATTCCGGCTAATGGAGATATTACTATTTTGCACTTTCTGTATGTGAGATTGAGTGTGTGTATGTGACTAAATAAAAAGATGAAGATTACATATACAGTGGGGGTATCATTTGACACAGGTCTTGCATGCGCAGTCATCGCTTACGCGATTGGTTGAAATGTGACCACAGATATTGCTTACACGGAAAGCGATAGGCTGTGTGGGTTAGCGGTATAGCATTAATTTAATGATCTTTTGCTAATTTAGCCCCAAATTTAGTGATTTTAGTCATTGGACATTATAGGTGCATACCATAAGTAATACAGGTGTAGAGTAATGCCCCAGATACATTTCTGAGTAATAGAGCACTATACAAAACAGTGCTCTAAGGGGTCATTATACCTTTGTGTATACTGTATAGAGATGTGTTTCTGATGATGTTATTTTTTTACCTGTGTATGTGTGGGAGGCATCTGGCTCTGCTCTGACTGAAACTAATCCATCTTTGTATCACTGAAATTATGATTTAGGTGGTGGTGGTGAGGAGGTGATGCATCTATCAGTTTCTTTGGTAACACTGCACCTGCAGCACTGCCAGACACTATTGAACACAAAGTTGAGTACAAGTATAAATGAGCAAAGTTGTATCCCTTCAACATTACATTACATAACATTTTGAAATATGGAGTGAGAAAGATGTGGGTGATCAGAGAGATGGAGTGGAAAGGAGTGGTAACATGCACCAGTGTTGCCAAGTGCCCCTCAACAGTTGATCTTGAACCTGCCACCACACACTTCAGTTAATCTCACACCATTTTCTGTCATACAATAAGAACTACACTTAATATACAGGTGCAGGCTCCCCAAATTCGCGGATCTTTATTTCACAGTCCTCTATCATTTGCGGATGACACTCTGGCTGTACTCAAGAATGTCTGTGGTTACTTTTAAAGTTGCCCGCATTTTTGTGGCTGGGACAGGGAGCCACTTGTTCTAGAGACAGTAATTTCCTTTACCTGTATTGTAAATATATACAATCAGAAACAAATTAAAAAAAAATTGAGTCTACCATCAAGTCCGTGCTTTAATAAATAAAGCACGGACTTGATGGTAGACTGTCACATTTTTTATATATTTTTTCTGATTATATGTGAGAGTATTTTCCCATTACAGTAGGGTCAGGATATATCACGAGATAGGGTCCAACGATGTTCGCTATATACTAAATCTTGATACAGTAGAACGTCAATTTAAAGCGATTCAATTTAAGATTATTGATTTAAAGCGACACCCACAATTAAGGACAATGTTTTAATTTAAAGCGAATCTTTCCTATTTTGCGCGAGTCAATCTGGCGCATCATATTTTAAAATTCGCGCCTAATGTTTTTCTGGGCACGCTACACTGTCCTAAGGGAAAAGCTGTGCTGTACATGTACTCAAAATAATGTACTAAATGATTACTCAAATTTTTGTTGGGTGCAAATTATAGCATGATTAGTATATTCAAATTAATCACTACCTTATAAGAATTGCAGCAATGTTAATTATATTCTCCCATGTCAGTTCAGTGACCATTTATCTGAGAAAAACTTAAAGGCACTCTTAAGGACAGATAAATAAATAAGCACTAGACCTTGGCATCAACTGTCAAACATATTACCTCAACTCCCCCCATCTTCCCAGCCAGTAAACAGACCATTTCGCATCCCTTAATTTTAGCTGTGTTGATTTACGAGTGTTTGTTTTAACACAATACTACAAAAAACAATGTTTTGTTTATTCTAGGAGATGGGCAGAGGTGCATCTGGGTAGACTCAGTCTTTTTAGTATTTTGTGTTTCTCTCAAGTATCAAACTAAATTATTCCAATGAAACAACACTTCGATTTAGTGCAAATTCGGTTTAAAGCGAACCTCTCTTGGAACGTATCTCGCGTTATATCGACTTTCTACTGTATATAATTACATGTAATCAATGGGGAAAATAGGGTTTGGTTCTGGAGGCCAATAAAAGTGACTAAACTTGAATTAATGAGTTTATTTTCTTGCTAACTAAAGCACCAATGAACACTAGACTCGGGAACAACAGACCGTATGACTGATAAATACACACTAGGTAACCTTCACAAACTTTCCCTTGCGGCTGTTAAAACAAATCATCCTCAGAGCCACGGTGAAGGTGGTTTTAGGCTTAAAAGTTTGTATCTTATAAAATGTCACAGACATAAATTCCACTACTGGAATCCTTGCAAGGCAGCGAATAATTTGAGGAAAGACATCATATATTTTTAGTCTTTTAGTACATTTAAGTACAGTACTACAGCTGCTCCCCGACTTACGACGGGGTTAGGGACCCAAATCCAGGTCGTAAGTCGAATTGGTCGTAAGTCGAAAATGCAAAAAAATAATACATAGAAAATCTAAAATGAAATACAGTACAGTAAAAGTAATCAATAATGAAGAATGAATGTAGTGTTACTGTGCACTTACCTTTAATGTAGTCGGCTGAACGCACACGGGGCCCCCATAATTTTCTAATTAAACATGGAGGCTACATTAATTGGATGAAGCAGAGGAGGAGACAGGGCTGGGTGGGTCATCAATGTTGCTTTCTTCAGACAGGTTAACATACAGGGGAAACTTGCTTGTTGAAGGTATTGGATCATCTTTAGGGAGTGAAGAGGCAGCACTGGTGGGGTGTGAGGAGACAGCAATGGGGGACTTCTTAGAATATATGTTCAATTTAGACTGCACATTTTGCTTTTTCTTTTAATTGTAAATCTCCCTGTAGCAAGCAAGTGCATCTTGGATCATTCTCTCAACTTATGCAAAATGCTCAACATTTTGTTCCATTCCGTCAAACATTTGCATCCCCTTATTAATTGTAGCAAATGCCTCTGCCATTTGTTTCATTGAAAACTTTTTGGGGGGTGCAGGTTCTTCTTCTACATTTTGTCTCTCTTCTTCCTCTGCAATTTTCTGTGCTTTCAGTTCAATAAGATCCTCATTACTTAGCTCTTCTGCTACACTTTCAACCAACTGCTCAACATCTTCATTATCAATTTCTAACTCCAGCTGTTGACCCATCTGCACTATCTTGTTGCTAATCTCAGAAATTACTTCATCTTCATTAAATCCTCTGAAACTGTTCACATATCTTTTCAGGACTTTCTTCCATATTCCATTCATGCACTGACCTGTAACCTCATCCCATGCTGCAGCTATGTTTTTTATACATTTCAAAATGTTGTAGTCCTTCCAAAACTCTGAGCATTTTCTCACCTTCAGTAGCAGCAACAGCCTGAGCGAAGGTCATACGTAAATAATTCGCTTTAAAAGCAGCAATAGCACCTTGATCCATGGGTTGGATGACAGAGGTAGTGTTAGGTGGAATGTAGACTACCTTAACATCAGGGTGCAGGTCTTCTAGGTGTGGTGGGTGTCCCGGAGCATTATCCTAAATTAATAAAATCTTGAACACAATCCCTTGTTGCAGACAATACTCCTTGGCTCGTGGAATGAAATAAGTCAGGAACCAATCTTCAAACAGTACTCAGGTCATCCATGCTTTCTTATTACTGCGATAAAACACTGGCAGTGTGTGCTTGCTGACATGTTTAAAAGCCCTTGGGTTCTCTGAATGATATATCATGAAGGGCTTTATCTTGAAACCAGCTACATTCCTCCCCAACGGAAGTGTGATTCGGTCCTTGAATGCCTTGAATCCCGGCATTGTTTTCGCCTCTTTGTGGATGTATGTCCATTCTGGCATGCGATTCCATAATGAGCCAGTTTCATCCACATTAAATGTTTGCTCAGGTAAATAATTTCCCTCCACGATGACACGCTCTAGCTCCTCCTTAAAAGCTTCGGCAGCACCCACATCAGCACTTGCTGCCTCTCCACTCACCTTTACACTATGCAAACTGTAGCGGATCTTAAACCTTTGGAACCACCCATGACTTGCTGTGAAGGTTTGGTCGCACTCATCTCGTGCCTGCTCCTTCAGGCTTTCGAAAAGGCTTTTTGCCTTAGCCTGTAGGATTAGAAGGCTTAAGGGTACACACTTTTGTATCTGATCTTCCATCCATATCACAAGTAATTTTTCCATCTCATGAATAGGACCTTGTCTTTTTTTAGTTATTATTGTTCCCTTTATAGGTGCTGATCCTTTCACTACCTCACGAATATTGTTGATATGGTCGAGTGTGAGAAGCCTAGGTCGCGTGAAATGGTTGCTACAGTTCTTCCATTTTCATGCTGCATTATCTTCATTTACGTCTCAAAAGTAATTGACTGTCTCCTTTTCTTCTGAGCACCACCAGAACTCTCTCCTCTACGCTTGCCAGTCATTCTAAAGTGAATTAGATACGAAAATAATGTCAGTACACAGCGCGATCTGTTGGGGATACAACGACAGCCAAACACCAACTAAGCGCTCTACGGCGTGGGTGCTTAGCCATGCGACGCTCTGGTACAGGACGGAAACGTTTCGGTCTAGAAAATATGCGCGTCATTTGAAAATTTTTTGGTACCGACTGCGGCAGCAGTATGTGTGGGTGGTCGTACCGACTGAGGCGGGTCGTATGTGCGAGTGGTCATAGGTCGAGTATGTCGTAAGTCGAGGAGTAGCTGTATATTGAAAAATGATGATAATTTTGGTAGCCGCGATATAAAAAAATCATTATAAAAAGTCGCGATATATCCCAACCATACTGTATTATTTATTTGTATGTGTTTAGTGTGTGTACACACACACACACACACACATACTATATAGAATACAGGTAAAAGAAATAATTGTCCTAAAGGCAAACACATAAAGGGAATATACATTTCTTTGTACATGAGTAAAAATGTCCCCTCCTCCCTGGTCAGCAATTGTTATTCGCGGATTTGGCGATTCGCTGCTATTTTGAGAACCTAACCCCCTTGTTTTTTTTGGTGGGGGGGGGAGGGCTGTACAGGTACAGTATTACATATGGATGTCACATCTGCGGATGTCAATAATCTGACATCTGATCCGTCACTTAACCTCTAGCTACAGTCACACACCTGCCACACTACATACTGCTCTTCACACCTCACCACCATCATGCCACACACTCACACCATCTCACTACAGCTAGTGTGGTGGCAGTACTCTTTATGCTTCAGCCTTAAGGGGCCTCTGATGTCCCCCAACCAGTTTTTTAAGGGCTTTAATTGTGAAGAGAAGGTTTCAACAAATTACTCAAGCAGTTCTGTACACTTGTATAGAGATCTGGGTTTTCAACCTATAGACTTAGGTTGATAATATGTGAGTTTGTTGATCCTTGCCGAGTTATGAAATAGAATTTAACGATCAGTTGTGCATTTTTATACCTGGATTAGTTGTGTGACATTTTCAGAAGAGTGTGAGTGACTTGTACCAAGTGGCAGGATTTTCCTGTACTTGTTCACTGGAGATGGGACTGATGACACTCCACCTCTTGGACCACAGACATGCTCATCATGGCAAGAAGGTAAGATAACATTTTACTTGACACCTTGATGTTAGAGATACAGTATTGCATCATCCCACGCCTTTATGCATGGTACAGCATACCATTCAAGCCTATTCCAAGCAGAGGTGGTTGGGTACTGGCCAGGACATTTATTGGCTGCTACCTAACTGAAAAAATCTTTTTAACACTGTTATGATGGAACTACTTCCTCAGTTTTAGGGAAGTCTTTTGTCACAAGATGGTGCTGGCCGTCAGTGTCTGGGGTATATAACTCACCAGTATGTGGAGCCCTGTGATTGGGAGGTGGAAAATCTGATGTGCTCCAGTGTCAGTTACTGAGTATAGTCAGGGAAGTCAACATCTGGTCTCCTGTCTCCTAAACCATAAGTATCGAGTGTTAGTGAACTCTTATTGCTCCAGAGTTATTATATTTTATAAGGTGATGATTAGGATTTAGTGATTATGTATTATAATGTGATGGTTAGGATTTAATGTTCATTTATTATTACTTGAGTTTTCTGATTTCTTTTGTTGTATATATTTTGTATAAAATTCTATCAGCTTTAGTTATACTTTTGTAAATAAATAGTAAGTTTGAACTTTTAAGGTAATTTTCCTTCTTAAACGGGTTGAAGAATTTGTATTGGCAGGGGCGGGTTAAAAACTCGCTTTGTATCGTAACAACACTCTCAGGGTTTTCATACGCAAAATTGCCTATGATCTAAATTAATGCTTTAGGGTTTTCATACGTAAATTTGTGCTTGAAATAAAAAAAAAATAAAATAAAATTGTTTGTGCATGAACACTAGACACACAAGAGGCACATCTGGCAATGTCACGATCTGGCAACTATGTAGCCTGCCCTCCAAGGTCGTCACACCAGGTCTCCCTTGTGTGTTTAAAGGACCCAAGATACAGTATAATGTTGATCTACATTTCTCACACATTTTCTTGCGGCTTGTGCTGATTTCTCGTTCATCACAGTAATTTCCTTTATTCATAACAGTGCTGTGAGGGTTTTGAACCACTCCTTGTGTTGGCGAGGGTGGAGGGGTGGAAAAACATATAAAGTGCTAGGAGATTGCACCATGTGGCGATAGTGTGGTCTCCTGATGCCTCTCCATGGTGAAATATTAATTTTTTTCACAGTTTTTCTTCTATAACTATACTTTCCTAAATATGTACACTTTATAATGGAATAATGTTCATATTGTAATCACATCAAATAATGAAGGTATAAAGTGATGTATAAACATTTTCATAAAGTGTAAAAAAAAATGTGTACTACTGGCATTTACGTATAGAAATAATTATTTTATTGTGGTTACTTATATAAAACTGTTTGTAGATAATTTATTTATAATTTTAATACAACAAATCCCACTTTTTTATCTCAATTAGCAAGCTTGTTATGACTCATTATGTACAATTATCTCTCGTGTGGTGCAGTCATGTGTGGTGGGGTGAGTAACAGACCCGAGTGCGTGAGCGGCTGCCCAAACCAAAGAGTATTAATATGGTTCGTTTGGCATTTTTGAATCTCTAAGGTTAGTTCCTCTTCTACTACCTGTCTTAATTAGGTAGTGGTTCCCAAATTGGGATGCTCTGTTCACAGGAATGCTATGTTGTGTGAGGACTTGGAGCCTTTGGTGCCTTCTACTGTCTATTGCTGTCCTAAATATACAGACTTGTCCTAGACTAACACTACATTGGAATTAAAAGATTAATCCTGATATCCTGTTTACTGGCTGAAGCAGCTCTGGTTCTCCATCGTCTGGGTACTGGATGGTGAGAGTGGTGTAACTCCCCTGATGTGCTGAGCCAATAGTAGAGGCTTAAGGAACAAATATTGTGTATGAGCAACAAAAACTCTCAAACCTTCTCACTTTTCACAATTCCTGTATAAAGGTGAAAGATTTTCTAATTTTCATTTTTATATGACTCTTAGATTCCCAGTCACAAGTTTGTATCTCTATACACTTGGTTTTTATCCACAGACGTGTGGGCTATACAGATAATCCTCGGATAACACGATACATATGTTCGTAAAATGTATCGTCCTAACCAAAAATGTGTGAAGTGATTTATTTTTATTTATTTATTTATTTATTATTATTATTTTTTTTACAGGGAATAGCCCATTGACACAGGCCATCGACCCACATCGGGGCCTAGGGGGTGAAAAAATAAGAATAGAAAGAAATAAAAAATAGGAAAGGAAAAGGTTATATTAATCTACACCGCGGAGATGCCGGAAAACCAGCTTTTTAAAGTGAGACAGATTGTATGAGTGTGGAAACACAGAAGGCAGAGCATTCAACAGTTTGGCTGTGTGAGGACAGAAGGATGTACTATAACGGGTTACTCTAGAGGATATCAGAGACATGAAATAGCAAAATATTCTGACTCGGTAACATTCATTCTTTCCTTAGAACTGGATACATACCACCAGCTGTGGCTTGATTTTGTACTGGAGGAAATCATAAAGGAAGGAGCTAATCTGGTTATCAGAACCATTTACACTTCCTGACATTAATGTTGTATTGCACCATAATTTTTGTTCTTTTCAGAATTACTGGGAGCAAATAAAGCGCAGGCTATTAGTTCTCCTGAAAGTCTACAGTGAGTCCTCTACCCCATCCACACAAACGTCTTCCAGTACCTCCTCACCATCGTCCACCTCCATGTTGTCCTCAGAGCAAAATTTCCAAGTCATTCAGTACCCAGCAGCCATTGTTAAGGGAGCTCAACTTCCTCATATATGGTGGATCTTCTATAACTTCTCTCAACTTTATGGGTACGATATGAATGGAAAGAAAATAATGGAGAAATCAGTAAGTTGGTTTTATTTTTATATATACAGTGGGGTATGCTATAACGAATCTAATTGGTTCTAGAACCTTGTTCGTTATAGCATTCGTTCGTTATAGGATTAATCCGTTCCAGGCCCCCAAATACAACCACTTAACACTGAAAAATGTAATATAAAATTGTAAAAATTGTAAAAAAGTGCATAAATATGCATCTAAACCCCTGAAATAAAGAATATCATTAATATTTGTAATAAAAAAACAATAAATTAGTAAAAAAAAAAAAAATTTTTTTTTTTTTTAAAATAATGTTCGTTGTAGGAGTTTCGTTCGTTATAGCATTCTCAATTTTATAGGTAAAACCGTTCGTTATAGGAATATTCGTAGTAGGATCCGTTCGTTATAGCATACCCCACTGTACAGTGGTCCCTCGGTTAACGAACACAATTCGTTCCACAAAGTCGTTCGTTAACCAAAAATTTCGTTAACTGAATCCATTATTTCAATGGGATATTGGGTAATTGGTTCCAGCTCACAAAGTAAAGCTAAAAATGCATAAAGTCAGAAACACTCCTAAAATTCCCCTAAATTGCCCTTAAATCACTATACAATATATACTTGTATATATATATATATGCAAGTAAATCACTGTAGGTGCGCGTGATCTAGGTATATGCTGATAACCACAAGGAAGGAAGAAAACACGAAGTTCCCAAGCGCTTTCGTGTAATTCACATCTTCAGGGGTGAGTACAGACTAAAGAGAAGTACAAAACAAGGTGTATATATACAGAGGAGGGTGAGACCAGGTCCACAATGGTCAGGTATTAGGTAATGACCCTAATAACCTTTAAATAGCACGGCAACGGTCGGTAGTCAGGTCAGAGGGTAAGGTGACCCAACCTTCTCACCTGGTTACAAATCTTCTTAATTACAAAATTGTCCAGTTTGTACATGCCATTACTCAAATTCATGTTGAATGCTTCGGTATGTTTAATGAGACTAGATTCTATGATGTTCCTACTATCAATTGAATTACAAGGTAATATTGAGGAGGCATTATCCCAGTCAATGCAATGCTTGTTATCCCTCAAATGAACAAACAGAGCATTGGATTCCTGGCCTGTCCTAACACTATAATGCCTGAACATTACTAAGAAATCTTTTTATAGAACTGATCCCAAGCCCACCCATGACCATAAGAATCTCTTAGTATTACCGTTTCACAAAAATTTCTCTCAAATTCCTTTACAACTAAAAACCTGGAACATCAATGTGGCATTTAAATACTCATGCACTGTTAAACAAATGTTAGAAATATGGCCTATTAAGAACACTTGTTTCATTCTCTTGGCTACAAAATGGGATTCAATTCTGTGTTTATAATTCTTGGCATATTTATATTTTCACAGATTGAAATTAAAAGTGAGACAAAGCTACTAAGAACGCTAATCAAGTTATCTCTCGGTGAACCCAAAAGTGGATCCCAACCAACAGAAGCCGAGCTGCGATTTTATGTGCGATGTTGTTTCAGTCTAAGTCAACTGTGGGGGGGAGAGAAGAGCAGTGAGTGGGCTGTAGCTCTTTGGGATTATTTTTCCAAGCACCTTGATTCATCTTTTCTCCTCCCCGGTGCAGGTCTGGAAGGACTGGCGTGTGTTAGGTTAGTGAATATCATTATTTGTAGATAGGTGCTGTACCTTTGGTGATATTAAGTGATAGAGAACAGTATGTCAGGGGAGAATAGAGGAAATGAGTTTAAATATTAAGAAAAGAATCCAGTATTGAGATGACATATGGAATCATAGTCAACATTTCCAGGAATTTTATCAATTAATTACAATGATTGGCAGTTTACTTACACATAGAAACATGTACCAAGATCACCATCACTAACTGGGTGGTTTGGATCTTGGTTTAACTCCTTTTGTGTCTCTATCACCAAAATCACAGTTTACAGTGAGTTTGAATTTATCTATTTATTTTCTGTACATGTGGAACAACAAACTTCATCTGGATTTCCACATCAACTGAATGTTTTATATCACAATAACTTTGCCCAGTTAAGGTGATTTGTTATGTAGACTTCTTTCTCCATTCATTCTTCAACTACTATAGACTTTGCTTGTTTATCTTAGTTATTGTCAAGGTAGTTCATCATTACATAGTTCACATAATATGAATTTTTTTGACATGTGTATTGTTCTTCTCTTATGATGACTTCAGCATACCGTTTAAAAGATGATATAGTGACCAACAATTTGTGAGGATGCTTGTAGTGTATGAGCAGAGAATGCTGACAAAAATGTGCTATATTAATGATCTTTACACAATATTCCCCAAGTAAAGTAGGTAAGGTCTGTTAACTGGACTAGTAGATTAAGCTCACCAAACCATAAGCAAACTAACCTTGGTTATTCTTTATTATATGAGTACGGTTCTACAGGTACACTACCGATTTTCCGGCACCCTTTGGTTCCAAAGCCTTGCTAGATTATCCATTTTGCCGGACCAACCGAGGTCGGTTAATAATAATTCAACAATCCACCTCTGACCCACTAATTATACACCTCCTGTGTCTCTAAAGCACCATGGACTGCTAGAAACTTAAACAAATATTAAATGTAAATTAAATGTGAAAGAGACATAATTTTGAGCAACATTACTGTACAGACTTTGTACTCAAATGTACTACACTAAAGGACTAAAATGTTTGTCTCTTGTGCAAACTATGTGATGTTTATACTTAAATTAATCACTATCTTAAAAGGATTCCAGCAATGCAATTTACCTGTATATTCTGCTAAATCTAGTCAGCAACATTTTATAAGATAAAAACTTTAAGCCTAAAACTACCTTCACCCAGGCTGGGAGGAAGGGAGGGAAGTTAAGTGCCCCTCGTAATTTTGTCTGGACTATAGGAGGTGCCGGACCATCAGCGGTGGACCTGTATTATATTTTACAAGTTAGCCGGATAGTTTAGTATGATATTTGATTTATAACTTTAATCTCACAGAAATCAGTGATTTCTATAAAGGCTTTCCAGTTTCAGAAATTCGCAAAGATTTATAAAGTAGTAATGCAGTTTCACCATGTTCGGGAATTACATACAGCTTCTCCCCGACTTACGACCTACTCGACTTATGACCACCCGCACTTACGACCACCCGCACTTACGACCACCCGCACTTACGACCTGCCACAGTTGTACCAAAATTTTGTCAAATTACGTATTTTTGAGTCCCAACGTCAGTACACAGAGAAAATTTTCGTTTGTAATTCACTTTAAAATGGCTGGCAAGCTTAAAAGTGAGAGTTTTGTGGTGCTGAGGAAAAAAGCGATACCCATTTTTTATTTTCTATGTATTATTTAAGCATTTTCAACTTACGACCTGGATTTGGGTCCCTAACCCCGTCGTAAGTCGGGGAAGAGCTGTATATTCAATGTTCTGTCATTGTTATCTTTACCTGCAACACATTTTGACCTGCACTGGGTCTACTGGTGTCATACTTGGGTACTGACAAATGAGTGACAGATTTTAAGACTTTGTTAAACACTTGATGTTATAATATTTTCAGAGCATATGAGATAAGATTTTATTGTAGCTAATTTCTTGTATAATGAGAACTGTTTGTTTGTATGTATCAGGTGGTGCATCTAGCTGCCTTATGTATACCACCTCACACCACCCACCACTATCTCACACCACCACACTTCCACCACCATGACCTCACATGTGTTAATTGAACAAAGGGACATGCATCATCATATAAGTCCTGCAAAACCTTCCTCGTTCAAAAGGATGTGCTGACCCTAGGGGCTGAGGAGCGCATTTTCTTAAATCTCAGCCTTTTTTTCACACTGGCTCTACATTTGCCAATATAGTGTGTCAGACAACCTCCAATAACTAGAGGCGGAATACAAATAGTCATGCATCCATATTGAAACCTTCCTCATCCAGACTAAGAATGTTAAGCCTAAAGATGTCCAGTCCTTCTAGTTATGCTAGTCTCAACAGATCCCCATCATTGGTCAATGTATTATCTGCACCTCAGATAAATGACTCAAGCCCACTTCTTGAGCCCATTGCTCTCAAAAGGAAGAATGTCTTGGTAAACAAACAGAATCATAGTGAAGAATCTTTAAGGGGGGACACCCCCTCTGAAGGCTCAGCCCACTAGATCATCAATGGGATCCTTGAGGGTTAATTGTGTTGGCTCCTGTCAACACTACCTCCTCAGAGTCACTGACTGATTCACAGTTCCTTCCAAAATGACAGCAGGAGTCAGTCAACCACATGACCTTGATCCTGTGGGTCTAAAGATTTTTGGTAGGTCTAGGTGGGTGATCCTGGATACCAACAGGCCCCCTAAATCTGGGCACACCAAGCCTCTGGCATCACCATTGTCCAATGGGCTACTGAAAACTGCAGGTAAACCAAGTCAGTTCCTCAGTGAAAGTCAAGAACACCCCCCACCTCTCCTCCTCTTGCCCTTTTGCTATTTTGTCTCACCTGTTTTTGTGTTTGTAGAGATGATGGTTGGTGAAGGCCACCACCCTCCTCCTCGTGGTTATCAAGCTGTATATTCTGACCCAATAGGGAGATGGTGGTCATCATGGAAGCAGCCTGTCTTTGTCTCCACCTCCATGAATGTTCCATTCACCACTATCATTACTTCCCAGGAGCCAGGCTGATGTTAATGAAGTGATGGCCAGGATGTATATCCAGGAATCTGTAACTCACCACAATGGCTTGGTACATGTTTAAACAGATGGCTCCAATCCAACGCTGGTGTTGGGTATGGAGCCATCTTCCCTGATTTTAGCTACAGTGGGGACCTCCAGCCTTTGCATCTATTTTTTACTGCAGAGCTCTCTGCCTTTCCCTTAAAGAAATCAGCACCCTTAAGGCTGGGAGTTTTACTATTTTTGGTGCTAATAATAATAAATTTTGGTATATATTACAGTAAAACTGCAAGTGGATGGTTAGAGCAAGTTAGGTCCCGAACTTGCAACTTGGCAGCAATAGGAAAGTCCGAAACATCATGGCAAATTTTTCTCAGGATTGTTGGTAAGTAATTCAAGATTTCATATAAAATTTATTTTTGTATTATGAATAAGGTCTCTGAAAGTTTTTCTGGATAGGAGAAGACATTATTAGTGGGGTGGATGACACATAAGAGTATAATTTATGCTTAGAGAAAAAATAGAGGATTGAAGGATGAAATGCTGTTACAGCTGAGAGGGAGGGATGAGTAACATGTTCCAGAGGCTGGTTACTTTGTATGGTAGAACAGTGTTAAGATAGGTACACTGCTTGACCTGAACCACTCCACTACAATTGTGAGCCACAAGGATTAATCATCATAGTTTCTGTTGACTTTGACCCTCACCTTACCTTGGGGTTGGGAGGACCAGATCACTCATCTCCCCCTTCAGCTATAAAATGGGATTTCATGCTTCATCATCATCACTGTTTTACTGCCATTTTCAACACTTGCATTGGTTACCTGATGGTATGGTGTACCAGTTACCATTGGTTGTCCTTATGTTTTAGACTTTACCACCATTGGTGAGTTGAATTTTTGTTTATATTTGTAAATATATATGAACAGTAAATAAGTGTTGCTTTCACATTCATATGTAGAGAAATGAAGAAATGTTTTCACAGGTACGCACTTACTGTTCATACATTGGCGTTCCCAATCGTCTCGTCTTATTTCTTTACCATTAGTGGTTAGCTACTTCTAGTGTTCCATTTATTAACATTAAATAACATTACTTAAAACATACATACAGGTAATCAATTTTTTTTAAATTATGTTCACTGCAGCTACAACCAGGGTCTTATTTTCTTCAGTTTCAGGTGGATAATTGACATTATGTGTGTAAACACTGACAACAATGCCGTCTCTTATCCTCTTGTGTGTTTTAATATTCTACGTTTTATTAATGAATTGTATTGTTCATTTCGCATATATAAAGATTAATTCAATCAAATTAAATACTCAGTAATAAATAATAATGACTCTAAGATAATGACTGCTCTTGAGTACTGCATGTATACATTGGCGTTCCACCTATCAGTCTCATTTTTCTTTAATATCAGTGGTTACTTCACTGTACCTTAAATAAAATTAATTAAAACATACATATTTTTAAATTATTTTACTGCACTCAACCAGGGTCTTATTTTCTTCAGTTTCAGGTGGATAATTGACATTATGTGTGTAAACACTGACAACAATGCCGTCTCTTATCCTCTTGTGTGTTTTAATATTCTACGTTTTATTAATGAATTGTATTGTTCATTTCGCATATATAAAGATTAATTCAATCAAATTAAATACTCAGTAATAAATAATAATGACTCTTTTTGTACATATTCTTAAAAAGATCATTGACGCGGTATCCTTAAATGCTCACGTATATGTTGGCGTTCCCAGTCCATCTCTTTTTTTTTTTTCTTCTTCTTTTTTTTTCTTTGCCATTAGGGGTTAGCTACTTCTAGGGCTCCATTTATTAACATTAAATAATGTGACTTAAAACAGATATATTAATTTTTTTTTACATTAATTATACTACAGCTACAACCAGGGTCTTATTTTCTTCATTTTCTCGTGTAGAACTATCGTCCCGGACTCCCGGCTGTAAACACAAACGAAAACAATGGCGTCCCTTCTCTTGTGTGACCATATTATTATTCATTTATAGTGTATAAGGTGCATTTAGAAACATTATTAGAATATAGTTTGCAATTTTCATTAATTGTATTGTTTTGGGGGGAAAGAGGATAAAAAGCCACACAAAAGATATGAAAAGATCACACTTGGGAACGCATCTCATTATTATTGCTTTATTTTAATGGTAATTAATATGATTCACAATAAGACGATTCACCTTACACTGCAATATTGGAGGACACATTAACGTCGTTATTTGAGGATTTACTGTACTACAAAAAACAATGTTTTGTTTATTCTAGGAGATGGGCTGAGGTGCATCTGGGTAGACTCTCAGTCTTTTTAGTATTTTGTGTTTCTCTCAAGTACCAAACTAATCATTCCATTTAAACAACACTTCGATTTAGTGGGAATTTGGTTTAAATCGACCTCTCTTGGAACATATCTCGTGTTATATGCACGTTCTACTGTACAGTGTAATTGTAATAAACGAAAATAGATAAACAATAATTCTCATTCTGCACTTAAAATGACAAAATAGTTACGGTACCTGTACCTGTACTTAAATTGGTGATGTTCACCTGAAAAGAGGAAAAATATATCTGTACAGTAAATGAAATAATAAAATAAATATACTTAGGAGGCATATTAAGGGTAAAAAACAAGTGAAATATTACAGAAACACTTGAAATACCGAGGAACGCACCAAACTCCACGAGGACCAGATGTAAACAAAAGGTGTGTCGAACCATGGCTACTAGCGCCGGTGGGTACTAGAGATGTGTTTATAAGCTAGATTAGCATTAGGGTGGTTAATCTTTATGTTAATCTTGATGTTTTAACTTTCCAGTGGGAGTGGTGGAGACCAGTCCAGCAGAATGGCGGCAGGTGAGAGGCCGTATCTACTCTAAGTTTCACGGACGCAAGATGTCGGAGCTTTCACCACTGGGCCTCTATAACTCCAGCACACTCTTCCTCACCCTGGCCAACACAACAGATCTTGTTGGTGTGGTAAATAACTGTGTTTTTCATTTTCATATACTGTACAGTGGAGTCTCATTTTGTGTGGCTATATTATAATGGTATGCGTCGGCTCATCAGAAATCCACCCACACGATGCTCTTTAACGTGCGTTAATATTGCTATATTGTACAGACCTTTCCTCTTGAACAACTTTGGGTAACCAAATTAACCTTCCCCAAAATGACACATAATATCACATAAACTGCATCTCCATTATTAAATAAATATTTTAAGAAATCTCAGGGAGTTAATTATGCGATACTCCACTGTCTCCACCAAATAGTAGAGGTGTAGGAAGGTCTGGGAGACAATGGGGGTCTGAGGCAGGGGGTGAAGGTCTGTTGGATTCAAAGCCTTCAAAATCAACTGCAGACACTTGTAAAGTGACTACAGCTTTATCACCAATCTCCAGAATGGCTGGGTCACTGTCACTGGATTCTTCTTGATCTTCATCACATTGTTGAGGCAGGAAATGGGCGGTGATGAGAGCTTGGCAGTGGGGTTAATATACTCTTGGTAACATTGTCTGTAGGGCTCCACCAAACTGTCTAACTGTGCAGTAAGTCCTTTTATTTTGAGGGCAAATTATAAATCATATTTTTTCCTATTATTTAATACTGTGTTATATGATTTATTATGAAATATACGCCATAATAGGCTGATAATACGAGAATATAATAATGAATAAATTAAAACACCCTGGTGAAAGAGACAACAGCCAGCCAGCACCCCCCCCCTGCACTTTTACATATGGTGTCATCTCTTGTTGTTACTGTTTGTAGTCAATAAACTAAGTTTATAAAGTTTGAAACACTTCTTTTGTTTCTTTCTTTCCTTTTCATCTTTCTTTTTTTGCCCAACCTCTTCACTGCACTCACTTCCTCCCACACCCCTGCCTCTACCACTCCCTCCTCCCACACACTGCCTCTACCACTCCTTCTCCACACACCCCTGTCTCTACCTCTCTCCTCCCTCCCCCCCCAACCTCTTCCTGCCTCCCTTCTCCACACCCCTGCCTCCTACCACTCCTCTCTTTCCCTGCCTCTCCACTCCCTTCCTCCACACCCCTGTCTCTACCCTCTCTCCTCCCCTCCCCCCAACCCCTTCACTGCACTCCCTCCCACACACCTGCCTCTACCCTCCCTCTCCACACACCCTCCTCTACCTCCTTCCTCCCACCCTGTCTCTACCACTCTCTCCTCCCCTCTCCCCAACCTCTTCACTGCCTCCCTTCCTCCCACACACCTGCCTCTACCTCTCCCCCCTCCCCCCCGCTCTTCCTCGCTCCTTCCTCCACACACCCCTGCCTCTACCCTCTCTCCTCCCCCCTCCCCTCCCAACCTCTTCCTGCACTCGCCGTCCCACACACCCTGCCTCTACCCTCTCTCCCTCCCCCCTCCCCCCCAACCTCTTCCTGCCTCCTTCCCTCCACACCTGCCTCTACCCTCTCCTCCCCCCCAACCTCTTCCCACTGCCTCCCTTCCTCCCACACCCCTGCTTCCTACCCTCTCTCCTCCCCCCCAACCTCTTCCTGCTCCCTTCACTCCCCCTGCCTCTACCACTCTCCCCCCTCCCCCTTTCCTTGCCACTCCCTTCCTCCCCACCCCTGCTTCTACCACTCTCTCCTCCCTCCCCCCCCCAACCTCTTCCTGCACTCCTTCCTCACACACACCCCTGCCTCTACCACTCTCCTCCCCCCCAACCTCTTCACTGCACTCCTTCCTCCACACCCCTGCCTCTACCACTCTCTCTCCCTCCCCCCAACCTCTTCACTGCACTCCTTCCTCTCCACACCTGCCTCCTCCTCCTCACACACCCTGCCTCTACCCTCTCCTCCTCCCCCCCCAACCTCTTCACTGCACTCCCTTCCTCACACACCCTGCCTCTACCACTCTCCTCCCCCTCCACCTCCTATTCCCTCCATAATTGTTTAAGTAAATAAGAACAAGAATACGAGATCAGGTTTGAGAAATCATGACAAGAAATATAAAGAAAAGTAGAGAGAAAGAAATAAGAGTACTGTACAGTAATTAAAGAAATAATAGAAAATGGAGATAAGAAAGAATCATTATGTCTGTGGGAAAAAAGTCAAATTCTCCTCATTCTCTCATGTTACTGACCTGACTTGATGCAATATCTGGTCATCCATTGTATATGAACTTCTCTTTTGCAGTGAAGACGGGTTGAGGGATTAGTGGTGTCGTATTACTGACCCGATGCGTTCATCGTCAGGTCACCCATTGTTGGGGTGGGGGATTAGTGGGTCTCGTAATCTGAATAATTTATTTTTTTATGAAATATAATACCTTATTTATTATTAAAATACATACTGTAGTGTTTAATGGGGATGCTGTACAGTGGTCTAATCGGATTTGATATAGGCCCAACGAGAGCTATAGGTAAAAGATCACACCTTGTGTAAACGTGCTGGAGGGGGATGAGGAGCTGGCTGTTGCTACATTCCCAATTTGTTTTTATTTATTCATTACAGTTCCGATATATTATAAAAATAATGTCCAATAACTGAGATGACTGAAATCTTATAAACTTGAGGCTAAATAAGAGAAAGATCACTAAATTAACACTACACCACCCATGCTACCCATGGTTTTCCTTGTAAGCTATAAGTAGGTGTGGTCAATTTAGGGGTGAACTGGCCAATTGAAAATCGAGTAATTTGCAGCAATTTATTGTGTCTTTGGGCTACGTAAAACAATATTCTACATAAATTTTTTTTTTTATAATAAGTCCCACTTACATCAAAATGGATTTTTAAATGTAATATTTAGAATTTATAATATAACCATGCTTGTACACATGTTACTGTTTGCCCAAATTATTATATTTTATTATCCTAGAGTCTATTTGAAAGCAACTACCTACACTCTCTTTGCTTTTGGTTTTGTCATCTAGTAGTCTGTCACATTTGTGCTTTGATGTAACCTCTACTGTACAACATGGCCCGGGCCAAGCCTCTGTGACCATTTTCACACATCTCTCCACACTTTGAGGGAAGGCCACTGCACCTGCATTGGAGTCTCTTTGCTTTTAATTCTACAAAGTTAGGATTTGTCAATGGTGGTTTAAGACTTCCAAACCTGTCAACCAATTCTGACAATTTGGTAGTATTGATGCTTATTGTGAACTTTTCTGAATGAAACGGTCAGTTCCTCAACTGGTCACACCCATGTTAGCTGCCTCTGCTTTAGAATGACTTTGCTAGCCTCGGTTCGAGATTGGTACATTGACTGCAAAGCATTGCTTGCAAACTGTTTGATCGAGCATACTGCCGACCTTCTTGCTACAGGCAACACGATGTCCTCACTACCTTCCTCTGTGTTTTACTAGGCCGTAATTGAACAAAAAGGTGATCAACAATCCACCCACATACAGTGATTAAGCTCACTAAACCACTGGGGAAGATAAGCAACTCAATAATAACACCAATCCCTCAAATTCTTCTTCAGCACTTTGTCTTCTCAATCTGTGTTTGGAAACCAAATCCTGCAGAAACTGTGGCGAGCTGTAGTTAACCAACGGGTCAGGATCGGGATATGTGTCCAATCTCCAAGAGAGCCAATGACTGAGGCACTTCTTCGTTCTTATTGTTTGGGGCAACACGATAAGCATAGGATTGATCTGTAAGAGATCTTTGATATTCTTCCAGACAACGCCAAGGAGGCCAACTGACCTTTAAAGCATTTATTTCCTTTAGTTGTGTTGTTTACCCAGCATGATGCTAAGGACCTGACCACTTGTTGTTGCTCTTTGTAGACCATCGTCTTGGATGAGATGATTTAAGAGGTAGCCTCACTGTATGTAAATCATATACAATCCAAACAAGTCTTCTTCCTAGTTTTTCTCTAAATGCGCCATTACACCCCTCAAGATCCGGGTGTTCACTGCAGTTGAATCTCCACTCAACAGCCCGTGAACTGCCAAGTCTCTCCTCTAAACCACAGCCATGATCGTGCAATGACCCTGCATAGTTTCTTCCTTCACTTCAGTTTTCAAGGGCGAAACAAAACTCACCACCAGGCTCCAGAACAGACAGAGTAGTGTTCTTTCTTTTGATGAGACCTGGAAACTTTCTGTTCACTCCTTCTACTTAAAGCAAAATCCTTTTGTGTCATCTATATATTCTTCCATCAAACAAAAGACAGGAGAGCCTCCCCCGCTTAAATCTTTTCTTATGCTGACTGAAGATTTCATTATTTTTTCTTAGTTTTCTAATTCTATTATGATCTACTGAAGATACATCCCTCGGCCATGAGGCCTGCATCTATCCAAGCTGCAGCGTAATTTCTGCAGCCCAATGGGTCCATGTATGGTATAATACTAGCTAAAGCCAATGTTTTAGCCATTTCTTGTGTTGTATTTTATTTTTGTGAAGGTTCAGATATTCTTTTGAACTATCATCTGATGTTGTTTGTCCACTTTAGAAGAACTATCAAAGAAGTGATAAACATCTTCGACACAGTTCTCTCTTTGGATGGCTTTCACTCTTCTTCTTTTGTTCTCTCTTGATTTAATTTTCTTCTCAAGTAGTATTAGCAATCTGCTTCTTTGTTTCTGAATAACTATTGAACCCATTTTGCATTACTTCCTTTGGCCTTCTGCCTTGTCCTTCTGGTGTTTTATAAATTCAGCCTAAAACAGGATTCTTTTCATTTATGACAACTTAAGCAATCAATGTGGAACTATTTTCTCTTATCTGAAAGGAGAACAGTTGATTCAGAACATAATTGTAGATGGAGCACTTATAACAAATGTCAAACAGAGTATCAAGTGTGCAGAAATCTATTTTCCCACAAGCTTCCTTACTAAGTGATGTTTCAACTGCTTTGTGCTACACTTCGTTAGTTTTAGCCTTCAATTAGTTCTATACCGATTAATCACAGGTGGTTTGAAGAAAAGACTAGCTTTTATCCATTGATGCAAGAAGAGGACTATCATGTCATTTATGAGTTCTTATCTGTATAGTCTTTTCTGTCCTTTGCATTTTTTTTCTCGGTTATAACCCTAATTCATATGTCTTCTACTGTTGAAGTTCTGATACAGGAAGCTCTTTCCCTACCATCTAGCAGGCTCAAGGGTTGATAACTGACTTCTTATTCTTCAATTTTGACATTCTACACTATCTGACAAATAGAAAAAATATTTTCAATGTTTCATAATTCAATTCGTTGTTTGCAAAATATCAATTTGTTTTATCAAAAATGCTGTAACAGTCACATATAATTTCTTAGGAATATAATTGTTTTATACAATGATATAAGTAATCATGACAATCAATATGCCCTACTTTACAATAATTAAATGTAGAATTCTGTCTGGTAGAGTAGGTGCAAGTGCAATGAGAGCAAACCACTGCCTATGATATCTAGAAGGAGAGTGAGCCGGGCGCCTATCCTCACGCTTGGTACAAGCCAAACAAGAATTAAATCCCACACGGAGAGCCTGTCTATGTTCATGTTCTGAGCATGCATATTGGTACAACACAAGCTATAGAACCACAAAATACTCCATAACTTACATGCTTACACGAGATTAGTTAATATCGTATGAATAATTTAATCAAGTCTCTGGCTAATTTGTTGAAATACTGATATTTGAAACTTTAAGGTATAATTGATGTAGGTGAGGGTTATTTCAATTCATTTGCTTGCTAATCTCTTGGCTTAGACATAAAGAGGCACAATATTTTGACTACCAAATTTGATTTTAACATGTTGACAAAATTGACACACCCTAATAAGAATACATTTCATCCAACGTGATTTCATCCAATCGCATAAGCGATAACCGCTCACACGAGACCCGTGTAAAATGAGACCCCACTGCACACTACTCAGTTTTAGAAAGTTCATTGTATAAATTGTTAATCCATGATAGTTTAACCTCCTCACTTATATTTTATATGGTTAACACCAGACAATTTTATTCAGGTGAGGGGGGGACCCTGTACACAAGTGGTTAAGCTGTACTGAACACTAAATGTGAATACTCTATAAGTATTGAATACTCCACTCATAACAGACTTTTGTATGTATTATACTCATCTTAAAGGTTGCTGTGCCCTAATTGGTCTGGTAACACTGCTCAACCCCGTGTCCAGACATACGATTAAACTCAACTCTAGTTGTATACTCCCAACATGCCTGCATATTCCTCTCTCCCCCTCCACCTCCTCCCTCCCACCTCCACACCCTCCACCTCCCTCCTCCACCTCCCTCCCCAACTCATAGCTTGGTGTCTGTTTCGGCCTTAATCACATTCTGGCAGATGACGGCCAGCAAATCAAAATGATGACTACGACCTCACTGTGTCTATACAGTTCTCTGGCTTTGCCCATTACTTTTATTTGTATATTTCCTTGTTAACCTGTAATTGTCAATCTATATATTATTATCATCTTATTATAATTACTAACTTTCTAAATTTATTTGTCTTATGTTCCCATTATATCAGTCTAAGTAAAGATGCAATATTATATCTTGCTACATCAAAGAGTCTTAACAATCTGCTTTATGCCATTGATTGATAGTTATTAACTACAACTAATCCATCAATCCTTCCAATTCGCCTTAATCTATTTTCCCCAAACCTCCTTTATATTCTCTGTCTGTCTGTCCACCAAGTTATCACTTTCTCCTTGTAACACTAAGTCTACCATGGTTCTTTATTGAAGTCCCTAGCACACTGGCCAGATTTACCATCGAGCTTCTACAAAGCCATTATTTCCGTGGACCATCTAATCACATAAACATGTAAAGACCGAAGGTTCACGTTCTCCCAAAATTATGGGATACTCTGGACACCCACGGAAGTGATGGTGTCTTGCGAGGCAAATTACTTGACAGTTTGCTGAAAAATATATACAGTACTGTACTCAACCCTCTTGTACCCTCATGTTTTATAAATTAAATTTATACTTAGCCAATTTATATTATCAACAAAGCATAATATAAATGTAACAAATAAATACTATGTTTTCATTTGACTGCTTACTTTGGGTTCTGTATGACCTGAGAACACACCACCTATTTTATAATGTGTTTGCTCTTGAAGGACAGAGGCTGTCCTAATAACAATATATTGTACATAAATTACCCAGTGTTGTGGGACACCAGTGTGAGAGGAAAGGGTTGCAGTCAAGTAGAGGTCTGCCATCTGTGTTGTTTTGGTGGTTGAAGATTAACGACTGCACTGAGTATGACTGAAAGACGTCGGTACAGTACGTTGTCATACTGTAAGGTGTGATAGCACCTTAATCTGTCACCTATATTTCACCATCCATATTTTTCCCACCCCTTCACCACCTTTCCTCCCACCCAACTTCACAGTATCCTTATCCACCCAGTGCTGCCTCTCTCCTTTTTGTTTTCTATTCAAACTTCTCAGTGTTGCCAGAGATGTAATTACCACAATCAATCAAACTTTCCTCCCTCACCCCTCCTCCTCGTGCCTTTCAAATACTATACCACACTCGGTTCTTTGCAGAATTGTGTTCTGCTTAATAGGAACCTCATTATGCTTCATGTCCATAAATGTAATTACCATATATTATGGCCTGTAAGTCGACTTTTGAAGCTCCAATTTTTTTAAAAACTAAGGATCATCTTATACAACAGTTATAAAATGTCGACCTCTAAGTACACTCCACCACTAGCATCAGATTTTCACTGTACCTTATTGGTACTTCTCAGTCATTTATTTTCCAGCACTCACAAACAAGTTTTATTTAACTGTAGCATTTTTTCAAAAGGGTAACTGTTACTGAACTCGGCCTACAGTCAGTGTTCATACCGATACCTTTCAAACATTAAAATATATTTTGGGAGTTAACTACGGTTTCTTACAAACAAATGCTACTAGAGCAGTTACTTGTAATATTTGTTGTGGATTTTGAAAACGTTAACACAAATGATCAATCCAATATTTACTTTACTTTTAAGCAACTTTTATTTTGTATTGTTTTAGGTGAAATAATATAATCTTTTTTAATCATGTACCAAGAGTCTGTGTGCTTGTTGTCATATATTGCTAGTCCAGTGTTCTACCATACTCTATACTGTCAATATAATGTACAACATGATTTTAATCATGTACCATAATTATAAAGTTTGATAACTTTTTTACTTGCCAATATATTTAATAATAAACTATCAGTGGTAGTAAGTTGTCATTGTTTACATAGTGTACAGTGTATCTTAAATATTTTTACACTTGTTGGAACAGTTGTTGTTTACACCACATTTGTGTGCCCTAGTAATGTTTGTTTGTAATAATACTGTAGTTAACACCAAAAGGTATTTTAACATTTTGAAAATGCTACAATAGGTAAACCTTGTTTGTGAGTGCTGTTAAAAAGTAAATGTTGGCAAGATTAGCTGACACAGAGAAAGGAGCTTTCAAATTGCAGTTTACGGGGTCGACTTAACTGCCAGATATAAGCCTAGATCAAGAATTTCAGTTGAAATAATTAGGTCGACTTGTAGGTCATAATATATGGTATAACATGAAATATTAACAATTTTAAACTAATTAGTATACACACGTTGCCTGACTTGGTCTAGTTCGTCCGGCCACTAGTTTAGCCCCACCAGGCACGGTGGTTATTACCGGTAGGTGCATTGTTTATTGAGTTTGAAAAAGGAAAATGATAGAGTAAATTGATCAGTCAGTAATTAAAGTTTTAGTAATAGGAAGTTTTGTATCAATTCAAGTACAGTTGCTGTGTCGGTATTTGGCCGACATTTTACTGAAAGAAATGGTGGTAGAAATAGTACTATTGTTTGTTGTGGAGTTTGAATATTTAGTAATAAAAGTGCTGAATAAGACTCCATGTGCTTATGGTAGTATAGCTGTTACTGATGTTTGTTGAGGGATTCAAAGCATTTGAGATGTTATGAAGCACTGAGTTATTTACTTGTATTGTTGTATGGAACCATTATTCATAAAACTGTTTCACCATTACCAAATTCTGCCTATTGTTTTTATTTATCATCCAGTGCCACATGAATCTATTCAATCACTCATAACACTAAAAATGGGTTGGGAGGTGGGGGAGGAAGGGGAGGGAAGAGCACGGTAAGACAACTGCAGCACCAGCCAGCAACAACCTGTATATACTGTACTGTGTTTATCCACAAAACAGATCTGCTGTGTTTTCAAGATTTGGCTCTATTCATATATGCACAACACATGTATTCATAATATATTTGTAATAACACTTAGGTAATGAATTATTTTGGAATCCTGACAGTTCTCTACAGGAAAATTTTATCAAATAAGTAGACCCACACAAGATCCACAAGTGTGTGTGAATATTTGTGGCAACTTTACAGTGTGATTAAGCATGAAAACTACAATCAATAGTACAAAGAATCATATACAGTATGTCTGGTTCCCAGTTATGATGCAACAGTGGCATATATTTCTCAACATTATTTTCCCACATTTTACACATTGTTTAAGGCATGTCTGTTAACTCTTCCCAAACAGTGTTACCAGATCACTTGTCCTATATCATGCAGGTTGGTTCAGTACAAACTTCTGCTGTTAACTGTATAGTCCTAGTCTTTGGGCTTTTGGGAAAAGTTTTTAGCATGTTTTTAGACTAATTTTGATTACCGTACATTTCAGAGCAACAAACTAGGTGAACTATTGTATATGGTTCCAACGTCCAGTGTCAGTAAATCACGAATTGTGTGGCGAGGATACTTGGCAACCATGTTGTTGTTGTTAGAGTCTGGGTGTGACATATCTCCAGTTGTTAAAAAATTTAGTCCTATTTTAGCAGCCACCTGCCATGAGTACATAACATCCAGAGATTCCATGCATAGAAGGTATGTGTCAGCTACTTGTTCACAATCATAAGTTCTATTAGTTGCAGTTTTTTGTATGCTCATGGAAAATACCAATCATTAAACACTAATGTCTAGAGATGAATAGATATTTTTTTAATAGTTTTCAAAAATTTGCCCATAAATTGTGGAGAATGAAAACAAGTCTCCCACTGAATGGTTATGAAACTAATTTTGTTCTGTATTTTAGGGACTTGGGGCAACTGATCACAATATATGCTGATGGAGTCCAGGAAGTGTTTGACCAGAGCTTTAACCTGACACTATCGCAACATTCCCTCATATGTAAGTTTTATTTTAAATTTTTTGAGACACTCATAAGAACTACAGTACAGGGGTTTGCTGTAATAGTGGTATGTATGCATTTATGTCAGTGATGTGAAACAGTTTTAATCACCTTTTATTTTCAGTAATATATCTAACTGGGGCAACTGAAGTCTTTATTTCATATACAGGCAATGACCATTATACAGTGAATCAAAATGTGTTTGATTAGTTTAAAAAAAAATAACACCATTTACCATTATGCGATGCCTAAAGATCAGTTTTAAGATGGTCGCTGCCTGAATGCTTTTCCTGCATTGTCTGTCACTGTTATGTAAAAATGATGTGCAATAACTCGTACTGTTCGGAGATATCACGACTCAATATCGGAATGGCGTAACACGTGTGGCCTGTCCTCGGTGACTGCCACACTAAGCAGTTGAACTGTCACATCACCCAGAGGATACTTTACATATAGAAGAGGCTATTGTTTGTACATAATAGTAATATATACTGTACCAGTATATGTGAGGAATAAATGATAATAGTAAGTAAAATACCGTGTTGCCATTTGGCAATCATTTCCCAGGACACAAGACACAGAACAGCTGAGAGATCCCTCACGCTGCTCCTTGCTCCTCCTCCCCACTTTGTCGACTAACTGCTGTCCACATAAGAACTGTTTATTCCCTTATGTTTTTGACCTTATGACATTGGTTTTTTTTGTTTTTGTTTTTGTTTGTGCACATTCTGTATGAACAGTTGTGTATGCATGTAACAGGGTAAAAGAAAATGAAGAAAATTACATATATCTACCCAAAATTACAAGTTGAACAATAATATAGCTCACGGCTCGGCCTCACCCGCTCTGAGTGTATGGGGTGGCAAGTTGGCTGCACAATTGCATGCCATCTGCATGGATAGTATTCCTCATTATTTATTTTTATTTTTTATTTATTTATTTATTTTTAAACTATACCCTCGTTAATTCAACAAAGGGGCTCTGGTTCACTTGAATTATATAAAAAAATCCTGTTCTTAAGAGACGGTGAGTGCTGGCAACATTGTTAGGGAGAACAGGAACGATCAGCTGATACCGCTCTGTACTGTAAACAAGAGATCAGGTATACACTGTGGCGCAATAATTCATGTGGGATTTTTTGGGGGGAGGGGGGGGGGAATTTTGTTATTTTTTTGTACTGTTTTATTAACCCACCACCAAATGAACCAAAATAATATGGGAATTATGGTGAAATTGTATTCTGTTTTTATAAAGTGAGTGCAGGAGGTGAGTTCTCTCCACCCCCACCCCTCCCCTACACACCCAAACAGTTTTTATCTTAATATACAGTCGGCCCTTAACATACTCGGGGGTTAGGTAACAGAGATACCCGCGAGTGCCTTGAAGTGCCTCCTGTATGTGACCCATGTCTCACTGCCATATAGCAGGGTGGGAAGGACCACTGCTTGATATACGTGCAGCTTTGTAGATAATTTCAGCTCCCTACAGCTGAAGACATGATTTTGGAGTCCACCCAACGCTTGAGATGCACATCTGATCCGATGCTGAATCTCTTCATCGATGTCTGCGGTGGTGGACAGGTGGGAGCCAAGATACCGAAAGTGGGCAACATTAGAGAGATGTGCAGATTTTGATGGAGGCGTGATAACGGAAATCGTGATAACCAAGTGCGCTATAACCAAGGGATAACTGTACAGCATTTTTTTTTAACTTATGTATTGGTATTATTTTTAATCAAGCCTCACATGTACTGGTCCTGTATTTGTTATTTTAAGAAAACTTTGGCTACAGGAGGAAGATACACGCACGAGTTTTTTTCTAAATACTCCCTGCTAAAATGGGAGTGCGTCTTACACAGCCGTGCATCTTGCATGACTGTGTGTCTTATATGACCGTGCATCTTATATGACCGTGCATCTTATATGACTGTGGTGTCTTATATGACCGTACATCTTATATGACCGTGCATCTTATATGACTGTGGTGTCTTATATGACCGTGCATCTTATATGACCGTGCATCTTATATGACTGTGGTGTCTTATATGACCGTGCATCTTATATGACTGTGTGTCTTATATGACCGTACATCTTGTATGACTGCGTCTTGTATTCCATAAAATATGGTAAGTAATAAAGTCCGGTATACTTTTTGCTCCACTGATCGTGAGTCTCCTTGACCCAGTTCAATCATAAGATAGAATTCTCAGGATCAGGGCTTTATTTATGACTGGGGGCTGAGGGGAATCAAGGTTACAATTACCAAGCCCAAGTTCTAAAGGGAATCTGTGAGTGTGGTAGGATAAGTACATGAAAGTCCACCTCCATCTTTAACAGAATTTAGCTAATAATTTTTTGGTGTATGGTGAAATCCTTGTGGTTAGGGTAACACCTTTTGTGAAAAAATTTATTGTTTTATAGCACTTAAAATAATAATTATTGACTCCTGACTCATTTTATATTGATTTAACAGATCACATATAGATTAAGAACCCCAGCTTATCTCATCTTAAGATTAACCACACTAGATTGAACCTAACCTAACCCCCGAGGTGGTTTAGGTTATTTAATAGTAAGGTGAAATAAGCTGGGATACCTAACATGTCTTTAATTTTTTGCCTTGTGATATCTTTTTTATATGTACAGTCGGGGTCAAAAGTCTTGAACAATTAGCAATATCTGGCATCTACTTGTGAGTTATATGATTGGGATACACTAATAACACTACTGGTCATCACATATTGTGCCTGAACCACAAAATTGGATAAAAACTCTCCTTAATACCTAAGATCTTCGGGTACTTACATGCCAAATACTGTCACGTGTTCAATACTTTTGACCCCGAGTGTACATACCATAGTAAGAGTTTTTTTTTTTCTGGAGGACAGACGGGTGAGTGATGTAAAACTTTTCCCACACTAGTCCCCCATGAACACCATCCCATACATTGCCTCTCACAGTCATTTGTTCCACCCAAACCTTAGAGTTCTCACGCCTATCTCCTGTCACTCATCTTACTTACTGTACATTTATTGTGACACTAATTATCTCGTCCACTTTTTAAATATCTTCCCATGTGTCCGTGATATTTTCATAACTCGTCTTTCACTTCTGTGTTTTCAGGTGGAGGTTTGAGTGGTGTTCTCCAACATGCCAGTAGTATTGAAATGAAGGCTATTCTTGGTGCCTCAGACACCGCCCTCACTAAGGTTATTGACATCTCTTCAAAACCTCAGTACCTGGCAGGTCAGTATTAGGGAAACAGAATACTATTAAAATTTGCTGTGAGGATATTAACAAAATATGAGGAGTCCTTTTGGATGTAATATTTGAAAAACTGTGTTTGGCTTGTGTGCCTGGATGATTGATGTATTCTTAGCACATTTACCGGTAGTAATGGAATTTGTAAATGTACAAAGGTGATTAATTCTGAACATTCTACATACTGCAAGTAAATAAAGAAAATTCTAGTTACAATTTTAAAAGACAGATCTTCCATTAGAATACATGGAAGGCCCCCCACACACACACACAGACGGTTGATTTTCTTTATAATGTATTGTCTTCCTTTATTTCTGAATATGGTTTCTAGAAAACAGTGTGAGAGAAAGAATTGCCTGTGGGTTTGTTTATAGCTCGTGTTGTTAAGTTTTCATTTCCAATGGTGTTTTAACCTAACCAGTCAATGAAAGCTTCCTGTTCAGATCAGTGGTTTCTTTTTTAAAGTTCTTTTTTCTGTTTTAAAGTTGTGGTAGAATTTAAATAGATTTTCTTCCCAAGTCGATTGTGTTTCTCCACAGACTGGTGTCTGGGTTTAGTCAGATGAACCTGACCTTGGCTGGTGTTTTTATTCTTCAGATGAATTAGAGTAGACACTAGAGCTTCAAATCCTTCATAATAAGTTCAAGGGTGTATACACAGATATAATCTGAGAGAATAAATTATGAATTCTCTCCAGAGAAGTGTTGTGAATGTCACTTTGAGATAACACTTGTGTTACAAGTCTCTTCCTCCTCTTCCATATACCTAACCCATGTGGTCCTACTTCTGGTGCTACTTTCCCTTTCCCAACTTCTGTGTTAAAATCATCCATTATAATCAGACTTTCACTAAACTTTACAGTGTCTTTTGCTTTCTTTAAATCTTAAAACAAAAATTAATAGACTTTTTCTTCACTCCTATTTGTTGATGCATAAACCTGTATTACTACCAAGTCCATGAGTTTATCATTTAGCTTGACTAATAAAACTATTTGACACTGCCCAATATTCTTTTACACTAGTCCTCAACTTTTGGTTTACAAGAATACCAACACCTAAGAACAGAAGAATGGAGGAAAATGCAGTGGGCCTACTGGTCCATACTGGGCAGTCCCGTTTACATCCAACCTCTATCTCTTATATCCATCCAGCCTATATTTGAAGCATATTTTAGGTAATGATGATGTTTAGTAACGTGTTCCACCTACTGGCCTATAGCAGCCTGTATAGTGGATCACCCTACTGGCCTATAGCACCCTGTAAAGTGGACCACCCTACTGGCCTATAGCAGCCTGTATAGTGGATCACCCTACTGGCCTATAGCACCCTGTAAAGTGGACCACTCTACTGGCCTGTAGCACCCTGTAAAGTGGACCACTCTACTGGCCTATAGCAGCCTGTAAAGTGGACCACCCTACTGGCCTATAGCAGCCTGTAAAGTGGACCACCCTACTGGCCTGTAGCAGCCTGTATAGTGGACCACCCTACTGGGCACCCTGTAAAGTGGACCACTCTACTGGCCTATAGCAGCCTGTATAGTGGACCACCCTACTGGCTGGCCTGTATAGTGGACCACCCTACTGGCCTATAGCAGCCTGTATAGTGGACCACCCTACTGGATAGTGGACCACCCTACTGGCCTATAGCAGCCTGTATAGTGGACCACCCTACTGGCCTATAGCAGCCTGTATAGTGGACCACCCTACTGGCCTATAGCAGCCTGTATAGTGGACCACCCTACTGGCCTACTACTGTATTTGGTTAATTGTGACTAACTTCTCAAAGCACTTCATTTGACAGATATCACTGTGAATAAGTTAGGAAGAGAACCCCATTGAGTCTTTTTACTGAAAGAATTTGATTAGATTGTTTATATAATTATTTTAAATTTATGTGTTTAATATTTCAGGGTTAAATACGGAAATTGTGGATGTTATTTGGAGAGAATTTGGTTCGTTCATCAAATCTCACGCTACCACTCTGACACCACCAGCAGTCCTTGGAACAGTTGCTGCTTCTCTCACCTTCTGCTTGGGTCACAATGTTAGTAATCCTACTTCAGGAAACAAAGAAGCTGCTTTGGGACTGTTTACTTATTTTACTACAAATGATGCTGTGAATCCACTGTAAGTAATTTATTTGAAATTATTTTTTCATTGCTTTTGATTTGTATATTCTGTGTAAATAAGTGAGTTATTAAGAAGGCATATGACTGGGTACCACTTGAAATAGTGCAGTAGTCATTTAGAAGGTTAGGGTTCAAGGAGTGTCTTGTTTAAGTGGTTTTGGTTCTGCATGTTGGATTAAATAGTGAAGAATTTGAGGTGAAACTAGGGGTCTGTCACTAGCCCTCTTCTTTTTACCTTGGTGCTAGTGGCGCTAATGTGAGATAATTGAACTTGTTTGCCTTGGGAGATGTTGTAGCTGACAACATAGTGCTGATAGCAGATATTAATGAAAAGGTAGTGGAGAATTTTAAGAAATGGAAGGATGAAATAGAATCAAAGGGTATAAGAGTGAATGTTGACAAAAACAAGAGTAATAATTCTTGGCATGGGTGAAGGATCCTTGGTGGAAAGTGGAAAATGTACTTGGTTATTTTGATACTTTCAGCTTACTCGCACGAAGAACATGAGGTTTTTTTTTTTTTTTTTAATTACAGTTTTGCGCTTTCACTTAACGCGTTTTCGCATATACGCGGTGCCTTGCCAAAGCTGAACTTTCACTTAACGCGGCATTTTTCATCATATACGCGGTGAGTGTCCGGCTCGAGAGCTATTTTTAGATTCGCACCACCCCCCACCCGCCACCCTGCCTGACTGCCTGTTTTAGCTCATAAAATTCATACAAATTACCCAGCCAGAATATAATTTACATTGCTGGAATTCTTATAATTTGGTGATCATTTTGAATATAAACAACATATATTTTGCATTAAACATACAATTTTTAGATAAAAATATTTCTCTAGGTAACTATGTTATCTTTTGTCCAAAATATATGACATTTATATTCAAAATATTCCTGGTCTTACAAGGAATCCAGCAATGTCAATTATATTATCCTAACTTTAGTTTGAGGTATTATTTATTAAAATTTAGTGGTTATCCCACACATCTCCTTGGGACGGTTGGTGGGGGGTGGGGGGGAGGGAGGGACCGACCGACCGACCATCTGTTACCCGTGAAGAATTATTTTTTTTTTTATTAACTGAAGATATTTGTTTTAGCTCATAAAATTCATACAATTACCCGGTCAGAATATAATTTACATTGCTGGAATTCTTATAATTTGGTGATCATTTTGAATATAAACAACATATATTTTGCATTAAACATACAATTTTTAGATAAAAATTGTTCTCTAGGTAACTATGTTATCTTTTGTCCAAAATATATGACATTTATATTCAAAATATTCCTGGTCTTACAAGGAATCCAGCAATGTCAATTATATTATCCTAACTTTAATCTGAGGTATTATTTAATACTAAATGTTATAAACTCTGGAAGGGAGGATTGGTGGGGGGTGGGGGTAGGGTTGGGACTGACCACGCGGTTGGAAGAGGGGGGGAGGCAAGGTGGGGTACTTTGATTGACAGATAGTGTTGAAGAATATTTTTTTTTTTTTATTAACTGAAGATATTTGTTTTAGCTCATAAAATTCATACAAATTATCCGGCCAGAATATAATTTACATTGCTGGAATTCTTACAATTTGCTGATCATTTTGAATATAAACATCATAGATTTTGCATTAGACATACAAATTTTTGATGTAAAGTTTATTCTGAGTAAATATGTTATCTTTTGTGAAAAATATATGACATTTATATTCAAAATATTCCTGGTCTTACAAGGAATCCAGCAATGTCAATTATATTATCCTAACTTTAGTTTGAGGAATTATTTATTACTATACCTGGTTTTCCCCAAAAAATTTCTCAGAGGGAAGAGCCAGTGAGTGTAGTGTGAGAAGAGGGGGAGGGAGTTGAGTCCATTATTTGAATGGACATTAACTTGGCGACTGTATTTCTCTATTTCTCTTAAGTATTAATTGTGTGCATGTACCATCATAAAATTAAGATGTTATTTTTACTACAACATAGTTATTTGTCGTCAAAAAGTGGAGTTTGGGGGTCGGGCTGGGTTCTATTGGAATTAATCCCATATGTTCTGTTATTCACTTAACGCGGTTTTCACTTAACGCGGGACCCTCTGGGTTCAATTGACCGCGTTAAGTGGGGTACAACTGTATTATTATTATTACAGGGATTAGCCCACCCGGGCACACGTCACTGACCCACATCATGGCCTGGGGGGGCGAAAATGTAATAATATTAATAATAATGATAATAATTGGTTCACAGTAAATACAATTTATAATAAAAAATGCAAAATTTAAAATAAAATAATAATAACAATAATAATAATAAAAACAACAACACTGATACTAATAATAATAAAGAAATAGAAAAATGAAAAAAAGACCAATAGTGAGAAATGATATTAAGTATGTATGTTGTGTTGTCAAAGTAAGAGAAACAATTGAGACCCTGCAATTGTGTGTAAATGAGACAGAAAGTCAGATCAGCAACCTGGGACTTGGTCACAATTTTTGTGATGCCATATGGCAGCAGGGTCTACCATTAGACAACACATTATGCTTCCAGTATCTTCCCAGGCGGTAGTACCTCCCTGTTTGGTAGCTGCCTACTACCCACACAGGTGTTACTGCATCATAATTCTCCCCATCATCATTGTAACCAGCAGTGACATGTATATTATGTGATGTTATTTTCAGTAACCTTTACCCAGTTTATTTTATAATTGGTATAGAACATCATTGTGCACTATAAGAAACTTTTTTCTTTTCATCTTCAAAGAACACTTGTATATACTGTTCTTGATTCAAATGCTCATTAAATTTAAGAATACCATTTTGTTGTCTTGGAACAGATCCACTCTGCAGTATGTCTCATCCCTCCTAGAAATACCAGGCAGCATATCCATGTTGAGTGACATTTGTTCAGCATATGAGGGTCATTTAATCTCTGGTTGGTTATCAAGTTTAATAATAATGGGAAACTGTGATGAGGCAATTGCACTCACTCCCAAGATGATGAGTTTGCCCGGAGTAGCAGAAGTTCTCCATCGTCATCCACCTGCATGCCCATTTGCAGCGGCAAAGTGTCTGGCAGAAGGAGTTGCTAAGAAATATTCAGAAACACAGGTAATATGATTTTTTTTTTTTGTACATAAATGTAAGAAAGATGAAGAGAAGATTGGTGAATGGATGCTGTACTAAGAAGTAGACTAAGAGAGTAAATGTTATGCACATATAAACGTGAGTATGAAAAATAATGAATAAAGTGTGATTTAGCAATGACACTATATAAGTAGAGCAAGGAATTACAGGCATCCTCCGCGTTACGGAAGCCCGGGTTACGGAATTTCGCTCTTGCGGAATTTGTAAATTATTACCAATAATTTTGCGTTACGGCCCGTAAATCCGCCCTTACGGAAATTGGGGTAAATTTTAACAATTAAAAAAAAATCACTATAAAATTAATTTTTTTTGTTAAAAATGATAATTTGTTTGGTGTGGATTTCTTGGTGTTTGCTACCGCCAAGCGTGGCATTGCCACGCGGAGTCAGTTCATTGTTTACATCCAGTGTTGCGCGCATGTTTCTCGCCCCAGCAGTTTGATTTTACTTTTACAAACATACAGTAAGTACAGTACAGTGCATTACCCTTATTCAAGATGACTGGAAAGAGGCCATCAAGTGGAAGTGACCGCAGTAGTGCAAAAATAATACATAAAAATTCTAAAACGGGTGTCTCTTTTTCTTCTCAGCACCACGAGAACTCTCACTTTTACGCTTGCCAGCCATTTTGAAGGGAATTACAAAAAAAAAAAATTTTCAGTACACAGCGCGATCACTCACGTCGGGACTTGAAAATATGTAATGTGAAAAATATTTTATACGACAGTGGCTGTCGTATGTCCGGGTTGTAAGTCGAATATGTCGTAAGTCGAGGAGAGACTGTACTGTCTGATTTTCTTGAAACAGGCAGATAAGCAATGTTGTCCAGACTCTCCCCCCTCCCTCATTGATTCACTTTTTCAGAATTTCGCTTTTTCCAGATTGATGGTTTACTCCAATTAGTCCGGTGTATTGAGGTACAGTACTACAATATTTAGGTACTCCCATCCCTGAGTTAGGAAAATGTGTCCTTATACAAACTTTCTTTTGTTAGTAACTCTCACAAGGGGCTTCATGAAAAACTAAGTGAGAAGTACGGGAGTTACTGTATGTGAGGGAATCTACACTAATACACTTGCTTTTTGATAGGGAAAGACACAAAAGATCATAGACCGATTGAGCTCTACAGTACTGAACATGTAATTAAGTTGTAATTTTAAACTACCAGTGTGTTACATCCTTACTGTACTGTATTTTGGCAGATCTTCACAACCCGTGTAGCCTTTAGAGATGCAGCCTTACAATACTTCTCTGGGCTAGACAAGGCTTTGGGGATCTTGTTGAAGAAAGTTCCCCCACCAGATCATCTCTCATCAGTCTTAGAAATGGTGGCTGATCTTTTCTTTCATGCACATTCCATTATCTACATTAAGGTAAGTTGTGTGTTCATTATCAGGTAAGTGTGAGATACACTTAGATCATGGAAGCACACTATGGATGATAGTTTGTGACTAGAATGATTGTTTTATAGAGTGATACCAATTCAGAACAACCTGTGAAAATACACACCAAAGCATTTGGGAGGATTTTCCCAGTAATTCCTTGGGGGTCTTATGACTGATGCCAACACTCACTCAGAATGAAAGTTACAGGTCCTAGTTTGCCTGAAAACATGGAATGTGAACAATCATCACTATTCAGCTCTTTATTTCGATTGTGCAAATTGCTTCTCATTTGATAATGTTACAAACCAGTCACCAACTTCCCTGGAGAAATATATGTCTGTCTGACTGATCTGTTTAGAATATAAAGGCATTACTTATTGATAGCTTGGGAGTTTAGATTAGGTTTATTTACACACACACAACAACCCAACACTGGTGTGGGGGTCTGTAGTAGCCATCTTACCTAGAGTCATGGATAACTTATTGCACAAAGTGGTAGTCTATTCTTCCCCCCCCCCTTTTATTTTCCTGGTAGAAGGTGCCTGTAATAGCAATACAGGATAAGTGTTATTCCAACATCTCTGATTGTTCGGTGGATGCTACACATAACTACAGTATGCTCATTTATGATGAGGTTCACAGTGGTTCAAACTCGGGATTGACTTGGCCTGTGCCTGATATTATCTTTTAGGAAATATTGTGTACATATACTTCCCTCATTTGGGTTATCAAATGGGAAGGACAAATCAGAGGGTAGGGCCTGATAGCTGGTGCATTGTGTATGGTGGTTGTCATTGAGAGCAATAAAGGGCATTCCATTTTCCCCATAAATCTGGGTGGCATCACCCACCAATGTGCACACCTTCAACACATGTAAGAGCTGCTCCAAGGATTTTCCCAGGTAATGTTTTGGGCAGACTTCTCTGATTCCATAGAAAGTTGAAAATTGCACTTTATTGAAGAGTATCTATAATACATGCTGGTACAGTATTGTCTTTGTTAATCTTATAGATGCATCCTAAGAGTGACTTGTTTGTTTTGACAGATGTGTCAGATTATGGGTGGAGTTTCTTTTCAGGAGTTTCCATATTATTGTGAAGAAGTTACTGGTGCCTTTTACAGTATTCTTATATATGAGAGAGAGAGAGAGAGATTCCACACCATCATTACTAAACCAGCAAGGTTTCACAAGGTCCACTCTGCTATGAGAGATCTCAAAGACAGTACTGTGCAGTATTCATTTATGTATCAAGCTCCTGCTCTGGGGTCCGCAATATCTGGTCTGATGCAGTGTTGAGGATTTGATGACATCCATTGTGGATATTATGTTTGGATTCTTCCTCTAGGATTCTTTCAATCAGGTATCTTCCTATTGTTGACTTATTGTTGGTGTTAGTTAATTGCAGATTTGCTGTTTTTGTATCGATTATTTTGCAGGAGGGTTTAGTGGTAGTGGAGGCCTTTTCTTAAGACTGGAATAGCTGGAATCAGATGTATGTTTCCTCATCTAAGATGCTACAAGTGATCTCAAAGCTGAAGAAACTTCTGAGATACAGGACTAGTGGATCACTTTTGGGCTAGCAGATTTGGTGTCCCATCCTGAAGTAGTTTTGTCTGAATTCCTTTCAGATATTATTTCTGGTTTAAGTCAGGGAGTGGGTGGAGACACTGTTTCATGTCCTTTTTCTCAGTGCTACATACAGTAGAATCCCAGTTTTCTGGTATCCAGGCAACTGGTAGATTCAACTAACTGGCACCAAAATTAAATAATAATAATAAAAATTCCACCCAAATCAGCTAGTAACGTAAGTCTGAATACCGTGTGTAACAGGAATGAGCTGCCATGTTTATTACTATTACAAACAATAAATTCAATACTGTACATAGCATGTCATAAAATACAAAAGCACATATCTTATGTACAAAAAATAGCTCCTTCCACACTCAAACCAACCTCTGGGCAATGCAACCCAGTTCAGCCAAGCATTCAACCAGCTGACTCACAGACAAGTGGCTGCCACGCTGCACTGTGTGTATGTCATGACGTCATATTGGGAGGGAGCTCGGCCACACAGTTATTGCCAACCACACATGTTCTTCCTTTTTCTTATTTTATAGTTTTATTTTCTATTTCCTTTATAGTTTCATTACAAGTAACAATACAGTACACAAGGCAGCTGGACTGGCGAGTTGGCCACATAGTTTATAGCTAAGGCCTTGGCTACGCAGTAACTGCCTCCACACACGTTCACTTCTCACACAAACACACCCGTTCTTTTAATTTTCTTGTTTTCTATTATATTTTATTTATTTCTAAGCCACATTAGAGTATTGTAATGATCATTCAACAACTTGTATATTTTCATTACATGTAACAATAAACACGGCCACACAGTTATAGCCTACCACCTCCACACACATTTTTCCCACACCTACACACCCATGTTCTTCATTTTTCATATTTTATTGTTTTTTGTTATATTTTCTTTATTTCTAAGCCACATTGTTTGTATAGAGTGGAAGAAGTGTTTGTTTTTCTGAGACACATTTGTGAGGTCAGCCTGTAGCACTGTACTGTACATTGAAGGATTTGTTGGGGAATCCTAAGACTAAGTTTCACCTAACCAGAAAAACTCTTTATCCGGCACCTCTCTATCCCTGTAGGTGCCGTGATAACTGGGATTCCACTATACTGTATTACATATGAAGGTTCTAGTTATACTGGTTACCTTGTTTTGGTGAGGTGGATGTGCAGCTTGATAATGAAAGATAGGAAACCCTGTTTAGAGCTCAGAGGTTGCTGGCTATTGAGGGTATTGCCAAAGTTTTGCATTGAGTTAGAGCAAATTGTGACCTTGAATCTCTCATTTTTAAGCATCATAAACCTTTTTTTTTTTTTTTTTGAGTGTGTGTAAATTGGTGGTAATATGGTACATCCCTCTCTTGGTTGATTTCTTGCTTAATTAAGACAACCCACTTTAACATATAGCTAGTCTCTCTCTCTCTTTTTTTTTTTTTTTTTTTTACTTTCCTGGTTATTGACTAGTTGGGTCCACATTGCTTACTGTACAGACTTCTCTTGATGGTGTACTTGTATTAAGGTTTTATTATATGGGTCTTGAATTTAATATGATTCTATTATTGTTCTCCAAGTTATTTTTACCCCAATAATTATGGTTCTGTTTCAGTCAAGAGTCACCTGTCCTATGCCAGGCCTCATCAGTACACTTCTTCTCCCGAGTGCAGTGTATGAGCCTGAGAAGCCCCTCAACTCACACTTGGCCTTGGCATTAGCTAATACTTTACCAAAGGTAATTTATTGTTGGGCAGTGCATATTGCTTTAACAGATCAGATTTGCATTGGGATTAATTATTAAACATCACAAATTACACCTTTTTGTCTGAACCTGTGGATGTCTCAGCCTGTCTTTAGATATTAATCCTGTAAACATTACTTAGCTTCCTTTCAATTGAATTTTCAGGCAACTTGGTAGTTATCATCTTGATAAAATCTTGAATGGAAGAAAATTTGAATGTTGACTGACCTTGTGTAACCAATCTGGAGTGATCAGGTATTATACAGAAAAAACAATGTGATATGAGCATTGTACAGGCATATCTTATTTAACATGGTTAATGTATTCATGAAAAATGATTAGTTGAACATAAATGTGCAAAATAAAAATCAATGAACTATAGTAATGCATAACATCTAATAATGGGAATTGAATTCCTGACCAAGATTTTTTGGGATATGTAAAGATTAAGAAAACGTTTTACAATGCTTATTACATAATCACATATTAAAGAACCTATCTTTGGCAAGTTTACCTAGAATCAGAAATATAGTTAAGTCTCTAGGCTTTTAGGGGCCCAAGGCGAGACATGATTTGTGCCCCCCTCTTATCTCACGGAAAAATGTCCCCATCCCTCCCCTCCCCTCCCCTCCTCAAAAGGAAAGCAAATCAGTGCTAACAATTTGTTGTTGCTGCAATTTTTTTATTACTTCAGTAATTTACATATCATTAATATTTCTAAAATCTAGGATCTAGAATTTTTGCTTCCTGTCTTTCTTTGAAGCAAAATCATCTACAGTGCCATCACATGACACTTGTTTCCTGACAGCATTATTTATGCTAATGACAGCAAGCCCAGTAAGCCTATCCTGAGCCATCATAGACCTTAGGTATGTTGTGATAAGCTTAAGCTTTAAGAAGCTCCCCTCTGCTGAAGCTACAGTTACAGGCATAGTGACTGCTATCCTCAGGGCTGTCCACATGTTTGGATAAATCTCTTTAATCTGCTTTTCTTGTATATATTAAAGAAGTTCCAATGCTGTCATATTATCAGAGGGTAAGTCTGGTAGATTTCTAATCTCAAATGCCAGTTCTTTTCCATCAATATCCGACTCTCCAGCATAGCTCAGGGTGTCACTCTGCTCCTGACATTGTGTTGTGGTTAATCAATAAATAGTTCTTTGAAGTGAAAGAGAACTCCAAATTTGTCGCTAGCTTCTCCCAGGCTCTGGAATGTTTCATTAAGTGATGTGATGGCAGAGTCTACCACCGCAGTGAAAAAAGAGACTTCTAATCTTCTCAAGGCATCAGAAATTGGCTCATCTGGAGCTCCAAGTCTCTTTTCCTTTAACACAGCCTCTACATTCATTTCCTCGCACATGTCCTTAGCTGATGCTTGTGCTGAGACGAATCCATTCTCATGGTAGCTCGCCAGGGAGGCTTTAGTGTTCTTGAGTAAGCTCATCGCCACATCAAGCTGCATGGTAGTAGACTGCAAGAGTTTGCTCCATGTTGTATTTGTTACAGAATGTTGTACCATATCACGGTGCATATCAAAAAACAGTAAGACCCATCTTCCCCTGCCAGTGACTGGGCCTTTATCCTTGTCACATTATCTGTGACTTAGTTCCTCATATCCAGCAGGGCCTCCCTTACTTTTTTAGTTTGATAGCACACAGCCTCTATAGCTTTGATACGGCTTTTTCACCTTGTATCTGACCATGATTTCATGGAGCTGTCTACCCTGTTCTTCAGTATTGTCCATTGCTGTGTTGCAGCTGAAAACATAGTAAACAGCTTCTGAAGAATTCCAAAGTACCTTCATGCATCTTGGGAGCTTTAAGCTGCATCAGCCACCATCAAGTTCAGGGTATGTGCTCCACAAGGCACAAAGAGTGCATGGGGATTTATAGCCAAAAGCCGTGCTTGCACTCCCTTGTTTTTCCCTTTCATGTTTGATCCATTATCATAGGACTGACCCCCTACACTCAGCAAATGTTATGTTCAAGTTCTTGAGGTCTGCCAATCCTTGACCGATTGTCTCTGTTGCTTCTAAAAAGCCAATAAAATGCTCTTTGACCTCCGGGGTGTCTTCTAGCGTTACAGTCCTCAGGATGACTGACATTTGTTCTTGGTGGCTGATATCAGGTGTGCAATCCAGTATAATTAAATAGTACCTAGACTTTTTTTACCTGTGTAAAGATTTTCTGCAGGTTTTTGCCACTGCTTGACTCGATGAGCTTATTTTGAATTATTTTACCAAGATACAGTGGGGTATGCTATGAATCTAATTGGTTCTAGAACCTTGTTCGTTATAGCATTCGTTCGTTATAGGATTAATCCGTTCCAGGCCCCAAATACAACCACTTAACACTGAAAAATATAATATAAAATTGTAAAAATTGTAAAAAAGTGCATAAATATGCATCTAAACCCCTGAAATAAAGAATATCATTAATATTTGTAATAAAAAAACAATAAATTAGAAAAAAAAAATTAAATAATGTTCGTTGTAGGAGTTTCGTTCGTTATAGCATTCTCAATTTTATAGGTAAAACCGTTCGTTATAGGAATATTCGTAGTAGGATCCGTTCGTTATAGCATACCCCACTGTAGGTGACATGTCTTCCTACTCCACTCTCAATTCGTTCAATGTATTGTTTCAAAATAGGATCACATTTAGCTAAAAGCTCAACTTCTTTCAGGAAGTTCCCATTGTCTGGCTGATACAGAGTATAGTGTGTCAGTGGACCCCCTCAAGGCAAGATTTCTCTCGGCTAACGATTGTATAATACACACTAAACCTGTGAGAACATCCCTCTAGCATCTTCTCTCTGTCTCTATGAGAGAAATTCCTGCCTTATCAATATTTTTCCACATTTTACGGTGATGCTCCAAATCTTTCCACATTCTCATGTGTTTAATGTGCTCTGGGTTATTTTCATGTCCTTTAAGTAAATAGCCAATATTCTTCCAATCAGTTAGTCCCTCTTTTATTAACCTGTAATCTTTCACAGAAAACAGTTTGCAACAAAAGGAGTTGGTGGCATTGTTTTGCTTTGAGTAAACCAACCAGCTTTGCTTAATCTTCTCTCCATTCACTAAAATTTTCTGCATGTGGTAATGATGAAAGCTTCTACTCATATTATCCTGACTTTTGGGAAAAGGAAAATCTGATTCTATCTGAGTGGACATCTCATAATCAGATCAGATTGAAATTCACGCTCAGTCAGCCTCAGGGATTTTGAACTAAATTCCTGAAGGAGGCATCAGGTGAGCCGTTATGGGCTGGGGGCCCTAGGCGGCTGCCTAGTACACATATTCCTTGAGCCGGCCTTGCTCATAAGAGTGAGTGAGTAGCCATGTGAGACAGCGTGCATGCTCCCACACCCATTGTCTTGGTGTCCATTTTTCCTCTCAACTCATCTTGTGTGTGGATTTGCCATTACTTTTTATTAGTACAGTGTTGTCTAAGTAAGAAGTCTTTTAGTACATTTACTGACCTTCAATGAATTTTTCTTCCCATGCTAGATAGTGATTGTTATACTCTGGTTCCTCTGCTCTTGGTGGTGTCACTTATGTTTTCTATGAGATGCTGATAATGAGGGGCATTGTAGAGCTCTGCTGGTGCCAACTGCTGTGGCTGTAATGATCCAGTGGGACTTCCAGCCTTTAGTTTGGACTATTCTCTCTCGGCTCATTTTATGTGATTATAACTACAGTAAATCTAGGAAGTTTATGGCTGACCTGGCCTCCACAATTACCTTGAAAAGTGCCGCAGTGATTATAAATATACAGGTAAGTAAATGTTTTTCATACAAAGTGATAGAATATTCAGTTGATCAAAAGCTTACATACATAGCAATTCTGATGAGTTGACAAAGGAAGTCAATTGGAATGTACTGCCTGCATGACTAGCAAATCACCAACTTAGTTTTGGTGTGATGGGGGAAAATGTGTCTCCTAAACTAAGACAAGACTGGTTACCAAAACTTAATAGAAAACCTTACAGTAAAATAGTAAAGATTGTTGGTGTGGATGGTTGGTGTTGGTGGTGTGGATGGTTGGTGTTGGTGATGTGGATGGTTGGTGTTGGTGATGTGGATGGTTGCTGTTGATGATTTAAATATACATGTTTTTTAATCCTTACTCTAATGGGGTTGTTAATATCCATTGTTAAACTTGTGGTCTGGGAGGTAAAAATTCAGGGCTTGGTATGCCTCTAATTTTTCCTCATAAATTATTAACTTTGGCTTCCATAGATCTGACACTGACAGAGACCTTCAGAAATGTATCCACAATGGAAATCTAATATTTATTGCATAATATTTTTATTAACCTGTTGAAATGTATTTTTAACTATCAAGACACTAGTTATTGGTTACAGATGGTGTGTGCGATGGGGTGCCTGGGCTTGGCTCAAGACCCATACCTGGTACGTTGCGTCAGGAACGTCTTCACACACTACATGTACCGCTTCCCAGTCAAGACCAGTAACAGCTACACATCCACAACACACCCTTTTATTGTAAGTGAATGTGTATATTTCTCCTGTAAATACATTAGGTTGTTTTGTTACATAATGGAATATTGGTTTTATTTAAAGTATTTATAGATAACAGAAATTTTGCTTTGTTTTAGATTTGTCTCCACAATGGGGATGTGCGAGAGGAGGCGATACAAGAATTACGATCCGTGTTTCTGGAGGTCGTGCGTGACAGTTACTTGCGCAGGCGAGGTGTCAGCAATGTACATCTTCAAATGGTAAGTACAGTAAAGTTATCATGAATCCCCAGTTTGTTTAGGGAGCAGCCAGTCTGGTTAAGGGAGAATTCTGATTACAGTATTTGTAAAGATTCATCCCTCATGTAATATCATTATTTCATAGTTTTCTTTCAATTTCTATCACATTTCCTCTTTGCTTCCTTGGCTGACAGTTGTTATTTGAGACATGGTATGTTAGAAGAAAAGATAGTAATACACCCCATCTACAGTATGTCAACAGTGGGACATCTCAAGTAAAGCCCACATATTTCACACCCCTCAAATTTGCAATCACTCATAATGTTTGGTAAATTTTGAAATATGAGACATTTCAAAATATTATGATATATGAGTATACTGTATATTAAATTTTTCGTAATACATACCTGTATTTGGTAAAATTTCAGATTATGAGAGACGTTTATGAACATATATGATGCGCAGGTCGCCAGTAGGCCATGGGATGTGACTGCCCGTCTCAATGTAAACAAGTACTATACACGTCACATGTGTTGGTCACGGGTAGTTGGTGTTGGTTAGTCGTGGAGTGCACATGTATGGTCTATGGCTCAAGCTTTTGCACCTGTTTTTCCATCATTGCTGAGTGTTGAAGCCATTATGTCTGATAACTCTAAATCGAGTTCTGTACTTAGATACATTTAAATTTCAAATTATAGGTCTTTTTTCTGACATTGTCTTATCACTTTTCTCTCTCTCTCTTTTTTTTTTTTTTTTTTAGTCAATTAAGCTCTTCTATTTCCTTATGCTCCACACGGACAGTCAGCAACAAAACTGTCTTCCAATTTAGGAATGAATGCACTGTATCGTGGGACAGGTAACTCGCATTTTACGCGCGTTTGATTTAAGCATTTTGGGGGTAATACAATTGTTCAATTAATACCAAAAGCTAATTTACGCGCACCTATTTTTTTAAATAACACACTCAAGACAGTTTAAATTTGCTGCACGTATTCGCCTGGTCGCCTGACAGTGGAGTCACGTGTGATGCCTGGTGAGGTGCTTGTAAGTTATTACTTTTAAGTCACAATCATACCAACATCAACGATTTTAATATTATTAATAATTATAATAATGTAATAATAAAGATTATTACTACTTATGATGATGATTACCTATGAAGTATTCTGTACAATAACTGTGACCACTTCCAGCAAGCTTCCCGCGTACCGCTTTCTCACTTCACACCCGCACTACTTTTGCTCTGTGTTTTCATTTGTATTGTGTTTATCACGTACCTTTTTAGTGTTAAACGCTGTTTTCCCCATTGAGCATCTGCTTCCTCTCGGGCACCTAAAGCTAAAAGAGCACAAAAAACAATCGCAATGGACGTGTGTCGGAGGTTGGCCACGTGCTTGGTTTAAGTGAGAGCACTGTTCGTACCCTCTGTGGTATATGATGGTTCCCCTAACCTGTACCATTTACATGTTTTCTTATGGTTAAATTATGTTTAATTTACGCATTTTTTAATTAAGTGGTGGTTTTCAAGAACGTAACCCCTGCGTAAAACAAGAGGTGGGTGTACTGACAAGCTCAATGAAAAACTTTTAAACAGTTGGCAGGACTAGAGAACCTACAGTGGTAACATGCTTCAGTATACCCACCAAATAAAGATAACTTTACACCCCTACCAGGACATACATGTACAGTATGATGAAAATATTCCTATAAAGGATAAATTGTAACTTAGTCATGACAATACCTAATTACATTAAATCAACCATCTAACAGAGTGAACTAATGCCGACGGTGGTCCTGCACTGTGAGTACTCTGCCCCCTCTTTAACTAGCCCCACACACAACTAGAGAATTACAAGTGCACTATACCTTTACTTCCTGCCAGTCCCTCACATGAGACTTACACCAACAGGCTTCCTGGTCGGGTATAATCCAAGCTCTAATACAGTAAACCCTTGTTATTTGTGGGGGTTAGGTTCCAAGGAATGGCACGAATTGGCAAAACCGTGAATAGCAACTCTTACTACCTTAGTGCACGACTGTATACCTATACCAAACAACCGACCAGCCACGGCAGCACTCATCCCTTTCTTTAACTTATCTAATAATTCAAATTTCTTTGTCAGGGTCATCACTGACTTCTGCCTTTTATGCTTCTCTCCACTAGCTCTGACACTAGACAGTCTTCTAGGGGCTATTTCACACAGAAATATTAAAGTTTTGAGCACAACACAAGAGATGCTGCATCACAGACAATGTTGAGCACAAACAAGGGAGAGGAGACGCTGCTGGTGGCTCGTTGTGCTGCGGGAGAGGCTCTTAAGCTAGCCACCATCTGCTTATATTTTGCACAAGAGATAAAATTTTTAGCCATTTGTAATAAGTTCTTAATTAAAACTAAAATTTGTATGTCTAATGCGAACTATAGCATGTTTATATTCAAATTAATCACTATCTTATAAAAATTCCAGCAATGTAAATTATATTCTCCCTGGTCACTTTTGTGACATTTTATAAACAAAAAACAAAAACTCAATCTAAAGGACTAATAAACAAATAAATACTTCACTAGACCTTTGGCACAACTGTCGAACGTGTCACTGTCCCCCCCCTTTTCCCAGCCAGGGTTTGGTGGTTATAGTCTTACAGTTTTTATCAGTGTAAGAATGGTTGAATTAGTCATAGTGTGAGGTAAATCATTGATAAAAAGAAGGAAGAGAGTAGGTGAAAGGACAGAACCCTGTGGGACACCACTATTGGTAGAGAAAGAGCGAGAGATCGATCCCTCAACAGCAACTGCCATGGATCGGTCCTCAAGGAAGCTAGAGATTAGAGAACAAAGTGGGGCAGAGAAACCAAAAGAGGGAAGTTTAGAAAGCAAAGTCTCAACCAATCTCAAGGGTTCCCTATATTACATCATGAGTAACTGCTAACTGCAAGTTTTCATCCTGCTCATGACAAATATCTTCCTTTTCAGTTCTTAGATAGATGATTTTCTTTATTTATATCATGAATAGAAGAAGCATTAGGTAAATTCAGGGAATGAGTTGCATGTGTGGGCAAGGCAGCGATTACATCCAGTTGATGATGAAAAGGCACATTACATGCTGGAGTTGCTTTCATCTCTTACAGTAAACCCGTCTGGTAATGCAAGGTTTCATCCCAAGGGCCCCACTTTTATTCCCAAAACAGTATTTCACACGTGATACAGGGTGAAATGTCCCCACTTGGGATAAGGTGAGGGAAAGAACACATGCCTGGTGGTGGTGGCATTTTTAGGTCACAAATAATAACAAACAAATACCTATTACCTCACTCCTGGAGAGAAATAAACTGTCATGGTATCCACCTCCTTCGCCACCATAAAATGGCATTTCTTACTTCAGTCCTTTATTTTTGTCCTTTCAGGTAATTTCCTTGGTGCTGGAACTTTTGAATAAAAGTACGAGTGAGTGGATGGAGGGGGTGTGTTGCACATTATTTCTACCCCTCCTGGAGCTACTACTTACACTGGAGGAGCCAACAACGAAAAGGGTTGCAACTGACCTCCTCCAAAAGTTGCTACAAGAGGTTCGAGATCAAGACACATTTTGCAGGTATGGTTAACTGCAAGTTTTCTGCCAAATTTGAAAGGTAATGGCAATACAATACAGTACTATAAAGGAGAAGCCAAGTTAAGTGAGTCTATAGATGTGTGTGATCAGTTGGAGCCAAGAATGACATGGGGAGAGGTTATATAAGAATGACCTCAGAGATAAGAACCTGACAAGAGGTGCTACAAGAAGCTGCCCAACACGGAGAGCTGCCATTGTGGAAAAAAGCTGTAAGACATTGATGACAATGATTGTTTCTTCTATAATTTGTTATAATTCATAATTCTTTAACACTCTCACACACCATGACACAGAGATAAGTCAATCAAAATCTTGTCCAATTGGCATTGATGTGTATTTTCATTTCTAAAGAGAAAAAAATAGGAGTAATTCCAGTTGACACTTGAAATTTTGGTGTGTCATTCCTTTAGGCCTCATCTTTCATGGTAATCCATCATTAATTAGCTACATGGCAACTGTCCATAGTGCGACGTCATGAAGACTTAAGTGTTCTCTCAGTAGGCAAGCCAGGATGTACAGTGAGTAGGCCCTTAAAAATTTTATGTGGCTGTCCATCTCACCCTCATACCTTCCATGTGTAGTAATATTCCCCTGAAAAGTGTTTATATTGTGTTCAATTGTTTATTTTTGACAAGATTTTATTTACAGTATTCAAATTTATAACCATCATGTGTGTAAGCTATTCAATAATGTTCGTGTGCATACGATAAACGTCTCCTCTATCTGTAGAAGTGATGAAAAGTGTTGTGAAGTGTTTTTATAAGTGTCTACATGAGTGTATTCACATATTGCAGAATAATAAATTGCCATTTAATCTCATTTCATTGAAGGATAAATTTATTTTAGCTATCTTTCATTTCTTTGACGTATAATTATTATTAGACTGTCTTAGGCATATAATTTGATGGGTAAAATGAAGGTATTTAGTTTTATTTTGAAAATTTTGATTTTATTTGTAAGGTTAATGTCGCAATGACATAGGAGGTGAAGATGTATATGCCTAATACAGTATTGTTTTACCATACACTCGTGTGATATTGTAGGCACTAGTTTTATAATTGAAGTCAAGTCATAAGTTATTGATGATTACACTGTATGTTTCGTTCTATGTTCTAACTATGGTTCAAAAAAATACCTCGAGTGCAATGACATGAACTGTACCATGTAATAAAGGTTCTCTTACACTTTATTTAATGTGCAGACTTTTTATACCTACAGTTCTATATTCAGGGAATTAGAGTGACTGTATTGGGTAGGAAAACATTTTGTTGCATAAAATATACTGTGGTAAATTGTGTTAGTTAAATAGAAAATTAATACTGTATTATATGTAATATTACCACATTACATCAGGAAGACTTATTATAAGTATAGGGCATAATGAGTCAATAATGATTTTGGCATGTGTCAAATGTGTGGAAACACCTGAGGAGCTGTGGCACCTCTGCTTTTGCATCAGCTTGATATGACTAAGGCTCCATGTACACCACTAAATGAGTTTTAGACAAAAACCTTAGCTGATGCTGAATGTTACTCACTTCCTCCCATAAAAAGTAGAGTTTGTAAGTTCACAATTTTGAAAGTTATAGAATGCATTCTCTTCAAATTACAAGGGATATGTGTACAAGACCCTTAAATGAAAGAATGTTTGAAAGTTTTGAAATTGAACAAAACACGACCCTGTCCTTGGTGTTGGTAGTTCACCCCCAGACTTTATAGTTGGGGAAAGCAAGTGTTCAAATACAGTGCTGGTCAAGCCATCCCCTTGTATACTGGAAAAAGTCTCAGTCTATGAGTTGTATCCACACTGCTTCTAACTTCAATTTTAGAGGGCAATCTTTGCACCTAATTTTCATGATCTACCAACGTCACCCATTCTGGGCCTGCACAGTACAAGAGTTACCTGGCTGTGGGCTTAACTAGAAATAGGATTTCAGGACCAATCCCCCATGTTTTCACATATTTTGTATGATATTTATGATATAAGGCTCTACATGAGGATGTCAAACACGAATGCTTAGATATTTAAATTATTATTTTTTTTATTAGACAAGGGCACAAAGGTATTCAACAACTGGTTAAGTCTAATAAGAATTCAGGAAATGTGAGAGCTATGTACGGTATGGAAGAAATTTATTATCGTTCAGTGAGCAAACTTATTTAAAAAGCTTTTGTTTATTCAGAAGTAAACTGGTGAGGAGTGTGAGACGACTGGTGATACAACACCTGTCATGGTCGTCGGCAAAATTGTTCCGTGTGTTGGGAGTCATTGGAGTGCTGCACAAACAACTGATTGTCGAGTGTCTCCCACACATAGCTCAAGCTGTTACAGCTACAGAGGAAAAAAGGGGAATAGGACTGGATCACACACTTCGGTGAGCTCTCAACACTTTAAATATTCGTTCATTTCTCAGGCATATAACACAGATACTATTTGTGACATTTAAAAAAAAAATTAGTTTGAATTGTTTGTAAATTTGTCATTTCTTAAATATTTGTGCAGGATTTTACCCCAATATACAGTAATTGCTGTTTATGTACTGGATGATTTGTGCTACAAAGTTTCAGCCCTACATGAAGTTAGTGTCATAATTTGGGAACTTAAAAATACCTGTATCTTAAATGCAGATAAATATTAGTTATCAAATTCTGTTTGTCTCATGCACAAAGTGTTAACAAGTAAGTTTTGCATTACTGTATTGTATTTGTAACACAGATTTTATTAATATTATTAACACTGAAGGATTGTCTAAAGTTCCTGATGAAAATGAAGTAGTTGGCTCAATTTAGGCATAATTTAATGGAATGATTTATTTTAATGACTGAACCCTCTTTTCAGACATGGCTACCAGGCTCTACTGGCCAGCTTAGGTGTGAATGAAGAAGATATAATATTTGCATAGATTTTTTTTAAGTGTGAGGAAGAGTTAGTGCAAAACGCTATTATTTATTATTTTTTTAATTAAACTGTTTCTATTTAAATACTGTACTTTTATTGAAAAAAAATGAAGACCAAACAATGTAAAATATTAACATATCCCATTTTGTTACTGTAGTTGTAGATAAAAAAAATTACTGTTGACAGCCAAATTACAAAGTTTCAGCAGTTATGTTGAACTACAACTTCTAGTAGAGTAAACCCTCAACATTTGCGGGGGTCAAGTTCCTCAAAAACACAGCGAATGTGAAATCTGCGAATGTTAAACATAAGACCTTATGGTAAAAATTGGGACTAGGGGATCCACACCCTCGAAGAGGTAAGTTCTGTTCAGAATTTCGTTCTACACCGACGGTAAAGGGCACATGCAGAGTCAAACTGACAACGGGACAGTTTGATTCAAATGGAGACTCATCAAAAAGAGATGGAAAAGATGTTAACATGAATATTGGCCAACGTTAGTGCTGATGGTTGATGAAGATGAGTTAATATACAATGGGAAAATCAGTTTTGAATGAACACTATAAGAAGTAGTTGAACAAAGTTCATATATCAGGAGTCTTCAATGTATTCATAACTTGAAGTTTTTCATATAATCTAGCTAGGAAGAGAAGGAGAGAGAGATGAGGGTTGTATTTTGAAGGGTCAGCGACAAGTCCATTAGCTACTCGATAAGAGAATGAGATATGGTGGCCAGATGTGGATTTTTTAGCTATAGGATGGCAGTGTGTGAGATGCAGTGAGTGCACGAGGTGGTCTGGTTACGTGTCCGGAGACGACTTCTAACCTATATCAAGCAACTGTGCGTCAGTGACCCAGCTACAGAGTTTAGTGAACGGTGATAACTCACCCAAAATCGTCTGCTACTGTTTTTAAACATGTCATAACAACAGATCTGTCAAGAGTGAATTTGAGCAATTGAATTCAGCCAACTTGGGAAGTTAATCACTTGATTGCTATTATTATAAGAAGCGAGTTAAATACGAGGTTTGATGGATACTGTTTGTGTGTTTGGTATTTACAACTGATAGTGGGACATGTATTTCCAGGTATGACCGAATAAACATTTTCATGTTTTACTGGACGAATCTCATTCAAAACCCAACCTCACCCCAGTCAGGCCGTGAGCCGTTACACTATATATATATTTACTAGGCAGCTATCAAACAGGGAGGTACTACCACCTGGGAAGTTATTAGAAGCATAATGTATTGTCTAATGGTAGACCCTGCTGTCATATGGCATCACAAAACTTGTGACCAAGTCCCAGATCTGACTTTCTGCCTCATTTACACACAATTGCAGGGTCTCAATTGTTTTTCTTACTATTGACAACACAACATACATATATTGTTTCTCACTTGATTTTTTTCCCATTTTTGTATTTCTTTATTATTATTATTATTACAGTGTTGTTATTACAGCTCCTCCGCAATTTACGAAGAAGTTAGGGACCCAAATCCAGATCATAAGTCGAATTGGTCGTAAGTCGAAAATGCAAAAATAATACAGTGGTTCCTCGATTAACAAATACAATTGGTTCCAACTCACAGAAAAAGTACATACAAAGTAAAGTAAAAAAATGCATAAAGTCAGAAACACTCCTAAAAATTCCCTAAATGCCCTTAAATCACTATCTATATATACAGTGAACCCAAACTTTACGCGGTTAATTCAACCCACGGCGGCCCGCGTAAATTGAGAAACGCCTAAAGTGAACAACATAACATATGGGATTAATTGAAATAGAGACCGTTGTAGTAAAAATAACTTCTTAATTTTATGATGGTATGCACACACAATTAATAATTAAGAGAAATATCAATAATATTAGGTTTTTAACACTTACATTAGTAGAAAAGATGGCTGGGCACACGGGGATGGGGGGTTGGTTCCGAGGCAGAGGGCAGATTATTGGCCCTCACCTGTATCACGTGTATCAATTGTATCACTAAGCCAGTCTTCCATGTTGCTTGAAGACTGGGAGAGTGATCAGTTTCTCCTCCATCCTGTGTGAGTGCGAATCTCCGGGGGTCACCATTTGTAGGGTTATGAGATATTGGTTCACATTCAGGATGGGATGGAGAAAGGAAACTCACAATGTGCTCACTGTATACATATTGTATTGGAAGTACAATGCAGCTTGTTGCTGGGTAGGTAGCATGGTAATAAGCGTTGAGTAGAGAGAGCTGGGTGGTGAGGGTGCCCAGAGTGAGGGCACGCGGCTTGAGGGACGCCAAGGTCGCTGGCGGGAGCGGCAGCCGCTTGGCTGGCGCAGAGGAGGAGGAGGAGGTGTTGCTTGCTGGTGGCACTGAGTAGAAAGAAAGGGTGGTCACAGCGGTGTCAGGCCTTATAAGGCGGGGGTAGGCGTGGGTAGATAGTTGACCCCCGTTCCGTGGGTGGCGCTGGAGGCGTAGGCTGGGGAATTCGAGAAGGTTCGGTGCTTGTAGGGGAGGAATCCACTACACCACCACCCTCATGTTCCAAGATAAAAGATTGGTGATTTCTTTGTTTATTTTTATAATATCTCAGACTAAAGTTAGGATAATATAATTTGCATTGCTGAAATCCTTGCAAGACAGAGATTAATTTGAATATAAGCGTCATATATTTTGCTCAAGAGATAAAAAATTTTGCACATCAGTGTACAGTACTGTAGTACATTTTATAAAAAAGTTTTTCAACTGTATTTTTGGGTAGATTTACATTGATTTCTTCATTTATTTTCATCCATTTACATGCACACACCATACTAAAAGAAACATAATAGAAATAAATGACCTTAGTGCAAAGCTGGAGTGCACATGTACTAATTTGATTACGGTACTAAAATTGTTTTGTCTAGTGCAAATTATAGCATGTTTATATTCAAATTAATCAGTATGTTACAAGAATCCCAGCTATGTTAATTATATTCACCCAGGTCATTTCACTGGCTTTTTATAAGAGATAAGCTTAGTCACTTAAGAACTGATAAATATACACGCGTTGGACCTGGGCCTGTGCCAACTGTCAAACGTACTACCTCCCCTCGCCCCACGCCCCCTCGCTCGCTCTCACCCTCTCTCTCCCCCGTCTGCTGGCGTTGCTGGAATCCTTGTAAAACAGTGAATAATTTTAATATAAACGTCATGTATTTTGCACAAGAGATAAAAATTAATCACCTGTATCACATTACAGTAGTGATTTAAGAGTAAAAGTGTATATGTACGTATAAAGTATTCCACTTACACGTAAATATAAATAAAAAGTTTATGTGATGATCGGACAACGTCCATTTCGGTTAACGTATCTAGGACGTTAACCGGCGCATGACTGTACACAGACTACAATTTATAATCAATTCAGCCTATTGTGGGTGGTTGTTGGAGAACTTGGGGGAAGTATCATTTCTGGTCTATTGCGAGTTGCATGTCGGATTCCAACCCAAACTAAACTTCCTGTTTTTGTCTTTCCTGCTGTTAGGGATAATTAATGGGTGTTTATGAGTAATATAATATATTTAAATGATTTATTATAATAGAATATATCCCTGATATCCCCAGGCACCCAATGCAGGCTGGATGTGGCGGAGCTTGTTTGTTCCGACAGCATCCCACCTGCATTGCCAACTCAAGCGGATGGCAGCTCTTATTACTGGCTTCATATCAGAGGGAGGTGGAGTGGAAAGATGTGCCACAGGATGAGAAGCAGCTGCTTTCACCACAGCATCAGCATGCTCATTCCCCTTCTCTGTGAGGAGAAGCATGCTCAAAAAAAAGAAAGAGAGAATGAACCACACAGAAGGGATTAAGTCCTTCCTTTTGTTATAATACTGCCAAACTTGAACTTCAGGAAGAATCCATGGAGCAGCACTAGGGAGCCACAGGAGAAATGCTCACAACCCCTCTTACTGTGAAGGTGTAGCACCCCACGCTGGCTACTGGCAAGGCTCTTTGAGTTAACCAATGTGGCTGCCACATAACCCAGTTGTCAAAAATTATCCTCAGGAAATGGGTCTTTGTGACATACCGCACACGTATACCAGAGCTGTAGATCGGGATCTGGGTAAACACTTTGAAGGCAGCATTTGTGTATCAGTTTAACCACAATTTATTACTTATAAGAAAAATTCAGTGACAAAAAAAAAATTATTTCCCTTAGTGACTCAATGTATTGCAAGAAAGGACTACCTTACCACTTTTTGTGCAACATTTGGAGTGGTGGTAATAATTCACTTTCCCATTGACAGTGATAGAATCAAGTGGTTATCTGTGCTAGGCAAGACCTTGGTGCCAGCCAGGCGAGGGTACAGGGAGAGGATGTTTTTGAAGAGTCCAAGTGGTGTAAAATTAAATTAAAGGGAGGGGACTTACTTATCGTCGGGTGTATCTACAGATCCCTAAACTGTGGCCCACTAAATCAAAGGAACTTAAGAGCCTTAATAGACAACGTGGCGATGCTCAACCCTTGCCACCTCCTTATCATGGAGGACTTTAACTATGGCGACATCGATTGGAGAAACGAGTTCACCCCAAATGACTTGAATAACCCTGCTACTCTTTTTGTAGAAACTGAGAGATAATTTTCTGTTCCAACATGTTAAGAGACCCGACACATTACAGAGGGGAGCCTACACCCAAGCCACTAGACCTCATCATAACAAACGAGGAGGGTATGGTGGCCAAACTGGAACACCTTGCCCCAGTTGGCACCATATATCCAGATCTATCTCGACAACATCAATGCTAGTCGTCAACGTAGCATTAAGGACTTCTTCGCCCGCAACGCACCACAACCACAGCCAGCCCAAGTCAGTGATAGTGACAGTGAGGATATGGACTTTGAGGGGTTTGTCTGGGAGGCCCTGCAAACCTCTACGAGTAGTGAAAGTGATTCACCGGAGGGCAACTAATCTGCCCTCTGCCTCGGAACCAACCCCCCATCCCCGTGTGCTGACCCATCTTTTCTACTAAAGTAAGTGTTAAAAAACCTAATATTATTGATATTTCTCTTAAATATTAATTGTGTGTGCATACCATCATAAAATTAAGATGTTATTTTTACTACAAGGTACGTATTGTGTCGGAAAAAGTGGAGTTCGGGGCTCGGCCCAGTCTCTATTTCAATTAATCCCATATGTTCTGTTATTTCGTTTACACGTTTCTTGTTTTATGCGGACCTCCTCGGGTTCAATTGACCTCGTAAATACAGACTATACTGTACTGTAGTAGGTTGGAAAGGTTTCTTGCCCTAGTTTGAAACCCTTACCTGCAATATAAATCGGGTTCATTACAATATAGGGTTCAATGAGATAGATTTCTGGCCAGTTGGTGGGGGAATGAAGTAATTTAGGTTTTGTATGCAAAAAACAAACAAATAACTGGCTAGATACTCTCCCTGACAACCCTGCACCCGTCCCTGGATCATCAATTGCTTCATTGCGGTCCCATCAGATTAGGAAAAGTGGCTCTGGGTCACAACAAATACCCAAGTATAAGAGCTGCAGTGTGATAGCTGTTTTGGTATCACACTAATTGTTTTAATTAAGTTCTGGAACTCTTGAGTGGCAGAGCTTGATATCAATACTTCTGGGCATTTTCTGTTAATTATTGCTGAAAGGTGGTACCCCCCCCCCCTGTACTGTATATACACAGGTACTATTCGAGAGAATTTATTGTGAATTCTCCCCATGGAAGTGTTGTGAATATCACTTTGATATAACACTTGTGTTGAGTGCCCAGTTTCCTTGTCCAGTGGTTGTAAGTGAACTGCTCCTCTCTAGGGCATGAGAGAGAGTGAAGCGGAGCAAGTGGGTGTCAAGAATGGACCGTGTGAGTAAAAAATGGCGCGGCGGTCTGGACCTCACCGCGTAAATGACCAAATTTACCGTGTAATTAAAACATTTCATTCTGGCAAGGCACCGCGTAAATGACCAAACGCGTAAACAAAAACCGCATAAATCCAGACTATACTGTAAAGTAAAGTAACAAAAAACAATCATGTCCCAAAATAAAAGAAACACTTATGAGGATGTCAATGAAAACTGATATAATTACATTATTCAAAACAGCCACAAAAATACAAGGCTCTGGTTCTAGTGACCTCCCCTGCTCAAATCTTGAAAAATAATTTCATCACATATTTGAATGGCTACCGGTATTTGAATAATAATTTGCCTAGTGAGGAACATGGGAAGAAAGTAAATATTTTTAGTAGAAATATACTGTAATTCTAAAAATTTATCCCAACAAGTCAAGGAGTAGCTGCTCAGCAGTGATTTATATTGGTCAAACAGGACAGCGATGCTTGCTACTCTTTCAGGCGTTTCCTACAAGTCACTTGTCAAATGATCTATGGCCCACATAGTGTTCTTGAGAAATGAAAGTCCCAAGGATGAAGTAATAATTACATTAAAACTGTTTTGGTATTTTATTCCTGAAAGATTATTGATACAACGTCCAGAGTTGTATAAAGTACCGGATTTTGTTACTTAAGTAAAAGTATTGTTACATTGGCAAAATATTACTCAAGTAGAAGTAAAAGTATCCAAAGTTCAATGTACTCAAGTAAAAGTAAATTATATACAAAATTAGTACACTAAAGATAATAAGAGACACACAGCATTTCACAAGTTTATTTGTAAATCTTTCTATTGAGATTAATCAGCAACTGATTATTGAAATTATGGCTGTCCAATCAGGATCTTTTAGGCCTAAATATAAGCGCAGCATGACCTACCGAAAGAGAATACATTCAGCCACTCTTCTCCCTACAATCCATCACAGGGATAGTGAATGGGCTGAAAATATATCCACCCAACACTATGATCACTTTCTTCCTTATCATTGATGTGGACTTACGGTCCACAGACATAATGTAGTCTCTGTTCGCATTAAGTGAGGATACAGACCTATCTGATGGGGGATGACCTGCACTAAACTCTGTAACTGTCCCATCACTAACACCCTTCAACACAGTCCCACTCTCAGGGAGTCACTACCCACTACGTCACCACCTACTTATTCATAATAATTTAGATTTAAATCTTGTACACTACCCAGGCTTTGATGGGTGTTAACTCCCATTGTCCTTCAATCATATCACAAGTCATAGCGTGTCCTGCAAGACACGAGTACCAATATATTAGTGTTTGACTGCACGGTCTTGTAACTAGGCTTGTCGCCCCCTGGGGTGTAATAAATTAATTTAATAATAAATAATAAGCACAACATGACTAAACAGATGCAGGTAGTGGGGTGTTAAGCTTGAGAGAGATAAGTCACATAATATTGGGAAAGACCTCAGTTGCTCCATTCCCTCCCCTGGGCATGCTAAGTAGCTATCAAGCTCCTTCAGTTGAGGAGTTTGTGGATGATTGTTGCCTCCATAGTGACCGAGTCCAACTAAGACTCACCATGAACTGCCCGTCTAATTGGGGTGTAGCTGTGGTGATGTTACTTTTTATTCTAATTGATGAGTGGCTGAATTTTTCGCAGCACGCAACATCTCTGGCAGGTACTGGGGGGGGGTTACTTAGTTATTTAAGCAGAATTTTAAATACACATACAGGCTTCATATCTAAGACCAAGCCCCTGAAGGAAAGATGGGGAGAAGAGAGGGGATTTGATGGGGGAGGGGGGAGAAGAGGGTTACGCCCGTATTATTAAACAACATCTTCCCTTGAAGAGGGTCGTCATGTTTCAACTTGAGTTTTAAACTAAATGAGTCCTGAGGGACGCTGCAGTACAGTACTTAACGGGGTGGTGTGGCGGTAAAATTAACTAATTCCAATAAAATTCATTTATAATATTGGAATTAATTAATTTTACCGCCATATGGGGGGTTTGAAGAGTGCAGCTGGCCAGATACAGCTCACTGCATCAACACGTACATTCACTCCTCACACATGCACACCCATCCTCTTCATTTTTCTTATTTTAGCTCAAAATTAATTTTTTTTTTATTTCTAAGCCACATTAGAATACCCTATACAGTATTGTAATGATGCACACTTGGAGCACAGAATCCCCAGTTTTTCCAACTTCCCTCCCAAGTTTTTTCCCGTGAGTCGAACATTGCTAAACCAAATTTTGACCAATCATTAATTAAAAAAGGGTTTTAGAAATTTTATGTCACTAAACTGAAATATCAAGAAGTGAATGAATGTTAAACGAGGGATACCTTTAAAAAAAATTTCCTGTTGTAAAAGTTTCAAGTCCTGCCGAAACTTCCTTGGACCACACCATTGCTACAACCTGTGCCACTCTACTGAATAAAGTTCACTACCCAGGTACAGTATTGTTCTTTTGAAAACCCTGGGCATCAAGTCAGGGGCATGTCTTTCATATCTAGTGACTTCAGCTGTTGGTAAACTTTACCCTATTCTTTTGTTATAAGTATGAAACCATACAATAATGCCCCCATTTCATTGGAAGAAGAAGAAGTGCTAACACAGACATCTGGGAGTGTCCCTTGTCAATAGGTCAGCGGTCTGGGTTGTGTGTAGTTTAAAGAGATGCATTAGAAGTTACACCTGTCTCCAATCCTCCCTATAGCTGGCTTTTGTGTTAGTGACCTTCCCTCTGTGAAGGGAATCCATGCAAAATTTCTGAAGCAAGATAAACAATAGCACGAATGAGACAAAAATCATCTTCCGTGATCTCTACATTTACTTTTTTGTTATTTTAATTTATTTATGGTTTGTATTAATTTAATTACACATTTAAAGATGTTCTGTATTGATTTATTAAGTAACTATAGGTATGTTTTGTATTTAGTCTGGGAAGTTAGTTTTGGTCAAGTAAGTTGTGAGAAAATCAGCCCCAAGGAATCATCCCCCATTTATAACCAAAAAATTAAGAGAAAATTGCTTTTACTATTTGAATTTTTCCTAAAAGCACAACTTCTTCTGTGGAATGTATGTCTTTCATATAGTGAGGACTGCCTATACAATACTTTTAACAACATTGTTTGGCCATAAGTCTTTCATATAACAAGAATACAATACTAATTGATGAGAAATCCCTACACAGGCATACATATAGCAAGCAGAAGCCAAAGAGCTTAAAAGTCTAAAAATAAATAACAAAAGAACTGCCCAACAGCATTACCCAATTAAGTCTTGATTTAGTGAACAACTGTAACTTTAACAAGACATTAAAACAACACACAGGAGTACATTTACTCTATACAGTATTTGATTATAAAAATTGGTCACAGAGAGCTCAAGAAGCCTTTCACTTGGTTCTTTATATGGACAACAAACTATTGGTTTTTATTGATTTTTCCAACATTACTGGGATACAGTACTGTACAAAGAACCATATTTGTGTAGCATTTCATTTTTGTGCTTAAGTGTTAATTCATGATAGACTGCTTGTACTGTACTGTATCTACAAAATAAAACTCTAAAAGGAAGAAATACAGTAGCTATATACAGAACTGTAAAGGGAAAGAAATTTTTCCCCTGCACTAAGTACAATACTGTACAGTATTTCTAAATTATAGTACAAAACATGAGAAAAGTACATTTCAGTAAGATCAATATCACTGAGCTTGACAAACAGCTCCCTATATACTAGTGATACTTTTTGATAATACAGTACTGTACTTGTGATACTTTTTGTTAACGTTAAGATTCAAAATTTTGTTAATACCCTGTACAATATTTTTTAAATAATTTATTTTCTTTATTTCAGTGTGCAAGTTTTTCATATTACTACAATACAATTAACTCATTTCAGATCTATCACGGTAATTGTTAGTTAATTATCCACTTCCTGTACAACAAAGATTTCTCCAGTTTATCCACAAATTTTTTTTGTGTTGGAAGGTGGCGTCTTTCATTATGGTTATCTGTAGAGGAACAAACAGAATACTGATGAATAACTGCCGTAGCAGCGGAAATATGTTGATTGTTTGGAGGACCACCAATTGCCGAGGCAGTTAAAAGATGAGGACGTAGGACAGCTACTCCCATCTCTTTCATACTCCCCACTGTGTGAACTTGTTGTGATAAACGCAATGTGCCTTTTTTCATGTGCTGCATATCAAGGCACACCTTCTGTGTCGTAAAGTGAAACGCTGCCACATCCCGATGATACTGACTGCCACCCTTGAGAGCCAACAGGGTTTCCTGCAGCGTGGCTTTAAGTTCGAGGATAACGTACTGATCTAAATCCAGAATAAGAACATTTTCTTGGGTGTCTCTGTGGCGGTAAATACAGTCAAGTTCAATAACTCTCTTTACTACAGGCCGAGTTAGCTTAAAAGTCTGTGAAGAACTGAAGAGCTTTTCTTCAAATTCAATACCTATCTCATCACTGTACTTGTCTAGTAAGTACCTAGCCAAAGGTGTAAGGACAGGGCCATATATAGTAAACTTATCTATACCAATGATGTTGTAAAATGATATAAATTCAATAACTTTCAATGTAGAAATAGGATTTTCTACAGGAAGAAGACAAACTGCAGACTTGTTGATGACACTCTTAAGGCTTTCACTCTCATGTACAAAAACAGGTTGTGATGGTTCTGATGAGCCTACTTTGAATTGTATCATATATGGTGTTTTACTTAGCATAAGTTTCTTGCTATCAGCTGTGCATAAAAGGTAAAGAACACCTATGTCCTCTTCAACAGTGTTGTGTCCATGAACTCTTTCTGATGCAAATTCAACACTGCAGGTGCCAGGGGCAGGTGTGCCTTCATAATCAAACCATATTAAACAGCTAAGGTCTGATGGAGATTCAGTGGTTTTGCGTACAGCTGCTATACTTCTGATCTTAGGGTCACCAATACCATTTTGATTATCCCAAAATGAGGAGTAAACTTCAAGGTCTGAAGTAACTTGGACCCAGTCTGTGGGGGCTGTAGATACTTTGTGATGAGTATTGTACCCACAGTGTGGTCTGATATCTTCCGCTTCTGATGGGGCTTTCCCAAATGTGTCGAGGTACTCAAGAGTGTACCTTAACCTTTCATATTCATGCTTATAGAACAAGAAGGCTACAAGACTGACAACCGTTACGATGGTAAGAGCAAGCTGCTGATATTTACGCATTGTTCCATCAACTTGCCGAGGAGTGATGGGATCATGTAGAGGTTGGGAATAGTGACACTTGGATTTTTCACTGAGACTCTGCATCCATCTGTCGGAGGAAGTAATCTATTAGCATTACTGACAGCATATTTATGAGAGAAAAATATGATAACTCCAAATGAAAGATTGACCCATAAATCTTGTATAAATCCAAATGAAAGATTGATCCATAAATCCAGTTTTCCAGCATTGCCTGTAATCAGGCAGCTCTCCTGATAGCCCTGGCCTTATTTGAATTATCAAGTTACTGCACCACACCCTTACATGGAAGTGAGGCTAATCATTTAAATTATTCTAAATAATTTGATTCCCAATCTATCCCACAGCTTCCAGATGGAGAAGATCCAAGGCAAATGTTACCATGAGAGGAAAGCTCTCTATAGCAGTCTGTCCACAGCCTTCATTACACAAAAGCTCCAGGTAGTACTGTACTGTATTAGGGTAGCTATTTAGTCATAGGGTGAAATGTATTGAAGTGTCTATCTTCATGTGATCCACATTTGAATTCAATACAAAATTAGTCATAAATAGGTGACTTCTCTTCCACCCCAAAGCCTTCTCTTCTCCTCCACCCCCATTCTAATTCCCATCATCATCATCATCATCCAAGAGCCTTCTACATACACACCTCAAAGTAAGTGTATTTTTCTACCTTTTTTGTTGAATTTAGGCAATTTTCGGTGAGCTGGAACCAATTACCCAAAAACCCATTGAAACAATGGTTTTGGTTAACGAGTTTTTCGGTTAACGAGCAACCTTCCAGAAATTGTGCTCGTTAACCGAGGGACCACTGTATATATATATATATATATCATAAATTTGTCAATTTAGTTAAGGTAAAGATTAATTTTAGATCGAACATAGAATTTCATATTTCTATTTATATAGAGACAAATAATAATATACTGGTCAGGTACTTCATTCTATTACATTTCCAGAGCAAATTTATAAATGTTCAGTTTGTTAACAAATAAGACCTGCCCAATTAACAACACTGCTGTAGTTTGGGCCAAATGTGTTAAAAAGTGATTATTTCAAAAATAACCCTAAACTAACCCAAGTTGACAAGAAAAATTAGCACAGAAAGATTGTTAGAAGACCTCACCTTACTTTCTAGCCATGGGGCTCTGCCCCAGACCCCCTACATACTCTTACTATAATATGGTGCAATTTTACGTTTTTTTGTGAACGTGAGCAGCAGCCCAGATCGCACGGCTCCTAAGCATACACCGAACATACCACAAAACCTTACCGATTTATTGCTGTACAAGACTATGTAGTGCCGCTAATGTGAGCCTAGGGGCCTAATTATCTACCAAACAAAGAATTTGGTCAAGAAATGAATATCATATCAGAACTCACCGATGAAAATATAATATGAAAAGAAACGTTGGTAATTATTTACGACTTCACAGCCGCTGATTTTTAATAGATGAATTGAACAATTCCGCAGTTTCACTGTGTTTTATAGTGGACACCGTCGGAGTTATGGAAAATATGTTAAAATTGGGTTATTTATAAATTAAACCTAAGATGATTAGAAAAACAAGTGGAAGAAGCAGTGTTAGACGACCTCACAACCTAACCAAAGAAACCTACCTAACTTTCTAGTCATAAGGCTCAACCCTCCCGACCCCTCGGCATAATAAACAGAAAGCTCTTACTATTATATAGTGTAATTTTACTCTTTTTTTTGTGGACGTGAGAGCAGCAGCCAGATCTGTGTGCCTCAAGAACATACACTGGTGACTGGTGTCAATTGAAGATGATTGGCTGTGTACTATCGCATCACGCCCAGAAAGACTAAGTAGTGTGCTCCTGGTCGCCTAATTACCTACCAAACGAAACAATTTCCATAAAAATTATTATTACATCAGAACTCACTGATTAAAATATGGTAAGAATATAAACATCAAAACAAATAATGCATTAGCTGTGAAGTCCCCCAGTTTAGCTTAAAACAGAAATATGAAATTCCATATTTGACATAAAATGAATCTTTAACAGTAAAATGATCATTTCAGTCATCCACCTACAGTATTTGGAAGTTGAAATTATGTTTTCCTAACCTAACCCAACCCAACCTAACCAGTCACAGCACTGCTTCTCAAATACAACCTAACAGGCTGACCTAAACTATAATACCTCATTAACCGTTGTTATTATCCTCTTGACCACTGAACAGCCTGTTAGCCAGTTGGGTTGTTACACACTGTTGGCAAGTACTGGACATGTTTTCTTGGGTTACATCCTGTGCTGACACTGTTAAATACAAAGATCAGACCAACCGCCCTAACTACTTATAGGCTGTGAAATGATCAAATAAAGTAATAAAGAGTAATAAAGGCTGACCTCAACCCCCCAGGTAGCGGTCCGTCGTGTCCTGTGTGTTGATGTAAACATTGTGTCCCAACTGTCGTGTTGTTACTTCAACTTGTACAGTGTTTAATATTAGTTAAATAAAGTTATTTTCTTATATAATGTAATTTAAATTTGTTTAATAAAATATGAAAAATAGCTATATTATGTGACACGCTATAATATATGTACAATATAAATATATTATTTAAACTTAAGCCAGAACCTCATACGAACAAAAATGAATAAATTTTGTTTTGGAGATTTCTACCTGAAACTACACTATAAAAATAAATACTATAATTAAACCAAATGTTGTAGTTATCCCCTTATGTCTTGTGAGTGTTGATGTACCTGGCCTAGGGGGGCGAGGACCCCCGGGCCTAGGAGGCGAGGAGCCACGACCCCCGGGCCTAGGAGGGACGACCCCGAGGAATTCTTCGCGGGAATAAGATCACCCTTACCCCAAGAGGTTATTTCTTAGTCAATATGGGCTGTCTTCACGCCAAGATTAAGAAACATGACACTGAACAAGAAAAAGGCATTACTATTGAAGTACCAAAGACATATACATGGTTAGTTGTATAAAGTGTTATATGCTAAACATCATATTGTCTAAGTTACCTGTCAATGTCACCTGATTATCGGTATTTGATTTCATTAAAAACCATCTGTTTAATTTGTCTTAACTGTATGTTGATTATTTTAAAGCCTATGACAGCGAGAGGTAAAGAAATGTATATTGTATATGTAACAAGTACTTGTTAGATACAATATAGTGTAGTAAATATATTAAAGCAATTCTTTAATATTTCAAGGTAAAATTTTAGGGTGAATTTATAGTATCACACCGGTCTTTATTTCTGCATTAAAAATAGGTATCTCATAATGTTTACACAATTTTAAGACATTTTTGTTCTATGATATTTCCACCGGAAATTAAGGATAACCGAGATATTAATTTTTCAAGATTATTACTTTCACTCAGTCACAAGTGTCACCATGATTTCTTTACTGATGGCAGAGGTGGTCTGACCCCCTGCTCACGTATCACTCCAGGACTCCGTCTGGGGCATGAACAACGGGTTAGGTTAGGTTAGGTTTTCTTGGTTGGTTGGTAATATAATTTGTTATTTATTTTAAAAAACAAAAAACTATACATTATGTTTGTTGGGTGGAGGGGGAGGGGGTCATTAAAAAAGCATGTGATTTCGGGAGGAAATGAATATCGAATTCGTTTGAAACTCATCAAAATATATAGGAAAATCTTTTTTTAATATTGAAATAAAGACCAGCGTGATACTATAAATTGACTCATTTTATTTTCGGTCATCCCTGTAGTATTTAGATTTCCAACCTAACCAACCCAATCTAATGTACTGTAACCTAACCTAACTGGTTTTAGACTGCAATATGAAAGATTATGTTTGGATAACTTAGGTTAGATTAGATTATGTTTGGTTAGGTTAGCATAGGGGTGTTAATCATCAGGTGAAATAAGTGAGGGTTCCTAATCACCATGAGAGTCATTAATGACTCTGATGACGATGAACTGTGGACCAGATTATGGTCACTTATGAATCAGTTAACATTGTCTGATCAACATTATCTGTCTGATTCACCTGAAGAATCTCCAGCCCAGCATATTTCACCTAAAGATTAACCACAATAATATAACCTAAACTAACCTAACCTAATGTAACCTAACCTAATCCCATCCCCCAAATAGTGTTAGGTTGGTTAATCTTTAGGTAAACTAAACTGGTGAGGATATTTTTAAGGTAATGACAGTCTTTTATAAGCAGTTATGACTCACAGGTACAGTACAGTATTGCACTAAACCATACATACAATACCTATCCTAAGTATTCAAAGTACTGTACTGTAGTTTTGTAGTAAACTTCTATACTAGTGTATGCTGTATAATGATGACAATACTGCAGGCACAGGATACAGGTATGGAAGCTGTGTAATGAAACAGAATTTGCCAGAACCTAACTAGGCTTTATTCATCTTATAACTGTCCTACAGCAATACAATAGTATCTGAAGCAAAAGGATATGATAATTACTCAACTTTTATTGACTTTTATCCTCTTTGCCACTGATTGGCTCCTTAGCCGCTTGGGCGGTCGGTCACATCTCTGTTTTGCACTGTTGGCAAGTAGTGGATATGAACTAGCTCCTGAATATATCGGAACATGTTCCAGTGTCGGTGAAGTCTGGTCGTGAATGAGCTCACACTCGGTGCCGTCACAACACTCTTTGGTAGTTTGTTTCAAGATTATAGAATACTGAAACATAGAACAGGCGTCATTTCAGGTTGGCAGGGGGGGCAAAGAAGGCTATGAGAGGCCCCTCATAATTCAAAATTGATTAAATGCTACCAACTAACACATTGTACACACAATGCACTTTATAAGTATCAAAATATTATTACCGAGAACGTTTAAATGGTATCATCTTCAGGTCATGAGACCCACTAATCCCCCACCCAAAAAAGGGTGACCTGACATTCCATCAGAAGGTCAGTAATATGAGACCACTAATCCCTGACCCTACCTTCACTTGACATTGAGTCAGGTCAGGTTAAGTCACCCCCCCCCCCCACCAAAAAAATACTTTAATTTTCATATTTATTAAGAACATTTTCAGAAAATTCTCTCGAATTTCATCCTCGGAAATTTTTTCCCCAAAGCTGGAAATTTTGGAAAATTCCGGCTTTGGAAATGATTTTCTGAGCAAATTTAAATTCCGGCTATCGGAGATTTCCGGGTTTGAGGGATTCTGGCTAACGGAGATATTACTGTATTTACCTCTCTTTCATCCTTGCTTTTCTCTCTAATTTTATATTGTTTTAGTATTGTTTTCAGTATTAGGTATATACTGTACATGTAATGGGTTCTATTTATTGTTAGGGATAAGAAAGAGAAGGTAAACCCTGCAGACTTTACCATTGAGAACATCAGTAACAGAGAAATTGGACGTTTGCCTGGCACGATCAGTGGACAACAGTTCATTATCCAGAATTGTCAAGCTTCACAGATTTACCTCTTTGATCACATCAACACCATAACCGTTGATGACTGCTCTGATTGTATCATCTTTGTGGGTCCTACAACTGGAAGGTAAAATTATACAGTATAGTACACTGTATACTGTATTGACATATATGGTGTTGTTTAATTTCTAGATAACCTGATATAAAACCTTTAATTTTTCCTTATTTTCATCTTAAATTGCCTTATCCTTTATATATTAGATAATAACTACAGTAATTATATTCTTGCTACTTAAAGAATCTCTTTCTAGAAAATACTTGTTAAAAATTTAATATTTTTTGCACTAATTATGTCATTAAAAATATTGTGAAGGTGTTTGTCTTGCCTACCATTAACCTTCCATCCTGCCTCAGCCTCTTCCTGCGTGACTGCCAAGACTGCGTTGTGATGGCTGCCTGTGGACAGTTTCGGACACGGGACTGCTGTAAAATGGACATATTCCTCCTTTGTCAGACACAACCCATCATTGAAGCCTCAGCAAAGATGAGATTTGGCTGTTTCCAGGCATTTTATCCTCAGTTGAAAGGTATTGAAAAAAATCTCTTGTACTACAGGTATTGTATCATTCAGATATATAGGACTGTACAGTGAAAGTGGGTCCCTTAGGTATGACTACTCATTAGGGCACTGTACAGTAACTTAAGACTTATTCCATATAATTTCTCATTTTTTGTGTATTTTTTATCATTAATACAGTACAGTAGAGCGTCAATTTAAAGCGAATTGATTTAAAATTATTTATTTAAAGCGACACCCACAATTAAGGACACATTATCAATTTCAAGCGAATCTTTCCTATTTTACGTCACCTTGAACGCCTTTCTCTTTTGTCGGATCACCAGTATGGCTTTTGCCAGGCGAGATCTATTGGTGATCTGCTCTCCTATTGTACCCATCTTTGGTTATCCTCTCTAAGGGATTATGGGGAAACTTTTGTCGTGGCTCTCGACATTTCCAAAGCATTTGACAGGGTATGGCACAAGTCTTTGCTATCTAAACTTCCCTCTTTTGGTTTCTCTCCCCACTTTGTTTTCTCATCTCTAGCTTCCTTGAGAACCGATCCATGGCAGTTATTGTCGAGGGATCGATTTCTCGCTCTTTCTCTACCAGTAGTGGCATCCCACAGGGTTCTGTTCTTTCACCAACTCTCTTCCTTCTTTTTATCAATGATTTACTTCACACTACAACTTATTCTATCCATTCTTACGCTGATGATTCTACTCTTCACTCTTCCTCACATTTTCCCCTTCCTCCTAACTCTCAAACTAGATCTGTTTCTAGAACTGATATCATTACTTCTATCAATGCGGATCTGTGCAGCATCTCTGGTTAAGTTCAATAGTAATAAAACTCAATATTTACCAATTACACTTTGTAAATTTGACGATCTCCCACCAATTACATTTCAGGACGCTATCATCCTGCCAAATTCTGAAATAAATATGTTAGGCCTCACCATTTCCTCCAATATGTCCTGGAAATCACACATCCTTAGTATAACTAAAGCTGCCTCCCGAAAGTTGGGAATGCTTTACAGATGCCGCAGCTACTTCAATCCTGAGCAGTTGCTCCAAGTATATAAGGGATTCATTCGTCCTAACTTGGGGTACTGCTCTCATATCTGGGGTGGCTCTTCTTCTGTCCAACTATTAGATGGGGTGGAATCAAAGGCATTTCGTCTTATTAACTCTCCTCCATTAGTCGACAATCTCTCTTCCGTTTCTCTTCGCCGCAATGTTGCTTCACTCTCTCTCTTTTACAGGTACTTTAACGGGCAATGTTCGGTGGATTTGGTATCCTGTGTACCGCCGGCAAGGCTGTGGGTTCGTAACACACGTCTTGCCCGCGGTGCCCATCGTTTCTCTGTGGATGTCGGTCACACGAGAATAACCCGTTATAGTACCTCCTTCTTTCCTCACACAGCCAAACTGTGGACTGCTCTGCCTTCTTCTGTGTTTCCATGCTCTTACAATCTGTCTCACTTTAAAAAGTTGGTTTTCCGGCATCTTCGTGGTGTTGATTAATACAGTATAACCTTTTTTTTCTATATTTACAATTTCTTTCCGTTCTTTTTTTTTCACCCCCCGGTGGGCTAATGCCCGTAAAAAAAAAAAATAGTCAAATAAGGCTTGGATTACCCCAGGGGTTAGGTTACAATTTCCAATTTCAAACTCAAAATTTTCAAAATGGGTCATAAGCGCGCCAAACGCTAGCCCGCCAAAGCTCCACCCACACCATCCCACCTCTGTGTCTTCAGTTGCCGCGTGGGTATTGTTGTAGTAACACCTGCCTTTCGTGTGTGTCAATTTAGTGTGCTTAAACCTCTCATACTCGTTCATAATGCCCAAATACAAGCCATCTCTGTACTGTACATGTACTCAAATGTACTAAATAATTAAAAAAAATTTATGTCTTGTTATGCATAGCAGTCACTTTTTGTATTACGAGTACAGTATACCAAAACCGCTATCACTAAGCATTACTGGGGTGTTCACGTGAGCACTGTCGTCACTAAACACACGCTCAGGAATAATGGGCTCCTGAACCCACACCAGAGGGCCTGGCCTCACTCGAGTCTTGCTCTAATATTGGGCAGATATTGCACAACACTTCTCACACCTGTGGAACACGAATAACGCCAATGAAACACCGAAAAGTTATCAAAAATAGCAGTAGAAAGTACGCTGAACCTCTTTATGCTATACAACGCGCCATAACTAACAAGGAGGCAGCATCTGGGTGTGCGGATTGGCCGAGGAGCTGTGAAGTAGCAAGGGGAAACCCATTGTAATTGGCTGCCTCAGTGGGTATGGTCCGAGGGAGGCGTGCTCCTCTCGCTTTGACTGGGATGTTACCACTTTCTTTGACTGATCGCACAGCCAGATACATAGCTCCCGGCGTAAGGCAAAATCACACCTTAATTTCTATTCTAGCTAGAGGGTTACATCCAACGCCATCATGTAGAGGAAGGGTGAAAATAGTGATATCCATCAAAAAACGCATTTTGGCCAGGGTGTCGCTTCACCCCCTGCTAATGCGGAGCGCCTCATATACTGTACTGTACTACTGTATCGTAGATCCAAGTAGACAAGTACCTCACCTCCCCATTCAGAAGTACAGTACTAATTCATGATCACACTGTTTTCTTATTCTTCAGGTACCCTTTTTTTTTTTTTTTAGGAAAATTATTTAATTTTCTATAAGTTGCAATCTAATGTAATTTTCCTGGGTATTGAGAGTATTGGTGAGGTTTTATATACAGAGATGATGAGATAGTTTGAGCATGTGCAAAGAATGAAGGCAACAAACTGGGACAAGAGAGGGTGTTGGTGGTACAGCAGTAATGTGCGTGCCTCTTGCGGCCGTGTCCCAGTTTCGATCCCCGGCTGGGTCAGATGTGAGAATGGTGTTATCCATGTGTGACGCTACCAAACATTGCAGGTTTTCTCAGGGTACTCCAGTTTCCTTCTGGACTAACACTGGACCAAGAAATTTGTAACAGTGAACAGATTCATTGCCTGAATGGTTACTTAGCTGATAAGTTATAGAAATAAAAAAGAAAATAGAGATGCAGGAGTTTGAATGTGGAGGGGATGAGAGCTAATGGTAGGCCAAGAATAACATGAGAAGAGGTTGTAAGATATGACCCCCAGACATAAGAACCTGATGGGAGAGGCTGTAAGAGACCATGTAGCACAGAGAGCTGCTATTGGGCAACCGTGGTTAACCCACCTAAGCCATAAAACAATGATGATGATGCAGTTGAACCTTATTAGTCCAAATGTTGAAGGTTGTATTCCATTGTTACTGCAGTGTAGTGCCTTCTATGTGATGACCCTCAACAAATGGGAGGTATAGTACAGTATTTTTCTTCCATATATAGAAATTGTTCTGAAAACAAGTACAGTACAGGTACAGTAATTATATTATTTTCTTTTCAGTGAGTTCATGTTTGCTTGTCTTTTTCAGATCAATTTAGAAGTGCTGGCATCAGTGTCTTTAATAATAACTGGTCAAATATTCATGACTTTACACCAGTGGATGGAGAAACAAACTGGTCTTGTGTCTCCCAGACAACAAAATTGTCACAAGTGTTCAAACTACCCGAGGAAGATGAGCTTAAGAGGTTGGTATAGATTTGATTTAAAAAATTATTCAATTATTGTGATCATTTAAAAGCACTTATGTTTTTCTGGCCTTAAATGTCAACTTCCATGTCTTTGAAGGACACTTTCCTTCTGGGAATCAGTGGACTTGGTTATGATATGAAAATTACTACTTCAGTACAGACAGTACTAACATTGTCGGTGTATTCTACTGACAGAGCGTGACACGGTGGTTGGTGTAACTATTATTGGCCTCTCACAAAAATTTTCCTGTACTGTATATGACAATTCAGCCTTTTACAAAGTTATTACTGGTATTTGTTATTATTTTTACATCTTACTGTGGTTTATTCTTTAACTGAACATCTGTTACAGTAACAGGTGTGAATGAATGGAGTAGTGATCTCCCTGTTAGCCAGAACAGTTGGTGCACAGTGTTTAAGGGTTAAACATTTCTGGGTATCGAGATAAATTTTTTCATCCCAAGAAAGAATCGCGCATGTATGGAATTTTATGGGCACTTGTGAATGTTGCTGCATCTGGCATGGAGCACCGCTGTTACAGAGGCTCAACTCCAGTCAAACAGACACAGAGCTGATCTGATCTTAGTCCCATTTTGTTCTTAAAAAAAAAAAAAGTTTAAATATTTTCATAATGTTACTTTTATCAAATACTTGTACCTGTATTCAGCTGTACTATACTATACTGTACTGTACTGTACTATACTGTGCTGTACTGTACTATACTGTACTGTGCTGTACTATACTGTACTGTACTATACTGTATTGTACTGTACTATACTGTACTGTACTATACTGTACTGTACTATACTGTACTATACTGTACTGTACTATACTGTACTATACTGTACTGTACTATACTGTACTATACTGTACTGTGCTGTGCTGTACTGTACTATGCTGTACTGTGCTGTACTATACTGTACTGTACTATACTGTATTGTACTGTACTATACTGTACTGTACTGTACTATACTATACTGTACTATACTGTACTATACTGTACTATACTGTACTATACTGTACTGTGCTGTACTGTACTGTACTATGCTGTGCTGTACTGTACTATACTGTATTGTATTGTACTGAGCTGTACTGTACTGTACTATACTGTACTGTACTATACTGTACTATACTGTACTGTACTATACTTTACTATACTGTACTGTACTGTGCTGTGCTATACTGTACTGTACTGTACTGTGCTGTACTGTACTATACTGTACTGTGCTGTACTATACTGTACTGTACTATACTGTATTGTACTGTACTATACTGTATTGTATTGTACTGTACTGAGCTGTACTGTACTATACTGTACTGTACTATACTGTACTATACTGTACTGTACTATACTGTACTATACTGTACTGTACTATACTGTACTATACTGTACTGTGCTGTGCTGTACTGTACTGTACTATGCTGTACTGTGCTGTACTATACTGTACTGTACTATACTGTATTGTACTGTACTATACTGTACTGTACTGTACTATACTGTACTGTACTATACTGTACTATACTGTACTATACTGTACTATACTGTACTATACTGTACTGTGCTGTACTGTACTGTACTATGCTGTGCTGTACTGTACTATACTGTATTGTATTGTACTGAGCTGTACTGTACTGTACTATACTGTACTGTACTATACTGTACTGTACTATACTTTACTATACTGTACTGTACTGTGCTGTGCTATACTGTACTGTACTGTGCTGTACTGTACTATACTGTACTGTGCTGTACTATACTGTACTGTACTATACTGTATTGTACTGTACTATACTGTACTGTACTGTACTATACTGTACTGTACTATACTGTACTATACTGTACTGTACTATACTGTACTATACTGTACTGTACTATACTGTACTATACTGTACTGTGCTGTGCTGTACTGTACTGTACTGTACTATGCTGTGCTGTACTGTACTATACTGTATTGTATTGTACTGTACTGAGCTGTACTGTACTGCACTATACTGTACTGTACTGTACTATACTGTACTGTACTATACTGTACTGTACTATACTATACTGTACTATACTATACTGTACTGAGCTGTACTGTACTGTACTGTACTATACTGTACTATACTATACTATACTGTACTGTACTATACTGTACTATACTGTACTGTACTGTAGTGTACTATACTGTACTATACTGTACTGTACTGTGCTGTGCTGTACTGTGCTGTGCTGTATTGTACTGTACTGTGCTGTACTGTATTGTACTGTGCTGTACTGTGCTGTACTGTTCTGGTACTGTACTGTACTGTGGTGTACTGTGCTGTGCTGTGCTGTGCTGTACTGTGCTGTGCTGTACTGTGGTGTACTGTGCTGTGCTGTACTGTGCTGTACTGTGCTGTACTGTACTGTACCGTATTGTGCTGTACTGTGCTGTACTATACTGTGCTCTACTGTACTGTGCTCTACTGTACTCTACTGTACTCTACTGTACTGTGCTGTACTGTACTGTATTGTGCTGTACTGTGCTGTACTATACTGTGCTCTACTGTACTCTACTGTGCTGTACTGTACTGTGCTGTACTGTACTGTACTGTATTGTTCTGTACTGTGCTGTACTGTACTATACTGTATTGTATTGTACTGTACTGAGCTGTTCTCTACTGTACTGCAATATACTGTACTGTACTATACTGTACTGTACTATACTGTACTGTACTATACTGTACTGTACTATACTGTACTGTACTATACTGTACTGTACTATACTATACTGTACTATACTGTACTGTACTATACTGTACTATACTGTACTGTACTATACTATACTATGCTATACTGTACTGTACTGTACTGTACTGTATTGTACTGTACTGTACTGTACTGTGTTGTGCTGTGCTGTACTGTACTGTGCTCTACTGTGCTGTACTGTGCTCTACTGTGCTGTAATTGTATTGTACTGTACTGTGCTGTACTATATTGTGCTGTACTGTGCTCTACTGTACTGTGGTCTACTGTACTCTGCTCTACTGTACTCTGCTCTACTGTACTGTACTACTGTACTATGCTGTACTATACTGTACTGTACTATACTGTACTGTACTGTACTATACTGTACTATGCTGTACTATACTGTACTGTACTATACTGTACTGTACTATACTGTACTATACTGTACTGTACTACTGTACTGTACTGTACTATACTGTATTATACTATACTGTACTGTACTATACTGTACTGTACTATACTGTACTGTACTGTACTGTACTATACTGTACTATACTGTACTATACTGTACTATGCTGTACTATACTGTACTGTATACTATACTGTACTTGTACTTACTATACTGTACTATTGTACTATACTGTACTATACTGTACTATGCTGTACTATACTGTACTGTACTATACTGTACTGTACTATACTATACTATACATACTGTACTGTACTGTACTATACTCGAGAGTGTATCACCTTCCTTATACTTCATGTGTGTTTCTCCTTCCTGTGTAGTGTTGGGATGATGCTGTACTGCACTGTACTGTACTGCAATTGTACTATACTGAGATTGTGTCACCTTCTTTTATACTTCATGTGTGTTTCTCTCTCTCCTTCCTGTGTAGTGCTTGGATGATGCTGTACTGCACCCTGTACCGTACTGTACCCTGTACCAAGTACTTTGAGATTGTGTCACCTTATACCTATGTGTGTTTCTCCTCCTGTGTAGTGTTGGATGATGCTGTACTGCACTGTACTGCACTGTACTGTACTATACTGAGATTGTAGCGTCACCTTCTTATACTTCATGTGTTTCTCCTTCCTGTGTAGTGTTGGGATGATGCTGTACCTGCACTGTACTGTACTATAATACTGAGAGTGTGTCACCTTCTTATACTTCATGTGTGTTTCTCCTTCCTGTGTAGTGTTAAGATGATGCTGTACTGCACTGTACCAAAATGTACCGTACTATACTAGAGATTGTGTCACCTCTTATACTTCATGTGTGTTTCTTCCTTCCTGTGTAGTGTTGGGATGATGTTGTACTAAAATTGTACTGTACTGTACTGTACCATACTGAGATTGTGCCTTTCACCTTCTTATACTCTATGTGTGTTTCTCCTTCCTGTGTAGTGTTGTATTTACGCTGCCTGCACTGTACTGTACTGTACTGTACTATACTGAGTGTGTCACCTTCTTATACTTCATGTGTGGCCCTTCCTGTGTAGTGTTGGGATGATGCTGTACCGCACCGTACTGCACTGTACCTGTACTATACTGAGAGTGTATCACCTTCTTATACTTCATGTGTGTTTCTCCTTCCTGTGTAGTGTTGGGATGATGCTGTACTGCACTGTACTGCACTGTAATGTACTATACCGAGATTGTGTCACCTTTCTTATACTCATGTGTGTTTTCCTTCCTGTGTAGGTTGGGATGATGCTGTACTGCACTGTACTGTACTGTACTGTACCATACTGAGATTGTGTCACCTTCTTATACTTCATGTGTGTGTTTCTCCTTCCTGTGTAGTGTTGGATGATGCCACTGCACTGTACTGTACTGTACTGTACTATACTTTCAGATTGTGTCACCTTCTTATACTCCATGTGTTTCCTTCCTGTAGTGTTGATGATGCTGTACTGCACTGTACTGTACTGTACTGTACCATACTGGAGAGATTGTGTCACCTTCTTTATACTATGTGTGTTTCTCCTTCCTGTGTAGTGTTGGGATTGATGCTGTACTGCACTGTACTGTACTGTACTGTACATACTGAGATTGTGTCACCTTCTTATACTATGTGTGTTTCTCCTTCCTGTGTAGTGTTGGGATGATGCTGTACTGCACTGTACTGTACTATACTGAGATTGTGTCACCTTCTTATACTTCATGTGTGTTTCTCCTTCCTGTGTAGTGTTGGGATGATGCTGTACTGCACTGTACTGTACTGTACTGTACTATACTGAGAGTGTATCACCTTCTTATACTTCATGTGTGTTTCTCCTTCCTGTGTAGTGTTGGGATGATGCTGTACTGCACTGTACTGTACTGTACTGTACTATACTGAGAGTGTCACCTCTTATACTCATGTGTGTTTTCCTTCCTGTGTAGTGTTGGGATGATGCTGTACTGCACTGTACTGCACTGTACTGTACTATACTGAGATTGTGTCACCTTCTTTATACTTCATGTGTGTTTCTCCTTCCTGTGTAGTGTTGGGATGATGCTGTACTGCACTGTACTGTACTCTGTACTATACTGAGATTGTATACCTTCTTATACTTCATGTGTGTTCTCCTTCCTGTGTAGTGTTGGGATGATGCTGTACTACTATGTACTGTACTGTACCTTTTCTCTGAGAGATTGTGTCACCTTCTTACTCTACTTCATGTGTGTTTCTCCTTCCTGTGTAGTGTTGGGATGATGCTGTGCTACTATACTGTACTGTACTGCTTTATACTGAGAGTGTGTCTGTACTTATACTTCATGTGTGTTTCTCCTTCCTGTGTAGTGTTGGGATGATGCTGCTGCACTGTACTGTACTGTACTGTATACTATACTACAGATTGTGTCTTCTTATACTTCATGTGTGTTTCTCCTTCCTGTGCTAGTGTTGGGATGAGTGCTGTACTGCACTGTGCTGTACTGTACTTTGTACTATACTGAGATTGTGTCACAGCTTCTTTATACTTCATGTGTGTTTCTCCTTCCTGTGTAATGTTGGGATGATGCTGTACTGCACTGTACTGTACTGTACTGTACTATACTGAGAGTACATACCTTCTTATACTTCATGTGTGTTTCTCCTTCCTGTCCTTAGTGTTTGGGATGATCTGTACTGCACTGTACTGTACTGTACTGTACTATATATACTGAGATACATATACATATATACTTCATGTGTTTCTCCCTTCCTGTGTAGTGTTGGGATGATGCTGTACTGCACTGTACTGCACTGTACTGTACTATACTGAGGTGTGTCTTTTTCCTTGCCACTTCATGTGTGTTTCTCCTTCCTGTGAGTGTTGGGATGATGCTTGTACTGCACTGTACAGCCTTTATACTGTACTATATACTGAAGTTGTCACCTTCTTATACTTCATATTGTGTTCTCCTTCCTGTGTAGTGTTAAGGATGATGCTGTACTGCATATATACTATGCTATACTAACCTGCTGAGATTATGTCACCTTCTTATACTTCATGTGAACCTCCTTCCTGTGTAGTGTTGGGATGATCACTTGCACTGTACTGCTTTATACTATTACTATACTGAAGTTATATCACACTTCTTATACTTCATGTGTTTTCTCTTCACAATACATAAGTGTTGGATGAGTACTGTACTGTACTATACTGTACTATGCTGTACTATGCTGTACTGTACTATACTGTACTGTACTGTACTGTACTGTACTGTACTGTACTGTACTGAGAGTGTATCACCTTATACTTCATGTGTGTTTCTCCTTCCTGTGTAGTGTTGGGATGACGCTGGACCATAATCTCAGCATTGTTCCCTATACATATGGATCCCCTGGATATGGGTCACAAGAGGCAGCCCTTGTTATTATGTTCTGTGATGAATCTCAACACCAAAGAGCTATGAAGTTCATCTCTTCACTAAAAGCACAAGTTGTAAGTTAACAGGAGTTTATCCATTGTAAAATGTACATCTGCAGGCAATACAGTATTGATTTTTCATATATTGTTGATAATGTACACAGTTTGCTTGTTTATTTTCATATTACCTTAATAGCACAGATAGCCAGCCAAGTTAACAACACAATTACTCAAGTGCTTGCTAGTTCACGCTATACTGCACCCTCTCATATTCCTGCAGAGGTGGGTTTTGGGGTAGTCTTTCCCTTCTGTCGGGACGGTAGTCTCCCCGCTGTTGCATTTATTTTTACGGCAGAGCTTTCAGGTAATTTACTCGCCCTCGAGATTATTTTTACCCATCCTCAAACTGATTTTACAATTTTTACCAATTATCATAGTGCTCTCCAGGCATTAGCTAGTGTCTAATTGCCCCATTCCCTAGTTATAGATATTTTACAGTGGTTGTTTCTCATCCAACATCAGGGCTAGAAAGTCAGTTTTTGCTGGTTTCTGGCCCATGTGGGGAGAAGGGAAAGGAATGTGCTGATGTTGTGGTGAACACAGCTGTTTCTCGCCCTGTGGCACATCATTTCCCTCTTCCTGCCTCTCATATGAAGCCATGTGCTCGAGTTGGCAACCCAGGTGGGATGCTGTTGGAGCAGACAAACTCTGCAACATCCACCCTGCTTTGGGTGCCTGGGAATATCAGGGACTGTCTCGCCGCCAGGAGACTGCTTTGGACCGCCTCTGTATTGGCCACACACGGCTGACTCATGGTTTTTTAATGGGGAGGGCGGGACTGTCTAGTACCATTGACTGTTCGACACCTCCTGGTGGACTGTCCCAGTCTCGGAGATCTTTGTCGTAAGCACCTCTTCCAGTGTCAGGGTGGGGACAGATCTTACCGTCTCTTTTTGGTGATGGGGGAAGGGTATGGGTTGTTTTGGAGGTGACGTCCTCACCTTTGTGGAGGAAGCCGGCCTTCTACACAAGCTTTGAGTTTTATCTATTAACGTTTAAATGTTTTTTATGAAAGTTTTATGCAATTTATTACAGTCATGCGCCGGTTAACGTCCGATCACATATGCGTCCTTGCAAGACAGAGATTAATTTGAATATAAGCGTCATATATTTTGCTCAAGCTATAAAAAATGTAGTACATTAGTGTACAATACTGTAGTACATTTTATAAAAAGTTTTTCAACTGTATTTTTGGGTAGATTTACATAAATTTTTTCATTTATTTTCATCCATTTACATGCACACACCATACTAAAAGAAACGTAAAATAAATTAGTGCAAAGCTGGAGTGCACATGTACTAATTTGATTACAGTACTAAAATTGTTCTGTCTAGTGCAAATTATAGCATGTTTATATTCAAATTAATCAGTATGTTACAAGATTCCCAGCTATGTTAATTATATTCACCCAGGTCATTTCACTGGCTTTTTATAAGAGAGAAGCTTAGTCACTTAAGAACTGATAAATATACAGGCGTCAGACCTGGGCCTGTGCCAACTGTCAAACGTACTACCTCCCCTCCCCCTACGCCCCCTCACACCCTCTCTCTCCCCCATCTGCTGACGTTGCTGTAATCCTTGTAAAACAGTGAATAATTTTAATATAAACGTCGTGTATTTTGCATAAGAGATAAAAATTAATCACCTGTATCACATTACAGTGGTGATTTAAGAGTAAAAGTGTATATGTACGTATAAAGTATTCCACATACACGTAAGTACAAATAAAAAGTTTATGTGATGATCGGACAACGTCCATTTCGGTTAACGTCACGTTTCCAAGAACGTATCTGAGACGTTAACCGGCGCATGACTGTATTTATGTTTTTACCTTGCATTATTTGATTTTAATCTTCTAGGCTTTTATTTTAAATCATCAACATATGACCTAAGCCGTTGCGATGCCAGAGATGTATTTACAGTACCACAGTCAATCAATCAATCAATCGCTAGCAAGTCCGGCTTTGTGTTTGTTCATGTAATCACGGGACTCAAATCTAACTTATTTTTTTCATCACATTTTAGGTCACTAGCTGATTGGGCAGTTGGTCAGATCTCTGTTAAGCACTGGTGGGAATGACTGGGTGGATATGTGCTCCCAAATGTACCGAACATGTTCCAGTATTTCTTGAGCTTGGACTAGGAGAAATTCACTGGAGGTGTTGTCACAAAATTCTCCAGTAGTTCACAACTCTTAGTCTAAAGAAGTTAAATGTGACTGTATTCTGTACTGTACTGATATCTTCTTTACCTTAAGGCCAGAGTCGGGTAATTTTTTTATAACCATTATTTACTTATGGATTTGAATGGAAGTTTAACACAGTAATGGGACCTACTCAATGAAGTTTCAATTTAAGTTTCATCAAAATCGGTCAAGTAGTTTTTTTTATATAAATACGTATATATATTTTTTCAACATTCATAAAAAAAAATTGTATCCGTCGACGTTATCATTATCGTTTGTGCTTTTACCACTGTAATATTCATGCTTTGATGAAAATATTCTAGTCAATTCAAATGCCCATGTGCCTGCATTGCTAGATGCCGAATTTTCAAAATTGCATAACAAAAGTCACAAAATGTTTATCTATTATATTTTATATTGTTACTTTTTTTGAGCAACATCCTGCATCAATAAAATGTTTTCTTCTTTGTCTGGTGATTCTAATGGTATTTTTATATTGAAAATCGGACAAGAACTTTTGGAGGAGTTTCTAGATTTATATAGAATTTATTAGTCGTAAGATATGAGGCTTTGAAAACTTCATGGCACTTGGCACCAAGCTGAGACGCAGAAATTTTAATTATATTCTGTAAATATCGGTTTCTGTTCTTGATATTCCTTGCACGGATGTTCAGCTTCTTACTGTAGCCAAGGCCTCTTGTTCAGGTAAGATAAGGTGCAATAACAGGGTGGGGTAGAATAGGAGGACGCGTAGCATGCAACCTCTCCGTAGGAAGCCCTGGCGAGCACTGAGCTATTATGTAATAAGCAGGGGTGTATATTCAGGGTGTGCTAGGTGTGCTCCGCACACCCACAAAAGTCATGAAATAATGATTTAATACTTTTATTTAATGTAAATAAATATACATGACATATTATATGTACTGTATTAACACAGTGTTAACCTCAACTGTTGTTTCTTGGCTTTCCTGTTGGCTTGCTATTAGCTGCAGAGCCTGCAGTTGAGTGGAGCTGTCATCACCGCACACTTTGGGTAGTTGTACCAGATGGTGGTACCGAGGCGGGGAGGGACGGGGTTTATAGCGAGTGAAGTCGAGCGGCCAGCCGGTAGGACCCAGCGGAGGACGTGTTGCTCCGTACTTCGTTTCCGTTTACTGTGAATGTTAAAATATATTTCTTTGCTTTGATTTACATATTATTTATAGCTCACTGTGCAATTTAATTTAGATACTTTGACATAATTTTCACCCTTCTTACACAATGGGAAATACTGTTGAAAAGAATTTACTCATGGAATTAAGACAAAGAGGCTCCTTTTATGATGACGTTATAATGCAGTTTACATCGCAAAAAAGAATAGAACTAATGCATAAATAAAATTGGTAAGTAAACTATATTTTTGTTTAAATTGCACTGCTAATATATGTACACTTCTACAGTAATTTTCTTCTATTTCTCTGTGCTGTTTATATGCATAGTGTACTTATTTACCGGTATGTCATGTATTTATACAACTTAAAGTTTAGTCTTTACCTTATTATAATGATCAGCACAACCTGTTTCAGTACCCACCATACGCCACTGGTAATAAGGTAGCGAGTCTGCCTTCCTCCCCTCCATGGAAGAGTTGCCAGATGTTGCCTAAATGTTGACAAATAATTTATGTACAAATAAAATCTTTTTACATATTTTTTCAGTAATTATTTAGTGTATTTGAGTACAGTACAGGTTTGCCCTTAGGACAATTATTTCTTTTACTTTTCACAATATGTATTTAGGATGGTGTGTGCATGTAAATGAGTAAAAATGAATGAAGAAAGTTAGGTATATCTACCCAAAAATACGAGTTGAAAAACTTGTAGGGTAGAACGTCGATTTATAGCAGTTCAATTTAAGATTATTGATTTAAAGCGACACCCACAATTAAGGACAATGTTTTAATTTGAAGAGAATCTTTCCTATTTTGAGCGAGTCAATCTGGCGCATCATATTTTAAAATTCGCTCCTAATGTTTCTGGGCACGCTACACTGTCCTAAGGGCAAAGCTGTACTGTACATGTACTCAAAATAATGTACTAAATGATTACTAAAATTTTTGTTTAGTGCAAACTATAGCATGATTATATTCAAATCAATCACTATCTTATAAGAATTCCAGCAATGTAAATTATATTCTCCCCAGTCATTTCTTTGACATTTTATAAGAGAAAAACAAAAACTAAATCTAAAGGACATGAATAAACAAATAAATACTTCACTAGACCTTCAGCCCCAACTGTCAAAAGTGTCACTGTTACCCCCCCCACCCCCATCTTCCCAGCCTGGGTTTGGTGGTTATAGGCTTACAGTTTTTATCTTATATAATATCACAGACTAAAGTTAGGAGAATATAATTTGCATTGCTGGATTCCTTGCAAGACAGCGAATAATTTGAATATAAACGTCATATATTTTGCACAAGAGATAAATTTGTTTAGCCCTTTGTAATAAAATTAATTAGAACATGTCAGTACAGTGACATTTTATAAGAGAAAAACTTAAAGTCACCCTTAAGGACAGATAAATAAATAAGCACTAGACCTTGGCATCAACTGTCAAACATATCACCTCCCCCCCCCCATCTTCCCATCAGCTGATCACTAGTAAACACCATTTTTCGTCCTATAATTTTAGCTGCGTTGATTTATGAATGTTTGTTTTAACATAATACTACAAAAAACAATTTTTTGTTTATTCTAGGAGATGGGCTGAGGTGCATCTGGGTAGACTCTCAGTCTTTTTAGTATTTTGTGTTTACAAGTATCAAACTAAATTATTCCATTGAAACAACACTTTGATTTAGTGCGAATTTGGTTTAAAGCGAACCTCTCTTGGAACGTATATCGTGTTATATCGACGTTCTACTGTACTAAAATGTACTACACTATTGGACTAAAAATTTTATCTCTTGGGCAAAATATATCATGTCTATATTCAAATTATTTGCTGTCTTGCAAGGATTCCTGCAATGCAAGTTATATTCTGCTTAGTTTAGTCCAGGGGTCACCAAACGTTTTTCACAGTGGGCCGGATAACTGAAAGAATGACGAGCGCGGGCCACATAATCATTCTGTTCAATACTTGCAAGCCAGAACGAAAGCTCTGGTAACGTCAGAGCGTAGGCGGAGCTACCACGAGCCGGGGAAGGACTTGGGATCTGGCCCGCGGGCCGTAGTTTGGTGACCCCTGGTTTAGTCTGTGACATTTTATAAGATAAAAATTTTAAGCCTAAAACTACCTTCACCCTGTTTTGGGAATGTTTCTTGGGGAGGCTTCTGAGCCCAGAACCCCCCAACTTTTTTGTCCGAATCTTCCGGAATCTGGATTTACCGGGTCCGGATCTTCGAGGGTTTTTCTGTACTGTATATCATTTTTCATTTTTTTATTTATTTATGTTCTCATTTTTGTATTTGTTTTTGGCTATTATTATTATTATTATTATATTTATTAATTTTTATTTATTACTATTATTGTTGTTATTATTATTATTATCATCTTCCCCCCAGGCCCTGGTGTGCGTCAGTGAGTTGTGCCCGGGTGGGCTAATCCCTATTAAAAAAGAAACAAAAAACACGCTGAAACCTTGGGCTGGCTGATCTTCCACCCATATCATTAACAATCTTTCCATTTCAGTTAACAATCCACTTCTTTGCTTCATTATCACAGTTACTGCATTGATGTAGATCCTTTTACATGTTCAAGAATTTGTGTTTGTCTTTCAAAATTGCTCCTGCTGTTGGCCGACTTAAGCCCAACACTTTGCCAGTGACTGAGGGCGCTTGACCTTTTTCAGAACGTTTAATTACATCAAGTTTCACTTCCATTATAATTGTTTTCCTTTTCTTGGATACACTATTATCACTTGCATCAGGTTTGCATTTGGGAGCCATGATGAAGGCAGAAAAATAGACTTAATAAGCCAAAAAACAACAGTTTGCACTTGATCACACACGTTACTGAGGTGAGAGTAAGACGTACTGATGCCCTCTCAAGGCGTGTGGCTGGGTGGCGCATGACTCCCCACCTGCCACTACACCACGCAAACTAGTTCCCGTACGTTAATACTACAAACCAGTCGTACCTATGTCGGATTATTAAAATAATTGACCTTATGGGACCTCGTTTGTATCGGAGTATTCGTAAGTTGGACGTTCATAACTCGGTGACCCCCTGTATATTGTTTGGATGCGAGTCTACCCTTGAAAAGTAACAGGCGCTCATCAATCACCATTTTCCTGAAGGGATAAGAAAAACTTGCTAAACTTTCTCACAATCCTGGCAAACGTGTTGCTTACGTTTCACAGTTATTGTTGTCTGTGAAATAGAAGAAGCGCCGTAGCAAAAGAAATTTGTCTCTTGTCATTAATTTTCAGAACACTGGAGTGGCTATCAGAAGGCCGTTACGCCAGTAATCCTGGATTGTACGTCTTGTCTAGAGGCATCAACATTATAAGTGCGAAAAACACGTACAATTCATCTACTGTAGTGTCCACCCAACGATGCACACGAGAGTGGGGTGAGAAAGTACTGACATCTGTGACATACAGTGATATCTCCGTTAACCGGAACAATTGGGTCAGAGCACTTCCGGGAATGAGAGATTTCTGGGTAACGAAACGACTCTCAAAGCAGGAAAAAATCCCTCATCTCCGGAATTTTCCGTGTAACGGAAAAATGTTCTTGGAAGTCCAGAAATTGCCCATTACATCATGTCTTGAACCCGGAAAAATATCCCCCATCCCCGGAATTTTCTGGGTATCGGGAAAATTTTCTCTGAATTTTCTGGAAAAAGTGCCCCTCGGAAAATCTTTCCCAAAGCCGGAATTTTCCGAAAAATTCTGGCTTTGGGAACGATTTTCCGAAAAAATTTCAATTCCGGCTATCAGGGAGTTCCAGGTTTGAGGGATTCCGGCTAACGGGGATATCATTGTACAGCTTCTCCTCAACTTACGACGGGGTAAGAGACCCAAATCCAGGTCGTAAGTCAAAAATGCTTAAATAATACTTAGAAAATTTAAAATGGGTGTCTCTTTTTCTTCTCAGCACCACAAAACTCTCACTTTTAAGCTTGCCAGCCATTTTAAAGTGAATTACAAATGAAAATTTGTCATTACACAGCGCAATCACTAACGTCGGGACTCGAAAATATGTAATTTGACAAAATTCTGGTAAGACTGAAGCGGTCATATGTCCGGGTGGTCGTAAGTCGAGGAGCTGTACTTATAATATCTGTTAGTCCCATTCACAATATGTGACCTCACTTCATTGTCAATAAAGGCAGTAAAATATTCCATTTCAGTTGAAGTATCATCACAAGGCCAGTCACGAATAACACCACCATTTCCGTCATCAAATAATGGATATCCGGCATAAAATTTGCCCCATCACTCCACCCAAAGAGTGTCAAGGTTGCACCTTGCAGTAGCTCACTCACCCCCACATCCCTCTCCTCTTCCGTAGTCTCCCCTTCCTCCTCCACACTGCTGTCTCTGTCACTCCCAGCACGCTTTTCCTCACCAGCACTCTCGACTTGCCAATCATCGTCGTCAGATAAGGAGGACATGGACTTATCTGTTTCATAATCCCTGGGCACAAACTTAAATGGTGTAAGGCTTTTATTTTTTAGGTCAAACAAAACTGTGCTTTGTGGTAATATGTGGAGGCAGCCTTCCTGCCACCCTGTATGGCAACACCAGCCTGAGTAGCACAATATTTTTCATATCCCTCCCTTACTGTCCCCTTGTCACCTCCAGCTTCATTGTCTCTAGTAGGCAGAGCAACAGGTGATGATGTTGATGGAAGCAGTGTAGATAGTTCAAAGGCAGAATGAGTGGTTTTGAGCTGGGCGCGTGATCTGCGGTCAACCTCATGGTGCCACCTGGGCCTTGGGTCGTCTACAGATTCCTCTTTTTCACTACTTCTGTCATATCCCATGAGTAATTTCCTTTTCAAAGGTAGTCTTTTCCTTCCACTTGTCTCTGGCCTTGCACCACAGCCAGTGGAAGTGGAAGGTGGCAGGTTCAGTGACATTGTCATGGGGCAAGAACGTACGTCTTGACTCCATCATGACCGAGATATGACTGCGTCATGAGCAGCTTGGTTGGGAGGATTACCCAGTGGGACAACTGGCGAGTGTAAACATCCCATACTTGATCCCACGAGATATGAAATTTTTCATGCGCTACATTCACAACACTCTGAATTCCAGATTGTATGTCGCACTCCTCCGCTTATCATTCGAGAATGTATGTCGCAGTGATCTGATTAATGACTGTTGATTACCACAACTGTTACTGCAATGGGATGCAGCCCATAGACTTATTGGGAAAATAAAAGATTTGCCTTGTCCCAACAGGATCAGTGTTTGATATACATATAGTTTTTCCCGTGTAATGAGAGGATGAAAAAAAGGATATAGATGTTTATTCATTCTTTGTTCATGTCTCCATAGTGGTATTCACTCACCACATAGATCATTTATGTCACCATCTGCCAGTTTTAAACAAACTTCTTGCTAACTGATCAACAATGTAAATTATTTGAGCTTCGTCTTAAAATTGAGTTTCTCTGTTTACAAATCTTTAGAATTCATTTTTGTAATAAGCTGACTAACTTTATAACTTTTCCCAAGATTTAGAGGAAACTCAGTAAACAGGGAATTTGGAGTAAGTTTACTTAAAAGTCCTTAATTCACTTGTCTCTGGGAGCTTAAATGGAATTAAAATATATTGCAAGATTATCACGAGGTGGACTGAGGGTGATGGGTATTGAGACGTGGGTGAACTGATCTCAGGTTTTTGATCCAGTAAACCTTATGCCATCCTCGCTCATAAAATATCCACCAGATGAGGAGTTTAAAGTGTTGTTTTTATCGTGTTCCAATGAGCAAAGAGTTGGCCAGCAGCAATAGAAAGTGGTCTACAGTAGAGTATACCTGAAGCTAGAATTTGTCTAGCCCCTGATCATGACATGTTCTTTGAGGGAGGGGGGGCAATTCACTGTTTTAATGGAGGTATTACTCATGTGACTCATTGATGAACCATAGGCTATAAAACCAAAATGTCATAAATATGTAATTTATCTAAATGAAAAAAGAGTTAACATTAAAAAAAATTTAATATACAGGTTGACTGCAAGATTCAGCACAGCAGAGAGGTGAAGATGGAAGCGACAGATGCTCAGCGAGTGTTTCACACTTCAGAGTACAAGAGTGCTATTAGTCAAGGTCCAGTCATTGCCTTCTTGTGCCTTGGCAATGACATCACTCAAGTGTGTTCTACGGTAAGATCATGTTTTATATATGTATCATTGTCTTTTGTGTTTTATTCCTCGGTAATAGAGAAATCCTACTTAGATTGGCAGGATTACATAAACGTTTTACAGCCATTTTCCTCACTTGTATGGGTTAGCCACAATTACCTGATGGCAACTCTCCATGCTGCATGGTCTCTTGCAGTCTGGTCAGGTTCTTAAATCTTATTGTAATTTTTTATAACCTCTCCCCATGTCATTTTTGGCATACCCCTGGTTCTCCTCCCCTAGAGTTTTAATCACCCTCATATGTTGAAAGGGGATCGTCGTGCTTACAGCTAGACGTTAAAAAAAGTGAGTCAAGAAGGACACTGCACTACAGTGCTTGACAGGGAAGTGTGGTGGTAAAATAAACTTATAATATTGAACTTAGTTCATTTTACCGCCACACCTCCCTGTCAAGCATTGTAGTGTGGTGTCCGTCTTGACTCAAATTTTTTAAAAGTCTGGTTGTAAACTCGACAACCTCCATCATTTGAAGAGGGTGATTAAAACTCCGGGCATTAGACTCAAGCACCTCTTGACTCAATTGGTCTAATCCATCCTCTCCACATGACCAAACCATCCCAACCTGCCTCTATGTAGAACTTTGCCAAGACAAACTCTCAATACCCAGCCACCCATTTAACTCGGTGTCAAGTTACACATCCACCTCACCATTCTCATTTCAGCATTCTCAAGTCTGTTTATGTCATCCTCTTTAATGCCCAAGTTTCACTGCCATACAACATCACACTTCTTACATCAGCTGCAATCAGCCACTTCTGACTCTTGCAATTGATCATGTTCCTCAGGTAACAGAACTCACTGACACAGTCCAGGGACATAACCCCAATGTTGAGTTTTTCCAACCTTTCTGTGGGCACATGGTTACCTGCCTATACACAACACCTAAAGTCAGCAACATCCCACATTCTGCCATCTACTCCACTGCACCTCTTTTGTATCCACCTTCTACATTTGTTACACATTATGGAGTTGTTGCCAACACCTTTCTTACATACAGCACATGGGTCCCTCAGAAGGGAAACCATTGATCTCCCAAGCTGCATCCTGTGTAGTAGATTAACAACATTCTCTAACTACACACACATACTATTAAAGATTCTTTTCTATCACTCCTAAGTTTCTCCTTATAATTTCTATAAAAATATATTCTTAATCTCCTGACAGTTAAACACAGTTCAGTTCTGGTATCCCCTCTCCTTTTCTCTCCTCAAACCAAAAACTGAGAAGTTCCCTTTGTGGTAAAAACCCCTAATGCAATAGTTTGGATGGATTTAATCAAGTACATCTTGAGTAGATGGGAGGGTCACTCTCCATGGATTCCCACCATAAGGATGGCAGTCCCTTCCTCCTACTCCCTCAAGCTTAGGTCAAAATGTTTTTCAACTTTGTTTTGTGACTGAATCTGGCTTTAAATACTCCTTTGAACATGATAAATATATCTGTCCAGGTTTCCTATGAGGAACTAAGGAATGCTTTGTAAAATGGTCCTCCATCAAGGAGAACTGTGATCTTGTCTTATACAGCCATTGATTCTTTGCAGCATCATCCCCACCCTATCTCTTCCTGTAATCTTTGATGAACAATTGAATTAGTAACCTACAATGGGTAATATGCCACTAGTTGAAAGTGTTGTGGATCTGTCCCTTTCTCATCATGTGAAGCACATTGTTTGATCAGATATTTTAATTGAACAAAGTACTGGAAGCTGCTATAATTAATCATCAAAGGTTTCAAAACTCTGAGATGGCAGCCTTCTGGTTGATATCATTTCTAAAGTACAATACACAAAAACTTCCTACAACAACTTACTAACATTGGAAATATAAATGTAAAGGCAATACCCCATCTAACACTGAAGTTATGTATGAGGTGAGTTGCCCAGAGCTTAGTGTCCAGTTAATAGCTGTCATTTTTTTGCCACCACATTTCAAGGTGTGTCACCAGGGGTGGATTTATACATATATATCCCCACAGTCCACACACAGATATACTGTATCCCTACTTACTCCACACACACACACACACACTTATACACATCCCCATACACTCAGACTCTCCCCGTATGCTAATGCTTCACTCATACACACAAGCCCCTCCACACACACACACACAAACATATATCACCCTTACACACACACACACACATCACCCTTACACAAACACACATATCACCCTTACACACACACAGGCACACACACATACCCTTACACAAACACACATATCACCCTTACACACACACAGGCTTACACACATCACCCTTACACACACACACACACATATCACCCTTACACACACACACACACACATCACCCTTACACACACACACACACACACACACATGTACACATACATGCTTTACACATATACGATACATATATATATATATATATATATATATATATATATATATATATATATATATACGAGGTCTGTCCAAAAAGAAACCGAACTTTTTAAATAGTGCGCCAACGAGCCGGCGCAGCGTGCTCGCAACGGGAACGCTGTGTAGCGGTGACCTTGACCTTTAGTCTAACACTAGCCACATCACGCCACTTCAATTACTATCAAGTTTTATAATTTGCTCTGTGATATGGGTAAAGATACATCTCAGCCGCCTGATACACGAGTCAAGGCTTCATTTTTAACTGAATAATTTACTCTACTGGAGATAACCTTATGTGTCAGTTATGGTTTTGTACAGCATTCTGAAATGTTTCCAGAAATCAAGTGCAATCCTTCAGACTGTAAACCTTGATCTGCAGGAAGCTTGTTCCACATTTGCATCATTAGCTGGATTCATAAGAGACCAGAGAGAAATATTTCACAAGTTTGAAACTGCAGCCAGTCAGAGAATAACTGACGTCTCAGAGGACTTTAAAAAATCAAGGGTCAAAAGATCAAAGTAAATGAGTGATGACTGGCTCGGAGAACGTGGTGCTGAGTGACTCTACAAAATTTTGTATTGAGAGCTACATTCCCATAGTTGAATGCCTATTGTAGGCAATTGAAGATTAACACAGTGCCTACACATGCTCCAAAGACCTTCGGGTTCATACACCCATTTGTGTCTCAAGATTCTCTTCCAGAATCCTCAGTTGCTGATCTCGTGGCTGCTGAATTTGAACAATTTCGTTGCTTTCCTATTGACAGCCAAAAGTATTCTGATGCTCCAAAGGGTGGCTGCACCTTTGCTCTCCATCAACTTGTCAAAACACCCCAAGGGAAGTGTTGAAGCATCTGACTGCCCATCCTTTGATTGCAAGTGCATTTCCTAATGTGAAGACTGCAACAGAAGTATTCCTGACAGTTGGTATTTCAGTACGTGAGACTGAACATTCTTTTTCATGCATGGGTAGGAATTAAGAACTGTATGAGGTCGTGCCTACCTGACAAAAAGTTGAGCGATCTTTGTATCCTGTCAACAGATTTTGATCTCACATGATCATTACCTCTCAAAGAAATTGTGAGGATCTTTGCTGCACAAAAGTCAGGAAAAAACCTCTGCAGAGGCAGATCCAATGGGGTCCAGACCTCCTCTATTCATCAGAAAATTCCAATATTTTTTCTTTAATGCGGTTGTACTAAGGCGTTTTTGTATATTAAAAGTAATTACTATTGACCTCAAAATAACCTGTATTGTATATCCGTGCTTCATTAATAAAGTAATAAAGCACGGACTTGGGGGTAGACTGTCACATTTTTTATAAATTTGTTTCTGATTATTTGTGAGAGGATTTTCCAATTATTAATTATTTGTATGTGTTTTGTGTGTGTATGTCTACACACACACACACACACACACACATATTTACAATACAGGTAAAGGAAATTACTGTCTCTAGAACAAATGGCTCCCTGTCCCAGCTGCAAAAATGCCTGCAACTTTAAAACTACCCACAGACATTCTTGGGTACATCCTGGGTGTCATCCGCGATGTTTATTATTTTTATGATAAGTTTTAAGTTTCAGTTTAAAACTTTGTGCTTTGGGGGTAATTCAGTTTTAGTTGCTCAAACACCCAACACATTTCACTAACAACAACTCAACAATTCTTTACTGGTAGTATAATAATTCTTTTAATTGAGGTCTTGTGTTAAAGAGACTTCATACTGTACTGGATTTGATGGGTAAGAGGGAAGGACAGGGTTGAGCTGACTTTGTGTGTTACTCTAATGTTTTGGGCCATCTCCAGAAAACATAACACCTCAAATTCTCTAGTTAGGCATTTGAAACCATGTCAATACTTGCCAATGTGGCAGGACGTTGCTATTATACATAAAGGGTTGGGGATAAGAACGGCCATAGAAACAGCATATATTTGAAGAAATGAAGAAACAAACCATTGGGAGGGATTTTTGCTGGTCAAAGCCTGCCATGGACCAAGCATTGACATCACAGTAAGGTAGTGTAGATTAACACAGTATTGTATAACCTTCTTCTCTATTTTCAATTTCTTTCTGTTACTATTTTTTTGCCCCCCCAGGCCCCATTGTGGGTCGTTTGGCCTGTGCCTGGGTGGGCTAATTCCCATAAAAAAAAAAGAGTCAGGTCAGGTAAATGACAGCCAATCAGGTTCCGACACGACAAGGCATCCAGAGAGGTAAGGTGCTCCTGGGGTACATAAGACTTCCTCCACTTGTTGTATTCTCTCTGAAGATGTGTTCTGTGTAGCCCGAAACATTACAGTAATATAGAAAATCAGCTCAGCCTGTGTTTTTCTCCCACCCATCAATTCCACTTGTCACAGAATTCATACTGCACTGTATTGTACTTTCTATACAGTACAATATATTTATTCGCAATATAGAAATTTAACTTTAAGTAGTTTTGTAATTACATACTGTACTGTATATATATATATATATATATATATATATATATATATATATATATATATATATATATATATATATATATATATATATATATATATATATATATATATATATATATATATCTGTCTATATGTCACATTCATTTCATTCCTACATACTGTCATGATGCCCAAGGAGTGATCGAGAAAGGAAAATGGTTATTTCTTATTATATTCTGTACATAAAATATGAAATATAATCTTGAAAGAGTTCCTCATAACTTTTAATTTGTTTCAGATTGGACAGGAGATGAATGATGCCTCAGGTAATACAGTTGTTTATGTAACCTCTGATGTAAACACCAGCAACAAACAGATTGATACCTTCTTTTCTTATGCTTCTATGACCATGACAATGTAAGTTCACGAGACCTTTCTGATACATATGTTAGACTTAAACCAGAGGCATATATTGTGATAAAATAAGTTGAAGAGATGCCTTCTTTTGTTTCTGAGTCACTCATGAGGCCAGTAGTATGAACACTGCTTGCTAAGAAAAAATACAGTCTCATACAATGTTAGTACAGTATAATGATTGTACTCCATAGTATGTAAGATACTGTACTGTAATAATGATTATTTTTGTCAAACACCTTTAACAGAGCAAGTGGTATAGTTTGAATATTGTCTATATTACACTTTTATCAAAATGATTCTGAATCTTAAAGTAAACCCTCGATGGTGACCTACCCACCTGCCCTGCCCACCATTCCTCTACCCACCTGCCCTGCCCACCATCCCTCTACCCACCTGACCTGCCCACCATCCCTGTACCTACTTGATCTGTCTACCACCCTCTGCCCTGACTGTCCACCATCCTCTGCCCTAACTGTCCACCACCCTCTGACCTGACTGTACACCACCCATCATAGTTGGGAGAGGGTTGTGTCACACATGACCCATCAGTGGCCAAGACAACATTTCTGGTGTTTTTAGTACAGGTATTTCTTGTAGAACTGTTGGATGATAATTCAGGAACTTTAAAGGCAAGTGTTTCTTTATAATGAAAATCTTTAGAAGAATGCAATAACTACTTGGGTCAATGAACACATCTTTGCTGTTACCATGAGAAGAAGGTAGAATCAATAGAGAATGATTCACTCAATAACAAGACCCAGTGGAACTGAATTTTGTTCTCTGTCAAGGGTCAACGTTATAAGTGTAATGTTTAATGAAAAAATCAGTTATTATTGTCATGTAAAATATAATTTTGAAGTTCTTACTTAATACTAATGAAGCACTGTCTTGGTTGGTAACAGTTTTAACAGCCTGAAAGAAAGAGTAGTTTCCATAGAACTGATAGCCTGTTAGGGGCAGTGTGGATGCAGCACACTGTCCAGGAAGAGTTTGGTACATAAATAGACAATGTGGCCAGCACTGTGCTTGATTGCCTTTGCTTTCCTCAACTGTAAAGTTAGATACCCATTCACAATTGGGTGGACTTGGTGCAAACTAGCAACCCTTATGACAGGAGGCAAGTACTGTATGTATTCAGCCACTGCACCCCAACATCTTGGGAACCGTAATTTGGACTAAGATTTTAATAGTTGACACTTTTTTTTTCTCCTTTTCTTCATCTTTTTCCTTAATGAGATGCATCAGCAAGTCAGTCATTGAAGCTCTGGCAGGGGGCAGATCCAGGGGGGTCCCAATCCCTCTTTTCATCAGAAAATTCTAATACTTTTCTTTTATGCAGTATTGTACTCAAGCATTTTTGTATAGTAAAAAGTAATTACTGTTGACCTCAAAATATCTCCTAATACCAAGTTCACATGGCCTCAAAATGCTCATGATATATTAGTCAGATTTCAAAAATTCTTCTATGGGGTGGGGCTTACAGTACACCCCCAAACCCCCCAGCTGGGTGGGCTTGCTGTGTTCCCCAAGTTACCCCACCCACATGGTTATCAAATAATTAATGTTCACATGCTAGACTTGATTCTCTGTTAAATCAGATTTATGTTCGGAGGGATCACAGAATTAATCTTGTTAACCCTTTAGAGAGCAAAGTATCCCTTAGGTATTTTATTCTGGCTTCTGCCACTGAGAGGAACCCCTGCCCACTCAAGGGTTAATAGTTATAAGAAGTTGTCATTATTGTTAACTTACTTAATAGATACTGTATGACCATGTGGCTTATTTCCCAAATATTAAACCTATTCATTGGATCAGTTTAAAAAGCAATAGTCCAGATTGGAGGAGACCTAAGAGATATAAGCAGGGCAGATTTAAGCAACTACAGTATTTTGGGCAAGTGATGAGCAAATATCACCTCCCCAAACCAATTTTTTTTTTCATACTAGCAAAAAGACGACAGGAAATTCTTGAATATTCACAGATTAATAATTCATAGTAAAAGAGTTAGAATCTTTATTTTAATATTCATGAATGTTCCCAATTATTTCAAGTCTCAGATACAGTTACTATGCCACAAATCCAAAACTCTGTGGGACCAGAAATCTTTTGCATTTATAAAAACATTGGCATATACATTAAATATATGCTGTACAGTACTAAACAGTAGTACCCCGATTTACGCGGTCAATTGAACCCACAGGGTACCGCGGAAAGTGAACAACAGAACATATGGGATTAATTCCAATAGAGACTGGCCCGACCCCCAAACTCCACTTTTTCAGACACAATACCTACGTTGTAGTAAAATATACATCTTAATTTTATGATGGTATGCACACACAATTAATAATTAAGAGAAATATCAATAAAATTAGTTTTTTTAACACTTACATTAGTAGAAAAGATGGCTGGGCACACGGGGATGGGGGGTTGGTTCCGAGGCAGAGGGCAGATTAGTGGCCCTCACCTGTATCACTTGTATTAATTGTATCACTATCCACCACATAGGCTTGCAGGGCCTCTTTGTCAAACCCCTCAAAGTCCATATAAGTCCATATCCTCACTATCACTGACTTAGGTCAGCTGTGGTGGGTGGCAGGTGAAGAACTCGGTAATGTTTTGATGACTGGGCGACCTTGTGCGCATCCTGCCCGCGCCGCTTTCCGCGTATATGAGTAGATGCAACGCGGAAAGTGAAAGTTCGGTTCTGGCGAGGCACCGAGTAAATGAGAAATCGCGGAAAGTGAAACCGCGTAAAGCGGGGTAATACTGTACTTAAAAGAATATGTAGATACAGTAAAGTTAAATTCTCTCTAACTGGACATCTCTTAACTAGTAATCTCTTAATAACCATATTTGGAAGACCTTTAGTTTTTCCTGAGGTGTTTCCTCATATCTGGGTTCTCACAGAAATCTGGTCCATCATGAAGAGTTCTAGAAAGTGCCTGAATATATCTCAGACCTTGGATGTTTTTGTGGTTTGATGCTTGCTTGTAGCCCAGGGGCGTGTAGCTTGGTACTGATTACCTGGTGACGTGGCCCAAGGCATGTGGTGATTGTCTCTCCTCTACTTGCTGTGACCTAGGCCATCACTGATATTCTGAGCCAACACTGTTAGTACTGTACTGTACCAGAAGTCTCTCACTATACACCCTTCAAATAAGTGTAATTTTCCTAATACAAAACATAAACAAGGGTGTTTCAGCACCCAATGTTTCTGAACAGCATGTTGTTGGAAACACAGTGATTTATAATATCAATAAGCAACATGGCAACATTTTGAAGTTCTGTGTTAACACTGAAACATGGCCAAGGTCAGCAGAGTTTGGTGCAGTGATTTAACCAATGGAGATTTGAAGGTGTGCCTATCTATGAACCCATTTTGTGTGAAAAGTCAGACAGTTTCTCTAGAATATTAAAATGCATGATGGCAAAGTAGTGACAACATGCACATATTTATAACTTCATAATAAAACACTCATTAGCATGATTTTTCACATTTTGTTTGTGTCCTTGTATTTATTTGTATATTTATACTTAACACTCACAAGTATCATTTGTAATGGTAAAATAGCAGTGACACATACATACCTGTAACCTCATACCTCATAATGAAACACTCATTGTCATATTTCATCATATTTTATTAATGTATCCTGTATCCTTGCATTTATTATATATGTATATCATTATATTTATTACATGTAAGTACTGTATCATTTAAAATCTATTTTTTAATACAAAATCACAATTTGGGCTCCACACCTTTCAGAAGTACCAGGTATGTAACCTTTAGAAATCCACACACTACTTGGTGTCAAGGTGTTCTCATTTTTTAGTTTTGTTAAAATGTATTATTTAATTGCATAATTTATAAATGTGCTTTAGAGTTTTGATACTGAATATTTCTCTCTTAACTGGCCAGCCTGGGACCTAACCTATTTTTCCTTATAAGCTCAAATGATCAGTTCTTCATGGATTTAAGTATCAACAGGTCAGCCAGTAATGTAAACCTGTAAATATTCAGGAGTTTACTGTATGGTACAGTAATTCTTTTGAGGGAGGAAAATTTCAATAAACAACAATACAAGTCCACTTAACAAAAAATCACTGAACAGTATTGGTAACATGTTTAAAAATAATACAGATTCACTTGTTTGTTGAGTATGATAAGGTGAAGTTTTAGTTGCCCAAGCTTTATTATAGTTTTCTCTAGCTATCAAACAGCTCTTACTGTTAAGCTCTTCAAAACACTTGGTTGCAGCATATGAGTCAGTACTACCAAGAGATTTTTTAAATAACTTTGTCTGATCTGTGGCTCATACAGAGTGTAAGTGCTGTTGTGCACTGATTATTACAGTATATATTTTTGTATTAGATTGAGTATACACAATTGTCATGGGCATAGTCACTTAGAGTTGGTTTGCAAAGCAAAGTTTGTTATTTAATGCCATTTGGAGTTGGATAGTCAAAGGAAACTTTGTATAGGGAAAGATTCTTATGTTATGAGTCATTTTTAAACACACTACAGTACTGTAATTCTCTTCTAAATATCAGATTGAAATTTAGAAATACTGTAAAGCTCTTTTTCTGGGAATAATCATGTAGGCTATGAGAAGAACAGATTACTTAAAAGATAACTCCAGACTCTTTTATCTGTGATATTGATGGTAGAGTGAGTGCTTTTCATAATATGGATGAACATTTTATTTTTGTGTAACATAGTTACAATATAGTGTAAAACGTATTAAAAGGAATACTGTGTGTAAAGCATAACTAGTACTGTATTGTACTCAGCTTGAGGCGTGACATCATTAGTTACTAATCAACAGTTACCATTGAAGCCAACAGTTCTGTACTGTATTTTACAAAACAGTTACAGTAAAAAAAAATTTTCAGTAATGTTACAAGCCATAATTTTGCTTAAGTTTAATGACAATCTAAAACATTTCAATATGAAATTACGAAGGCATTGACTTTATGCATGCACCCCCACCCCTATGGTAGTCTAGCTCTGACAGACAGTGGAGCCAGTTCTCAAACACCATTCTGTTGGTCGCCAATAGGCCTATTTCTGCACATCTTTTATTTGTATATACTTTTCTTTATTAAATAATCTTTAAGTGAGTCTGACTTAAAACTGGGTGGTGCTAGTGGCTCTAAACATCCTATATATGAAGAGTTCTGTAGTTTAACTCGACATATCAATCTGCCTGATGCTTATATAATCTTTTCATGAAGCTTTGTGAGAAGTTTTACAGTACAGGTAAACATTGATAAACAATGGGGTTAGATTCCTGAAAATCCCATATCTATGCAAAATACTGTATTGTAGATGAGGATCAATATAACGTGGGGTTCAATGGGGTTTGTTCCTAGCCTGTCCCCAAACACACCTGTATCACCGACCCAAAAATTCCTACACTCATAAAATCAATAGAAAACATTTAAACAACACTCACTACATCATGAAGAATAAGCCTGGTCATCATAGCATGTCCCCTTCAAGGCCTTATAAGGGGACTCTTGTAGGTGGAGTGGAGACATTACTGAGTCCCACACAAAGTGAAAATACAGTACAGTGTACAGGTATTATTAACCTGTACAGTGTACTGTACATCTCACTTCACAGTCACTAAAACAGAGTGAAAGTACTTAAGTAAGAAAAAAGACAGCGATGAGAACATAAGCTCAGTTGTAGCAACTGACACAGATCACATGTTCATGAAAACAGGCAGAGCACTTTACAGTCACAAAAAGCAGAATATATAATTTCTAAGTCACCGTAACACAGTTCAGTCTAAACGTTAGTGCTGTCCTCTCACCATAAGAAAAAATACACTGATGATAAGTACAATGTACACTACATACAGCCAATGATGCAGAACGATAATCATGAAGCTACGCGATGACAGGCAGATGCGGTCGGCAAAGAACCAAGCGCAGGACAGTAATTCGCAGGTTGGGCGTGTTGGTAAATATTGCTGCGGCTGACAAGTGCAGTGAGAAATGCGTTCCCTACGGTAGTGCATAGGGTTAAATATAGTTCCTTATAAAATGTCACTGACTTGACGTAGAAAAATATATAATTTTCATTGCTGGAATCCTTGCAAGACAGTGATTAATTTGAGTTTATGCATCCCATAGTTTGTGCTGGGGATAAGAAAAAAATCAAACCAATGGATGTCGTTAAAGCATTTTTTTTTTATCGTATACAACGAGATGGTCTTAATGTGTGACTATCATTAAAGTGGAATATTGCTGAATGAGACATAGTTTATTGAGGTTTACCTGTATCTTGAATGGCTTGAACCTGTGACTTATGATGTTGCCATTACAGTATAGCCTTGAGTTAGGACGGTAATGTGTCCTCCAATATTGCAGGGTAAGATGAATCATCGTATCATGAATCATTAATTACCATTAAAATAAAGCAATAATGAGATGCATTCACTAGTGTGTCCTTTCCACTTTTTTGCTTGTTTTTATGGGGAATAGCCCACATGGGCACAGGTCATCGACCCACAATGGGGCCTAGGGGGCGAAAATAATAATAATAAAAATTTATAAAACATTAGAAAAAAAAATATATGAAATATAATATAATAGGTAATAATATTATTAAAGGACTATAAATAAATACAAATATTAAAAAGAAAGATCAGTAGTGAGAAATGAAATAGGTATTTTGTGTTGACAAAGTAAGAGAAACAATAAATTGAAACCCTACAATTGTGTGTAAATGAGGCAGAAAGTCAGATCAGCAACCTGGGACTTGGTCACTACTTTTGTGATGCTATATGGCAGCAGGATCTACCATTATTAAGAATACAAGAGATTCATTAATGTTTATTACTTAAATATTTAACAATACAGTATAGTCTTGATTTACGCGGATTTTGTTTACGCGTTTGGTCATTTACGTGGTGCCTTGCCAGAATGAAATATTTTAATTACGCGGTAAATTTCATCATTTATGCGGCAAGCGGCTGGAGAGGTCCAGACGCGCCGCGCTATTTTTTACTCGCGCGGTTCATTCTTGACCATATGCGGGAAGCGGCGCGGGGAGGGTGCGCATTAGGTTGCTCTTACATTACCGCTGACGTCATATGATGTATCGGACTGTGATTGGGTCACGCATCCTTACCTCCCTCCGCCGCTAGCTGTGATTGGTCTAATGTAACATGACGTGCCCTGCCACCAGAGGGAAGAAGTCGCTGACCTAGCTGGGCCAGT